GTAGTTACTAGTGTAAAACAACGGCACTGTAATAATCACCTATTAAAAGTATTTCCCTCGTTGTGATGATAGGCTCCACGAGGGAACAAAGGGTCAGATTCGATTTATGCATATGTTAGTTAAGATATTAATCAGCTAGGATAAGAAAAGTTGTTGACGATATTAATTTAGCCCTTCTTCCTCTTCTGGTTGCTTTTCTTCGATGATTGTCCATATCCCACCCTCAGTTCACTGTAACGAGACTTGATTTCTCAGCCTTGGGTCCTAATTGACTAAGGAAAATCATTAGACTGGAGTGGCTTGCACGTGTAGGAGTGACTCTTGCTGGTCACCAGTCTGACAAGGACTCGCCTGTCAAGAATTCTGGGTCCCCCCTCACATGGGTCAAAGATCTAAAGTGCACCCAAACCACGTTAACAATCGCCTGCCATTTTTATTTCCTTTTTATTTAGATTTGTTTATCAGGATTGATAAGGTGCATGTGATTTAATAAAGGTTGATAGGTTAAAAGTTCAAAATATTCCTTTACTTCAAATATTTTAACCGTATCTTTTTGTTAAAATTTTCAATCGTGGTATTCTATTTTCTTAATTAATCTATATTTAATCCCTTTAATTCTTTTTTGATACCAAAAATAAAAATAATAAAATAAAAAATATTAAAAAATATTTTTATTATCTGAAAAAATGATTCAAATGATCAAATATATAATAATTAAAATTTTTAATATAAAAATATAATTAAAATATTTGAAATAGTAAAAGGATACACTGATCCTTTAACCCTTTAATAAAGTTGTGTTTGAATTAGAAAAATATTATTATTTTTTTATGATTTTAACATTTTTATATTAAAAATACTGAAAAAAAACATTAATTTTTTTGGTTTTTTTCCCAAACATATTTTGAAATGCGGTCCAATGTCCTTTACACGTGTAGAGGGCCATCGGCATAGATATATTATAGGTTTTTCCGTTTTTTTGACTATCCCACGTGGGTCGAGATTCATACCCAGAATGGGATACATGTCCATCGAAAAAAATGGAGTAATTGACAGAAATGAATACATTGTTCCAATTATTGCATTACATAGAAGAGTTTGAAACGAAGATCATTAGACCAATCTTGCAACCACCGAAAAAAGAGAGAGATCTTGGCATGGGCTTCAGCTACTAAGAAACTCTGGAGTTGGTTTTATAGGTCATTAAGAGGAAATGTTTATTTTTATTTTTCCGACTAAATTACGTCAAGATGATTTTGTTAATTGGGCATGAAAGGATGGTCCAACCCGACCCATCAATTTTTAACTAAAACAAAAAAGAAAGGAAAAAAAAACATGACTACATAATCTATCATTGGCGTTTAAGTCATGCGGACAGGAAGGAGCGAGGCAAGGCTTTTGTGATAAGCATTCCAAAACAATGCAATTATACGCATACATGCACGCTAATAATTATAGCAAGGGAGCATTTGCCGGTCGATACTGATGGTATATGAATTTATGATAATATAGAGCAATTTTTACCAATTTTAACTACACTGGTAAAAATTTAGATCACAAAAAGCATTTGGATACTACACTTATTTTTTAAAAATTTTTTCTCTAAATATTTTTATTTCATATTAGATATAAGACCAATCATGTTTAATTATGTTTAGAACGAAAACAATAAAATTTAACTTTTTTTAATAAATGCGATTATAAAATTTAAATTTGATACATTAAAAAAAAATATTTAAAAACAAACTTGATAAAATTAATATTATTTTTAATCTCCTAATATGTTCATATCTAAATCCCGTATATCTTATATTCTATCTACTCTCGTTTTTTATTCCTTTTCTCGTTTGTACATGTATTTTGGAGTATATTTGTAGTGGTATGATAGATTATCTAAAATTCTTGCTGAAGTATCCATACAGCAACTAGAAGAAAGCAAAGATAGATAACATATATATGTGCTAAACCAGTTCTCAACTGTTATCTATTATGATTTTTATTAGATTTGTTGGCTGATATTGATTATGGATTTTTATATTTTATTTAAACAAAATGGCTATACATGGTTTGAGAAATAACTGATAAGATCATATTTAAATTACAATTCATTCGGGTTTTTTTAATTAATTTATTTAACACATGATATATTCAGTCTATAAATTATGTTTTGTCTAAATTAATTAAATAGTTGTAATAGTTATTTTGAGTGTAGATCTTATCACCTCTAATTAATATTCTAACAATAATCTATAAATATATATTTATAAGTGATATTTTACTCCATTCAAAACTATTAAACATACAAACAGATATAGTTTAATGGTTATATATTTCATAATTTTTTTCAATGAAGTAGGTTCAAGTCATAATGGTTTTAATTTATTTAATCATTATGTAATAGAAGTTAATCATCTTTCGTTATTTGGTTAAAGACCGACGAGTCTTCTAATGATTAAAAAAAATGAAAATCTTGGTGAGCCAAAAAAAAAAAACTTAAATTTAAACGCCGAATTATATTATTATTATATTTGTTCTTGAAGAATTAATTAAGTTTTGGCATCGTAATAAGGCAATCTATTGCTTATGAATATTTGTTAATTATACCTTCTAGTTTGTAGTATACAAAATCTTGAATTGAACTGTTCTAATACTTTCTGCATTCATATTCATATAAAACACAGAAGGAAGAATGGGGTTGAGTTTACGAAAGAAAATTAACTTTTCAACTAGCTAATTAAAAGCTATTTACCCAGAACATAAAATAAAGAAAAGCTACTAACAGACTAGTTAGGACTTTAAAAAAAGAAAAAGAAAAAAAAAGACTATCTAGGAGCGGTAGGATGAAAAGATGCAGATTTCAATAAATTATAATAGTTTGGTGATCGTAAAAGTTCCCTTTTATTTTCAAAAGGAAAACACACATTGCCATGCAAAATGCTTAACCTTTTATCAAAGGCAACCATTACAGCCGATACCCTAAAAAGTAGATATTCTCAAATCTCAAACTCTCAAGATAATTTTGTTTAAGTATGTGCAGAAATTAATAAAGTTGTTGGCCACAATTAATTACTATTAATTTAGATTTGCTACATGGATGAAAACGGTGACTATGATGATGATCATAGGATTCCAAAGAAAAGTTGTTTGTCCCAGATACTTAGCCATGCTAGAAAACCCACGTCACAGTGTCATTTTTCAAGACAATTCAACGGTCAGATCTTAAAGATGAAAAATGACGAATTTCTTGAAGAGGACACTGATATTCTTAACATGCATCATTAACCGACAAATCTTCTAAAGGACTCACGAGGAGTCACTATATATAGTATGCCAAAAATACCTTGGTGATAATGTTATTGAACAACGGAAATATATTAATTTATAAAGAATAAAGGAATTAGAGTTTCCAATGTGGAGATTAACATAATTTAATTTAATTCAATAAAAAATCATAATTTAATTAGTTATATGGTATGATTTAATACGAACTCTCCCAAATAGGCATAATCATAAGTTTTTAAGACACACCGCTCCAATCAACACCTCTTAACCGTTTTCGTGCCTTAAACGTTACTTTCCGAGTTTTAATGAAGTTGTCAGTTTACCTTAACAATTCAAAATCTACTTCAAAACTCTAATACATTTTGAAAGGAGCGTTTTGTCCCCGAAAAAAAAACCCAGATATGAGTTGGGACGGTGCATGTGATCTTTTCTTGGATAAATATAATAACCCTAAAAAAAACTAAATTCACAAACAAATTTCTTCAGATTTAACTAGAGATTTTTTCTTCGATAAATAATCACTTTTAAAAACTTAAATTTACAAATAAGTTTGATTTTTTTTTTTTTACTCCAGAAGTATGTAATAATACTTACTCCATGCAGATAAATCTATAGATATAGAAAAAAAGCAAAATAGAAGAGGAAAAAAAATTAACCCTAACTGTAAATATTATTATTATTTTTAATGAGTTGAAATGTAATTTTTTTCTTCCAAAATAGATTTATAAAGTAATAATATATTATAATTTATTTTTAAGTATTTTAAAATTTATTAATAAGTTGTATTTCATCTCATTTCTTGAAGGAACTTTTTTTTAATATATATATTTTAAAAAAATATCGACTAATACACGGCTTTTACATGTAGCTTGTATAAATTATCATGAATAATTACATTTTCGTAACAATTAAGTTGTATATTAGGGTTAGTTTTTTTTGTACTGAGATTAAATTTTTTGAAATGAGATTAAAAAATCATTTATATGCAAATTGGAGAATTTTTTTTTTAATTTCAACTTTTTTTTTATTCTAACCCGATATAGTGATGGAAAAGAGAATCAAAATTACATTTTCAAAATAAAAAGGAATATTAACTAAGAGAAAGGAAAGAATCATGTGATTTTTTCGTGAGCAATTATTGGACCACTAGGCTGTATAACCGGCCCATTTTAACGAACCAACACATCCAATAAAAACCTAACACGTTAGGACGAATTCAGTATCCCGTCCAAGCAACACACACCCAAACACTCCACGATAAAAATTTTAAATTAACGGACAAAACCTTTTAAAAAATGAAAATAGGCAGTTACAAGAAAAGAAAGAAGTTTTAATAACAAGTGGGAAAGAAATGAATGAGGGATTAGAATTTGGGATCCAAGAAAACTAAAAGCAGAGTGAGTGTGTGTGGCTGTGCCAGTTCCTGTCTGATCAAGAAGAAAAAAACTTCCTCCGCCTCACTTCCTGGTGTTTAATTTCACGACAGCCGTCGTGTCACCCCTCCACGTTTTAAGAAGAAAAAGAAGACACGGCTTTTTTGTTCTGTCCAAGACATTGGTATACTCCCTTAGATTCCTCGTCCCGATCCCCAATTCCTCAGAATTTCGTCATTTCCTATGACTTTGTCTCACTGTCTGTAATCACGTACATGAATCTGCCTGCCTACTTTCTTTTAATTCAAAATCGAAATCACTAATCCGATCTTGATTGTGATCAAGATGTCATTTAAGAGCAAATTAAAGGAGATTAGGGATGATATTACTACTACATTTTCAATGGGAAAGTTACAGAGGAACAGAGCAAATCGTAGGGGGAGAGCTTATATTGCGCCTGAATTAGGAGGTGGGTCTGATTTGTCGAGTGAGTTGATAGAAGTACAGAGTTTATGGGCTAATTTGCCACCAGAATTGCTACACGATGTGATTCAGAGAGTTGAGGGTACTGAAACTTCATGGCCTGGAAGAAGAGATGTTGTTGCTTGTGCTTCAGTTTGTAAGTCTTGGAGAGAGATTACTAAAGCTGTTGTTAAGACCCCAGAACAGTGTGGTTGCATTACTTTTCCTATCTCGCTAAAGCAGGTGACTAAAAAAATGGGATTTTTTTTCACTCTTTTGTTTTGAATTTCGATGAATGGTTAGGTGCTAATGTTCTTTTGTGTTTTTCGATTAGCCGGGGCCGAGAGATGCTCCTATTCAATGCTTTATTAAGAGGGAAAGGGCCACTTCCACTTATCATTTGTATCTCGGTCTCAGTCCTGGTAAATATTCTATCTTTCGTGTGTTAGTTTTGATGGATATTGTTTTGAAATTTTAAATGGAAAGATTTTTTATTTGCAGTGGATGTATTTTCTGATTAAATATGCAGTCTGCCATCAAAAAAAGTTTTAATTTTTTTTAAAACTTTTTTTAGTGGTGGTGTTGTTTTTTTTTTTTTTTTTAAAAAAAAATTAGTAAGTAAAGTGAGTGGTGTTTCAACTGCTAATTTTTTGATGTTACTTATCAAAGTACAGCTTTGTCAGGTGATATGAGTAAATTATTATTAGCAGCAAAGAAGATTAGGAAGACTACAAGCACAGATTTTCGGATATCATTTGTGGGAAGTGATTTCTGTCAAACCAGCAATACCTATGTTGGAAAACTGAGGTATGCTTCATCATTTTGGATTTCTTATCTTTGTATTGCCACGTTCTTTTGTTTTGTAGAATTGATTGGGAAGTTCTGAACAGGTCTAATTTCCTGGGGACCAAGTTCACCATTTACGACAGTCAGCCTCCATGCCCAGCTATGAAATCCAATTGTAAGCTCCAGCGTAAAGTCCGTTCCATCCAAGTGTCTCCAGGGGTGCCTGCTAGAAATTATAATGTGGCCACTGTATCTTATGAGCTCAATGTCCTTCGTACCCGAGGTCCAAGGAGAATGCATTGCACCGTCCACTCGATCCCTATTTCTGCTATCCAAGAAGGGGGACTAGCCCCTACTCCATTGGAATTCGATGATCCTGGTGATGAGCAATCTCCTCCATTTTCTATTTCAATAGTAAAGCAACCACTTATTGATTTCAGCTCGACTAGCCTTGCCGACTCATCCGAATCAACTTGTAGCAAAAGGGATCCCCTGGTTTTGAAAAATAAAGCTCCTAGATGGCACGAGCAGCTGCAGTGTTGGTGTCTAAATTTCAAAGGGCGTGTTACAGTGGCCTCTGTGAAGAATTTCCAGCTGGTGGCAGCTGTGGAGCCTTGCCAAAATGTTCCAATAGAAGAACAAGAAAAAGTTATTCTGCAGTTTGGAAAGATTGGGAAAGATATCTTCACCATGGACTATCGATACCCCCTCTCTGCCTTCCAAGCTTTTGCAATCTGCTTGAGTAGTTTTGACACTAAACCAGCTTGTGAATGACCATTTTCTTTGCCAACTTGGGCCATATTCACGTCATCCATCTCTGAAAATTTTCTTGTGTATATTCTTTCTAAAGGAAACACTTTAGGATTTGCACTTTGTCATCAGCATTAATTTTATGTAAACAGCCGTAGCCTGCATGGTCTATGTAAGTTGCAACATATATTTATCTGCAGGAAGGTAGTTCTGCAACAGCTACCCCAAGTATGTAACTTCTTCACTCATGGAATTTTAATTTCACATCTTCTATGAACTTATAAATTTTTGTTCTCTGTATATCGGAATGTTTGTATACTGAATCTTGATGTTAAGTTGCGAATTACAGGGAACAAAACATTTTATTAACATCTGATGCAAAGGTATTATACATAAACATCACTTTCTGGATGAAATTGCATCCTTATTATCACTTTTGTAAAATATTTTTATTGTCACGTACACAAATTGTATGTTGTTGTTGGTAAATTATCGTATCGAGTAATCATTTACCAGCTCAGAGAACCCCTATGTCCTTTTCTTTTCCCTTCTGCGCACAATCGTAGCGGCAGCCATGTCTTCGAGGCTTTTCTGGATTATCAGGGTCCGAGTCGCTTGATTCCAACAAAAGCCCTCTTAGGCATCGTCTTTTAACTGTCGGCTCGTAAGTAAGCTTCTCAGCGGGGGTGACTTTGAATTCAGCCTTGTGTGTCTCGAGAGGCCCTGATTTAGTACCGTACTTGCTGGGTTCTTCATCGTTATAAGAGAGACTCAGCTGTACACCAGGACTTCCTTCGTTTACTGAACTTTCAAACAAAATCGAGTTATTGACACTTTGTGTATTACTGTTGATATATGCCTTTCTTGCCGGATCTTCTTTTGTCAGCAGATCTTTGGAGCTTTTACCCTTCGAGCTTCCTTCTCCATCAGTAGTTGCTTCGCTGCTCTCATCTGGATTGATCTTATAACCACGATGAATGTGGACCGACCCATCCTTTCTCGTTGGTTCAGAGCCCACATACATGGAAGCTCCCCTGTTTTCACCTGCTAGAGTGACAATGCTGACGGGCTTTTCACCTACGGGTTGCTTTATTTGCTCCGTTCCCAGCTTGTGAGCAAACTTGGAAATATCTTCCCTGATTTCTTTGTACAGGGGAACTTTTTCTCCATTGGACACGGATGGTCTGCCAGTCGTCTTCTTCCTTTCAAAAATATCTTCCTTTACTTTTTTCACTGGTTCTGGAAGAGGCACAGGATGATCCACACCAATGGTCTTAGAATCTGATTTTTGTGACGCTGCAGGTGTCTCTAGTGCTGGCACAGAAGTTGGCGTTGGTGTTGCTGCTCTCACACCAGCTAATGCCTGTATAGGCTCTCCTTGTTGTTGTGGTTGAGGGACAGTCTTTGCTGTGATTTCTGTCTTCTGTTGAGGCACTTGTGACAAGGGCAAAGATATTGCTGGTTTTGATGGGGACTGAGAAACAGTTGGCTGCACTTGGGTAACTCGAGAGGCCAAACGAGATGGAGATTGAGGTTGTGGGACTGTCGGCACTGCTGGTTGGGGCTGGGAAGTGGTGCGAGAAGGAGAAGGTGGCACAGATACAGCTCTTGATCGTGGAGTTGCACGAGATGGTGATGGTGGCACAGAGGCAGCCCTTGTTTCTCGAGATGGCGATGCTGGCACTGAGCGGGCCTGTGTTTCGGTTGTTGCACGAGATGGTGATGCTGGCGGGGAAGTGACTAGGGATTTAGTGGTTGCACGAAGTGGTGACACTGGCTGAGGTTCAGCCCGTTCTTGTCCAGTAGGCTGGGTGGTAGCAAGCGGTGCTGGGGCTATCCCTGCAGGTCGAAAAGGTGGCCGCTGAATGGGGATGGTGGGGGTCGGCCGAGCTGGGGCTTGAATTCCAACTGTTGGACGAGGAGGTTGGGGTTCAGCTGTAGGACGTGGAGCAGGAGGGGCGGGTGCTGATAACCAAGGGAGCCGAAAGCGAAATGGCCTCTGGTCTGCCATAGATGTTTTTTATTGAAGAAAATAAAAAAAAAGATATAGCAAAGGTTGTAGATGTAGCTTGGTTGCGTTGATGCTGAATTCTTGTCGAGAATTCTGGTATTAATAAGTTTCGATTTGATACCTTTGAAAGTTTTTAAGAACTTTCTGTTGCTCTCTTCAAGTTCACTCTCTCATTTTGCCTCTTTTCCTCTCTAAAGGCGAGCCTTTATGCGGGAGAAATTTGGGATTCTTTAGACAGATTTTCCTTCTCTCTCAGGTCTAGCATCTCAATTTGTCCGGCTTTAGGTTTAGCATTTTTCATTTTATTCAACGTTAAGCTTCTAACTATGTTGTCTCCTGTGCTGAGAACCAGGGTAGCTGTTACTTTTCTCTTTGAAGGCATTCCAAGTATATACTTTTTTGCCGAATCTCAGTCTATAGGGCCTAGCTACACCCACGACTCCATCCACATGATACATGTGTTATCTCAAACCATAGATTAACCGCCATCAATTCGAGTTCTAATTTAGCATAAAAGAAACAAAAATTCCTTAACTCTTCAATAAGATATCAATATGGCAATGATGACATATTTCAGCATGGAAAAGGTTTAAGCAATGCATGCAACCCCATGGTTGATACTACCATTGTATCATGCCCACCAGAGAAGCAACCTACAAAACAAGGAAAAAATCTGACAAATATTTTTCTCTCTTTACCCTATCATTCAAGAAAAGAACTTTGCAAGGTAGACATCCTTGTGTCTTCTCGTTCAAAAATGCTATTTATGGGTTGAATCCATCTCATAACTTCACATTTACTAGATCATCGAACTGTTTCAAGCTCTCTGATCTTCTCTTAGGTATGTTAATTCTCACTTAATTTAGTTTATACAAATTGTTTTCCAAACCTTCAATTAGGCAATCACATATTTTGTCAGCCACATTCTTGCAATAGACAATATTTTTAACTTTTATTTTTCAGTAAATAGTATTGAAATGCAAGGACTTGTCCGAGGAGTAAGATCTTGCCAGGAAATCCTCAGAGCTGCAATTCTAAAGCATCCCCATGAGAGAAGAAACCTATTATCACGTCTTGGACGTGTTACCTCCTCGCTTCCAGTGCGAGAGAAAGGACTAGAGAATCTTACAGTGGCAGATGTACTGATGACAAAGGGAGAAGAAAAAATTGGCTCTTGGCTCCGGTGCCACACTACGGACACCGTTTATGATGCTGTGAAGAATGTAGGTTAATGAAAAAAATTCTCGTGCAGAATTAGTTTCTTTGCATAGTGCACAAAAATCACTCCTAAGATCTAAATTTGCAGATGGCAAAGAATAACATTGGGTCATTGGTAGTCCTAAAGCCAGGAGAACAAGAAATTATTGCAGGAATCATCACAGAGAGAGGTACCTAGTTTACATTGATTGAATTGCGTTCATCTTCAATCCTTGGTGTAATGAAAGACATTAATCCAACATTCAGCAACGAACTTGACATTGAAAAGCATTACTGGAGTAATTAGCTCTAATTCACCAGAAAAAAATTGAATTGACTTCGATGCTTTAGCTAATGATAAGTAGATTATTCTAATTATTGTTAATGGTGGTGGAACGGATGCCTGAGCAGATTATCTGAGGAAGATAATAGCACAAGGGAGATCATCGAAGTACACAAGAGTTGGCGAAATTATGACTGATGAGGTTATTTCTTGCACCATTTTTGTATTCGGACTCTAACCATTCTCCTATCTAAATATGTTTTTATTTCAACGCTTGACAGAATAAGTTAATAACAGTGGCATCTGACACAAATATTCTACAAGCAATGCAGCTGATGACAGGTATTTACGATGCTAAGAATTCATGTTTTAAGACTGCATGGAATATAGAGTCGAGTCATTATTGAATTTGATGATGCCGCGATAAAGGGAAAATGATATCTTAATTTCAGACTATCATATTCGGCATGTTCCTGTCATAGATGGAAAGATAGTTGGGATGGTTTCTATTGTAGATGTGGTTCGAGCTGTGGTAGAGCAGCAAGGTGGAGAATTGAAGCGGCTGAACGAGTTCATTAAAGGAGAATACTATTAAAATCTTAAAATATCAATATATGGTAACTTCCTGCTTGCAAGGACAATATGTCTTCAGGATCTATTTGTATCAAGATCTCTTCCTTAAATTCCACAGAAAAAAGAAGAAAAAACTGGGCTCCAGAAACTGACGATTGTTTTCTCAAACAGGAAGAGTTCATCCAAATCCGTGTGGAAGTGTGTGTGTGTGTTCGTGTGTGAGTGAGATCGGAGTGCCAACCCCATACAGCACAATCTCAATTAATAAGATCAATCAAAGAAAAACATTGTCTAAGAAACGTGCCTGTGGGCAATCCTGCATTCGTGTGTGAAGGATGTGTAGTAGAATAGCACAAGGCAATCGAGCCATCTGACAGAATTATCATAGCTCATGTAAAACAACACATTCAACTAATACAAAATGAAGCAACCTACTTCTTTCAATTAATTATTACAAAGGGCCACTCTATCATATGATTAAATCAGTTTCCTGAATTACATCAACATGGGCACATGAATAAAAGCAATACTCAGATTATGGTTGAAACGAAGTTACATGCTGCTGGTCAAGTAGCGTTTGATTTTCCTATGGGACTACCAAACATCATCTTTGATTATCACTGGTGCGACAAAACCTTGTGAATCGTGACGGCAAACTATTTCGAGGGTCTCATGGAGGAAAAAGCTTGAGATGCCATGAGGGAAACTTTTAGATGCTCTGCAGAAAAGCCCCGGGCCTCCATCAATCCATATACCCTTCGAGCTTCCTGCACAAACCCACCAGCGATAAGCCCACCCACAGTCTTGTCAAAATCATGGAAATCCAATTGCTCCTTCTTAGCTTCCAGAACCCCCAAAGCTTGAAGAGCCTTCTTCTCCATTTTAGCCCTAGCATACATATCACAAAGGCTAACTTGAATCTTGAGAGGAGGAGCCTCGCCCTGCTCAGCAATCCTGTCCAATAGCTGCTCAGCCTCATCAACAAGCTGCAAGTTCCCTAACCAATCGACAAGGACAGTGCAAGTAGCAAGTCCAGGCTCAAAGCCACCCTTCTCGAGCTGTAACAAAAGTTTTAGAGCCTTATCCAACATATTCTTTTTCTCATAAGCTGCAATCATGCTTGCAGTGCACTTGTCATCAGGCTTGTGTCCAAGCTTTATTATAAGGTCAAAATTGTTCCTTGCCTGATCAGGATCACCAGCTTGTCCATATGCCTCAATAAGCAATGCACAAGACTCCAAGCTCGGCTGGATTCCTGCAAACTGCATTGTGGTTGCAATTCGTCCAGCTCCACCAACATCTCCACATTGTGAAAATGACCGAAGCAAAGCCTTGTAGATCTCTACCGTAGGCTTGAGGTCTCTTGCCTCCATCTCTCTCACCAATGATTCACCCAACTTGGGTTGACCAGCATTTACATATGCCATGATCATTAAATTGTAGATCTCTTTGTTTGGTTGGAAACCATTGCTTCGCAAACTTTCAAGTGCTTCTCTAGCACGGTCAAGATTCCCCGACTTGCAGTACATGCGTAACAAAGCAGCGGTGATCACAATATCGGGTAGAACACCATTTTCATTCATCTTCTTAATAATTCTTTCAGCATCTTCTATGCGGTTCTGTTTAGCATGGGCATCAAAAATCATGGTGTAATCGCGGATGTTAGCTTGAAAGGATTTTTCGCTCAACAAAATTTCAGCTACCTGCAATACCAATTAGTCAATAGCAACCACCTCAAGAGAACACGTTGAGTAAATTATGCAATGCATTTATTCTACACATTTCAAATCTAGACCATATTAAACATAGAAAAAATAAATCAATAACTAATTGCAAATCACACAAAATAAAGTAAACGAACCAGTTATGCAACTGACAAATGTAACAGAAAGAAAATGAAAGAGCAGTGTACCTTAAGGTATAAATGCGGATTCTGTTCTTTCAACTTATCCAGCAAAGCTAACCAATCAATCTTGCTAGGCTGTTGAAGCTCTGCCCATTGAACTATTAGTGGAGAAGGGTCATCCTCCTCTTTCAATGCAACAATTTTCTCAGTAACCAGTTTGCATTTCCCTGATATAGGCTTTGGTTCCTCAGGCCAATCAAGCTCTTCTGCCTCATGGATTCTATCGGCAACTTCAGCCCACTTAGGATCAGAAAGATCAAGTCCATAAATCTTGTATTTTATCTTCCCATGTCTCATAGGAAGAGTAACAACCTTTGGTTTCTCCTCACCCATCGTCACAGCCTCTTCACCCATGGTCACAGCATTCTTGCCCTCTTCTTCTCTGGAACGCTTCAAACCCTCATAAAAGTCGCTCTCTTCCATCTTCTCACGAGCCCATTTGAACCTAAACTCCCTCAGCAAATCCCCTCGGATTCCAATCTCACCAGCAAACCTACACATTTCCTGCACCTCCTCACATTGCAAAAAACCCTTCATTTTCTCCTTCTTCCTTTCCTTTTCCATATCCTCCAACACTGCATTGCTCACTTCCCACACTGTCTTCCACAAATCCTCACTGAAGTCTTGTGATGCTGTAGCCACAGCAGCACTAAACATATGTTCAAGACCACCCTTTTCCATCTCCGAAACAACTTTTCCAACAATAATCAAAAGCATACCATCAATCGTCTGTTTATCACAATCCTTATACACTTCAGATAACTTCCCGCGCATTATCCACACAAATCGCGACAAAAACTCATTCATGGTTTCATCCTCCTCCTCAGAATCTTTAGCATTGAGTTTCGGATTAAAGCTGGATTCAATCAACTTTGTTTCTCCAACAGAGTGCATATATCTATTAAAGGACAAAATGGGTTTTGAGTTACTAAAATTATAAAGAAACACACCGTTATGGCTGCTGCTTGAGGGATGTATTGAGGCTGTAATGGTAGAGAAATCTCTAAGAGTTCGTACTCTTTCATTGAATCTTGATATGTTGTTAACTACTTGCCTATTGACTAAATGCTTCAAATTCATACTTCAGATGTGTATACAAGCACAGAGCTCAAAAACCCAGATAAAAAATTGCCGCAAACACAAAGTAGAGATGTCAAAATGGCGAGAAAAACTTCAAATATCTGAAACAGGAAAAAGCCACATGGTAATGATAGTCAAACACAGTAAAAACACACAATCCTTCTGAGCTTTGAGGGAAACGATTGATGCAGAGAAAGATGAATTCATTACCTGAATGGAGGAGAATCGAGGACCGTGGATTCGCTGGGCGGCCAGGATTAGAGGGTTGCCGTGTTCTCCTTTGGGGTAGTGAAGTCGAAGAAGAGCACAAAAACCCTGCTAAATTCTTTTTTTTAATTATTATTATTGTTTAATTCTAATAATGAGAGCCGAAAACCCTGAAATAAAGGCCACTATTATCTGGAGAGGCCTAGGAAATCAAAATCAATCTAGACCATTAAACTGGCCCAAAAACTGCAACATAGCCCAACCATATTTCAGGGTTTTTTTTTTTTTTTCCTGAGAGAAAATGTCCTAGAGGAAAATTAAGAAGTAATAAATTTTTTAATGCGTTAGGTATCATAAAAAAAAAAAAAATGAATCCTTTCATGCTTCGTATAATAATTCGAGATAACTCACATTTGGCCACAATAATTCTTAAAAATATTTTCGACTTATGAAGCGCTATTTTCATTTATTTTTTTATTATCATGGTAAAAAATATTTTTATAATATTTTAACAGCTTACATGATAATCGAGATTAAATCCTACGGAGACTAAATTCTGTCCCCAAAAAATAAATTTACAAAATTCTCCTTATGGTATTTTCGTATTTAGTTATCAATGGTCCAAATAAGGCATTTACACCAAGGCTAACGGCCAAGAATCTTATTTCCCACCCCTCAAACCTCAGGTTTTGCGGAGAGAGTTCTGCTCAAGCTTGTTTCTAATTAGACACGAGATATTACGACCATTCTAGTAAAAGAGACAACACCTTGAGATTCCTGTGTAAGGCTGCGTCTTTAGGGTGGAAATGTTAGAAACCCTGACAAGAGAAACAAGGATTGAAATGTCACGAGAACTTAAAAGATCAAAATATAACAACTGATTCTATTGAAAGAATCTTGAGATTTTCCTTCTCAGATATCCAGATGATTTGTCCCCTTTATCGCGATTGCTGTTGCCGCTTGAGCTGTTTGTGGTCAAGTCAAAACTAGCACCAGAGGTGGAGCAATCTGCGACAACACCTTCTGTAACATGCCCTAAGAGCTGGAGCAATTCCATGGCAATGACTTGTCCTCTTGAAGTCCCATTGACAGATATACTGAACAATGATTGGGGGATGCTTCCTTCATTGACCAGTTGACAACACTGAAGCTCCTCGTAACATAGAGAGAGAACTTCGATTGTGTGTTCTTGTTCCATCTGGGTGCCACTTTCAAGAAGTTTGGCCATTGAATTGATGCATGAATCATTTTCAGCAATTGCATTCCTGCCCTCCTCGATACAGCATAAGTTCTTCAGAACAGTAAGGCAATAGCCTGAAAGACTGTCACGTAGAAAAGGAACCAAGTTTGGGAGGAAATCTAAATAGACAATGTGGTATGCTATGTCACTGTTGCAAGACAAATTACAAAGTATCTTCACAGCAAGCTCATGGAATTCAGTAATCTGAGTGTCCAAGATTTTTAGGATCGAAGGTAGAACTCCAGATGCTATAATTTCAGACTTGTAAAACTGATGGCGCGACAGCCATTCCATGATTGCAAGAGCTTTTCCACTAATTTTAGAATCAAGAAATGATGCTAACAAGTATATTGAATCTTCATCAAAAGTAGGCATTTTAATTCTGCAGAAAACAACTGAAAAGTTAATCAAGTAGTTAATTCTGCAGCGGTCAAAGGGCATGCAGATTAAAGTGAAAAACACTTTACAAACAGTGAATATAACTGTGAACTATCAAGAGGAATAAAAAGTTCATGATTCCTTAACAAACATCCAAGAGCAGCAGCAGAAGACTTATGGTGGAAATAAATGCTTTAATTTGCTGTCACAAGGTTTAGTCAAACAATTATGACCCTTTCCAAAATTGTACTCAAGCTGGAGGATTTAAAAGAGAGTTAAAAAAATCATCACATTTGCACGTAAATAAGAATGAGAAAATTTAGAAAAACTACCAGGATGTAAACGCAAGCGGAAATATTTACCTGTCTTCACTTAAAATTGCCAAAATCAGTTCTGCCGACTCTTTCTGGGCTCTTACATCACACAAATCATGCGCATTCTTCAAAACTTTAAGCAGCGATTTCATATAAATGTCAGAAGACATGGAATCACATACTTGCTCATTTTTATTCAGTTCCTCTTTAACATCTTGCACTGTCTTGCAATGGGATTTCCATGGAAGTGAAGCTAATTTGGCAAGACAGGCCAAGCCAGCCCTACAACCATTTGTTGGTGAGTGGCTTGTGCAAACTTCTTCTTTCGTTTCAGGGAGCCTAGCACTTGGGCCAGTGTTACCATCATCATCAATTAAATGTGAACCATAGTTTGTATCTGAAGATCGAAGCGACACGGAGCTAACTCCAAGGTGCAAGTCATTCATGGAGCTGCCAAAGCTAGCAATAGATTTGGGGGATGAGGATTTTGGTGAGGAAACTGGAGCAAAGTTTGACTGTCGGCATGGATCAGAAACAATGATTTTATGCTGGGAACACCATTTTGATATGAGGCCCTTCATTGCAAAGTTTGGAGTCAGGGACAGATTCTCCAGCCTATTATTAGTGATTGGGCATGTCTCATGACCCTCACTAAACCATTTCTCAATCCAAACTCGTTCGTAAGTTTTCCCAGATTCAATAATTACAGGATCATGCATTAGTCTCCTAGAGATGGGACATTCAAATTCACTGGGAGGTTTTGGTGTACTGTCTACTCGTGTCCCATCCCAATCTAAAAATGCTTCTGGATAAGAGGACTGACATTTTGGCTCTTTGTGAATAGAAAGATTGTTCTTGGTTTGATCTTGCCAAATTAATTCTCCGTACTTCCTTAAAAGATTCAGCAGATACTTCAAAATCATCTCCTTTTTCTGGTCATTTTGACGAACTTTATCAAGCAGTCTCTCGATGGACCTTTTCTCTTCCAAAACAGCCAACGGGGATGTAATTTTCAGACTCAAAGCTGCTAGTTGAAGAGCCTCAAATTCTGAATTTTTGATACAGTCTGATGCAGGTATATCCTTCTTAATCAGTGCTAGTACAATCTTCCCCGCCTCTTCCTCAGAAGATTCCAAGTGAAACTCTGCACTCCTGAGGTCTTCAATAATTCCAGATATCTGCAGACATCATTGTATTCTCAATTCAAAAGAAGAGATTAAAAGCAAATAATAATAATAAAATATTTCTGACCAGAATCCACAAGAATGGCCAGCCAACAGAGAACTAAATTGATGATGGACAACCCTCCGTAGATAATAGGTAGAAACAATCAGAAAGAGACAAGTTGCTTAAATCTTGCAGATGAGATCATAGAGGGCTCTATGAGAACTGAAATTTAACGTACTTTAGTTTAGTAATTGTTTGATAAAGCTTTCATTGATTAGCTTGGCCTGGAAAGTAATTTAACTCACATGCATCGTTAAAACGGTGGAAGGCTGCCATATCTCAACTGAGCTTCACAGCAAATTCTTTAAACATCCAATTTTGACTTTTTTTTTTTAAGAAATTTGTTGTACTTTTAAATAGAAATATGCAGAAATGCAGGACAATGTTACAGCTTTCCATGAAGGAACAAAAAAAGGAAGAACTATTGAAATGACACTTAAAATAATCGGAATTACCACCAATTTATGAGTATTGCAATATAGAACTATAAGCAGAAGTGACTTTCATGAAAACTACAAAGCAATAGGAACATGAACATGTCTAGTAGAAAAAGTTCAAGCTCTCATCCATGCTATACTTGAGACTTAAACCAGTAGCATCAATTAACAATCACATATTACAGTCTTGCCGAAAAATTAACAAATTAGGTTTCGAGGCATGAAGAACTGCAAACCTTGGCAGCCAGCAAAGTTGGAACCATATTTTCAATTTGGCCTAAATATAATTCCAAAGCATTCTGTATGCTTTTGCATCTCAAGAGCATCCTATCTGCCGTGATTGCCTAAAAAAATTGCATTCGATTATTAGTACCACACCTGCCACCATCGGGGAGGGGGAAGGGTATGAAGACAATTAAGTTTAAACAAAGAACAGGTGCCACAGAATAACAGTATAATGGCCGCTAGCAAAAGCAAATGAGGATTTTCTATTATACAAGTGAAACCAAGTACCAGATAGAGTTTACTGGAGTTGGTACAGCATTGGATAAGTAACTTTGCTCTATCCATAGTGACAACCAAAGAGCATAACACCTGTAATCCAGAAGTACATCGAGGCCGAGCAGACTCAATTGCTGGAAATATCTGTGAGATTCTGTCCACAAAGTTCTTAAGTTCTAAGCACATTAAACGATGCACCTGCGTTTATTGAATATGGTCGAAAGGTTACTACAATCAGAGAACAAAATACAATAGGAATACAGTGAAAGAATCAACCAAATTAAAGATTGCAGCTGTTATCCAGCTATTGGGGTAAGCTTTTGAGTCAAAACACCTAAAATTTCAAATTAAAGAAACTGGTGCAAGAACTTGCAGCCAAAGATCCAAGCTCACCTGTGCGATATCACTAGTAGTATATGTTAAATATGTAAATCAAAATCAAAATTTTGATTTTCACCTTAACAGAAAAGTAGCAAGGAAGCTCCACATCTTTAGCATCATCATTCCTCATCTCCCAAATCTCCACTTTTGCAAAAACAATTGAAGCCCATCTAAAAATAGTCAAAGTAAAAGCTGTGTGCAAAGGAATTAACCACATAGGCTACCTACCATGATTACAAATGGATTGAGCATGAAATTTAACTCACGGACAAAAAGAAGAAGGCAACGAGTGTGCCATGAATTAGAAAAAGACTAAAACGACAGGAGTCATGTAAGAGTTCACATCCAATTAAGGGGAGCTAAGGATAACATCCATTAAACTTGGGAGTTGAGAAACTGTAAGTTCTCTATAAAGAGAACCCAACTCTATTCAATTCTGCTTATATTGTTAAAAAAATAGAACCATACACTGCAGGAGTCCATGTTCACCCACTAATGACCATATCAAACGAAGAAAAAGCTACCTGTTATAAGAAATTCAGGACATGCTTTATGCCACCATCTAGCACAAGAAACCAAGGTTGGTTTTGCATTTCACAGAACCTGATATTAAACAGATTTCCTAGTTAAGAAGAAAGCTGATAACAAATCAAGCAAAAAAACTTCAATATGTTTCTAATGATATCAAAGTGTAAAACATGCAACTCAAGCAACAACAAAGAATCGTAAATTTTACTCTCTAACTCAAATGACAGAGATCCCAGCTTGTATAACAACCAGCTCGTGCATTAAGAGTCAAAGAGAAACGTTCGAGAAACAAATTTCAGACAAGCAAATTAAGTACTGCGAACAAAGACAATAACTATACATGCATACCAAGTACGCGCCAAAAGTTGGTTAAATTGAACTGTTGATAAAGGAGAGTGGTTTTTATTTTCTATGAAGTGAAAGTCTTTGGATTCAAGGATGGCATTGAAATACCAACTGGAGAAAGACAGAGGTTGGCTCTTGTCTGGTTCTGTTTCGGCATTTCGAGGGAACTGCCGTCCGCCGCAAAAGAAAACATCACAAAGCGTTTTTTTCTTCTCAGAAAAAGACAATACAAAGCGAAGCAGAACAATATTTTAGCGAGTAAATTATAAATTAGTCCCTCTAGTGTTTCGAAATGAATAACCTAGTCCATCTATGTTAAAAACTAATAATTAGTTTTCATAATTTTTTAAAATCTATTTGTAATTTAATCCTTGAATTCTTTTTTTATTTATAAAAAAATGAAAAAATGAAAATATATATATTTTTTAAAATAGTATTAAATTAATTATGATCAATAATGATTAAAAAATAATTAATTAATTTTTAAAATAAGAAATATTATTTAATTTTATTTTGAAAAACTAGAAGGACTGAAACTGAGTCAAAGAAAAAAAATATATCACATGAAAGCTAGAGTGCTGGACCCAAAAAAAAAAAAAAAAAAAAAGGACAACATCCATGAAGGCGCATTGATCCCCACTTCTCCGCGAGCGCGCCGGCATCTCTGGCCAATAGAAATTAGTAGCCCGCTCGTTTGATGGTACCCACACTCTCGCGGCTCTGATAAAAAACTATTCAAACTTCTCTAAAATGAAATCATCATAGAATTTAAATAAATCAAAATTAAGTTCGATAACTATTAATTTATAAGAAGAAAATATTTTTATTTTATAAAAGTTACTAACGTAATATGTCTATATCAATATCAAAATTAGTCTAATTTTATTTGAAAAGTTTGACTGCAGAACTTTTTTTTCTTTTCTTTTTCGAAACATCATTTTAGTCATTTGATTCTTAGAAAAAACAAATTTTCAAAAAAAGGGGAAAAAAAAGTATGTTCAAGAAAAGCAAGCTCATGCATGCCTAAGTTTGGTAAACTAAGCCCCCATGCTTGGCCATTTAATTAAAAATAACTAAGCGAACGACATAGTTTTTTTTTTTTTCAAAAATGTCAGAACTTGCCATCACCATCAGCCAACGTCCATATATGGATGTCAATGACAACAATTTCTCGTTGATTCCTAATAAAAGATAAACAAGAGGCAAAAAAACCCTTGAGTAAAAAAATGGTACTCATCTTATTAGTAGAAAAAAATTCTATATTTTTCAATGCAAAAAAACTTGCATAAAAGTAATGAAATCTGTTTTTTATTTATTTATTGATGAGTTTGAAATTGATTATTTCAAAAATTAAATAAAACATTTCTAACCTCTATTCTTTCTTTTTGACCCTAATGTTGTTTCCTAGGTTTAAAAATCATATTAGATAATAATTATATTATTTATTCACTTTAACATCTTGCAATTTTTTTGATATAACTAAATCTTAATGAATTTCAAATGTCTTAATTTTATAAGAATATTTCATCTACAATATTTCATCTTGAAATATTCTTATAAAATGAAGGCATTTGAAATTCATTAGGATTTAGTTATATATATATATATAATCCAAGCCATAATATTTTAAATACAAACTTCTTCATCCAACAAACTTTTCTATTACATTAATCTTTTTTAAAAAAAATTTGTTATCACAAATATTTTGAAAATCATAAACGATTATAAGAATGCATATCATGAAAAATTCGTTAAAAAATATTGTAAGAGGCTGTTTTCATATTAAAAACAGGTGCTTATAAAATAAAACGATAATAAAAAAAGAACATGGGACCATGCGTACTCCATTGGCGGACAACGGTCGTCCACTGCAATAACTTTCAGTGGCAAAAATCGGGGGACCACAGGCTTTGGTTCCAAAATCCATTTTGTTAGTTGTTTTTCGCTCCAAACACCTGAAAATCATCTCGAAAACCTGTAAATATTAATTTTTAATCTTAAAAATCATTTTAATCAAATAAAATTACTAAAAAATCGAATTAAATACAAAAAAAACTTATTTATTTTTTTAGATTTTAATCTAGTTTTATCTACCATGTCAAAATCTATAAATACGATCAATAAACCCTATCAATAAACACTTTTTATCGCTGTTAATAAATACCATTAATAGACTCCCTTTGTCAGAATGAAATCATTGACATTTATTTTGACAATTTAAGTAAAAGCTGCTAGTTAAAATACGCAAATTCAATCCAAAATCAACAAGGCCGAAGGGAAAAAGGAGAGTAAAAACATTCTATCTCAGGCAACAAAAGAAAAAGGGAAAGGAAACAATACATGCATGGTCCAATGACACCGACACTCAAAAGAACATTCATTAGGGAAAAAAACAAAAAACAAATGACGCGGACTCGGAAGGAACTTTCGCAAAATCCTAGAAGGATCTCAGGAGAATCTGATTAAAAAACAAGACATCCAAGACTACGAGCCCAACGGCTTTGTAGTGGACTTGATCAAGAAAATGACCCGTCAATCAAGTCCACATAATTCTTCTTATCCCTCACGTTAAGAGGTTGGCATCATGTTAATGCTTTCATACCGATCTAGAAAATCAAAATTTCAAAAGAAAATCAAGGAAAATGTCTAAAATTACAGATACAAGTCATTATCAACGTTTTAAATGAAAAACGAGTGATGCTGTTGCATCTTTCCAATGAGATTCCGAGTTTCTCCAACTTGCAATTTTGGTCGTCAATTCCACATGATTAGAATGAGCCTAAACTTGAGCCAGCACGAACTGCTCCAGACGTCCAGTACTCGATTCTCTGCTGGATTATAAAACATTGATGGGCTTATTTGCTGTCTCAAAATTTGGTTTCAACCTCGAAATTTTGTGTTAGACAACAAGGCCCAACCTCCAATAATAGGTCCATCCCATACAGAATAAAAGGCTGGAAACAAAGCCCACTGCATGAAAGTTAAATCGCAAGAAATTCTTGTCCTCCTTTGAGATTTTCCACCGCAAGATTCAGATGTTAGGTTCGTCTTCTAAAGATTTTGCCCGTGGGTATTCGTTTATTGGCATCTACCGAAAAATCAAGGATTCAGTCTTTAGTATTTGTTTGAAATTAAATTTGTTTATACTTCTTTTAGTCATTTAATCCCTCGTTTATGATATGATACTCAGATCGAGTTTACGTTTTGATGGATATAAAACTCTTTATTTTTTTCCTGATGTACTAATAATAAATAGATAAATTTGAAAACGAAAACTATTCTCTATTATCCATTCCTTTAAATTAGAATAAGAAGAAAAATTCGTTGAGAAAGCAACTCAATTAACAAGAAAAGACGTTAGATAAAATATTTTATTGATGATGTGTGAATTTTCAATATTTATTGTGGTAGATATGAGATATTAGGAAAAGATGGTTCTTTTTTAAATTGTGTTTGTGTTGAAATTAATAGGATTGTATTTAACGAAAGTGTAAGTCTTTTTTTACCGTTCAAATATAAAATTGTTTTGGACTAAATAATTATGAAGTGGTAAGAAAACGAACTAATAACGGTAAAAAAAGTCTATTCTTAACGAGTTTTGTAAAAAATATAAATTTCATACCTCATCAATTAGATTTTAATTTTAAGTGACACTAGCCCTCTGGCATAACAAACAGAGAATCTGGTTGAAAAAAATGACTCGTGTTTTTTAACATTACCCTGCTTTGATTTGTGCTCCCTCTTTAAAATGAAGCGCAGCATATCTGTTATTTAGGAATAAAATCAGTGTTAAGTCATCAGCTGAATGCTTTTGATCTAGATTTGCGTCCAACATGCTAAAAAAGAATATATCATCCTCAAGCACAAGATTGTCCTCTTAAGCGATCCCATTGGTTATTACATGAACCTCAAGCATCGACTTCTTATCTTTTGGAACATTCCACCAGCAAGACATCTTTTCACTGCTTCCTGAAGTAGATTCAATGACAAAAAGATCTTCTCTCGAAAATATTTTTCCATTTTTCAAAGATTCTCTCAATTGTGGCCCTCCTGCTTTTACGATCAGATGCGTAGACCGTGAAATAGAGGGCTGTACCCTCCCAAGTCCTAGAAGCCTAAAAGCTCAATAGACTATGGACCCTAATTAACCCAGGTAAAAAAGGAGAAAGAATGCCCCAATCATGGGAAAGGACTACAAAACAAAGGGGAATGGTTTCCAACAGGAAAAAGAGAAGGAACCCATTGACATAGCTCATTGAGGGAGACTTGAGAGAGCACGATAAGGATTCTAAATATCGAAGATATTATGGTGTATTTTATAGAGATTCCTTGCGCATTTACCAGGGCTACGTGGGTCTATTTATTCGGGCCCTTCCTCGGCATGTGATCGGTAGTCAAAAGAACGAAAAGGGTTTTCCAGAAATGCCTAAGCCTACACTAGCTAGCTTGTGTAGACTCCTTTCTTGTTTTCTTCTTACAAACTCAAAACAAAATCGCTGAGTAAATAGATCACAAAAGCCATAGCAGTCACGTTATGTATTTTTGTTCTTTTTAAAAGACAAAATATATGTGGGCCAACTTAAATTGATACTTAAGAATCTTTATTTAAATTGACAATTCAATCTAATTCAGATATTTTAAGAAAAGATGTTTTGTACGTGGTATTGTGTAAAAACTCCATAAACTTTTTTTTGAATTTTTTATACATAATAGATCTAAAAATCTAAATTAATTTCTCATTATTTTATCAGATGCACAAGACAAATAGGATTTTCTAAAAATTTATCTAAGTACGTAATGATTCAAAATCTATATCACTTACTTAAACGATTAAGAGTTTTTCTATTCAACCCAATCTTTTTAAATAAATACCATAAATTTTTTTCACTTACCTTAAATATAAGATTTCAAACATTAATAACTTGGCACATTTAAGCTATTCAAGTTATTCTAGTCGAGAAATAAAACACCTTTAATTTTAGAAGGATAAAATCAAATTATTCAACAACTTAGATTGGGTCACTAATGTATCTAATAATTGTCAAGTTGATCCTTGCATCATCAAATATGACCAACACTGTCTATAGATTGGGGACCCAATTGAGAAAAAGAATTAGGAGCATTTGTTGAAAGAAGGTTCCAATTGAGGATTCCTGGCTGGGGAACCATTTGAGAAAATTGTTATAGGTTGGGGACTAATATGAGATTTACCCCAATTATTGTATCGTAGGTTTAGCAAAATCCAAAAGAATCCACGCGTGGAGCAAATCATTAACTCGAGCAATGAAGTTGCTTTCAAAATCCAACAGGAAAAAAGCCCACTAGGTCCACTGGATTGAAAATTTGACGTTAACACATCATCATAATACCAAGTAAAAGTATCAAGAACAGGCCATCTGGGGTTTGTGTCGTTATTAGATCCATAGAATGGCCTTGAAAAACTTAGTACAAGGCCACCCTATGGTTAGCCTAACAAACACCAGAGTATTATCACGGGACCACAGCTAAAGACACTACCTCGTGTCAAATCCCTTTTTGTTTTGCCGTACAAAGACTCCTGGATGCATACAAAACAGTAAAAACAGATTTACCACATCCTAAAACCTAGTTTTCTAGGTAAATTTTTATAGAAGCTACCAATTTTAGCCACTGTGGACTGTGGTTCGTTTAATCAATGTAGAAGCAGAATTAGTATTTTAACCACATTTAGAATCTAACTTTCACAAGAATCTTCCGCCAATTTTTTAATTTATTTATTTAATATTTTTGGATAAACACATTCAAAATTTAGATAGACCAGCATACTTTTTTTTTTTTTTAATTATAACTATCATCCATCATTTCTCTTCTCTATTTTTTTCCTTCAGAGAAACACTAGCTTTTTCATCCATGTTATGCGAATTGGACATAATATATAAAATTATTGTTAAAAAATAATTTCATTTTGATATTCGTTATTAAAATATATCACATAAAAAATAAATAAATATTCGTTTAATTTTATCATTTTTAATTAAAAATTTATATTTGACTAATTATTCTTTATATTTTCACAAATTTTTTATTTAAAAATATTTTTTATTTATCTCTATCTATATTTTTAGCTAAAACTTATTTTGTAAATTGTTTTTTTTCTAAACATCTTTTTACTTTAAAATTTTTAATTAAAAAATCAGAGAAAAAAGTAAGGATCAAAGTAAAAAAAATGAAACAAAAAAGTGAGACCAAAATCAAATAAAAATACTTATAAATTAAAATAATAATATTTAAAAAAAAAGGATCAAATTATGTAATATTATGAAAGCTTTTATAATAAATATTTAAAAAAAATTATAAAAATACCAACTTAGAGTGAAAAGAGTAATAAATCTAAATCTGAACAAACAGTGCATATGAATTTAGATGAATAGTATGACAATGGTAAACTTATGTTCTGGTTGAAGTTTTTTTTATAATATCCTAATGCATGAGAGGGGCTATACAGTAATTCAACCAGGCGTTCCCCATTGCAGGAAGCAAACTGCTACTCCTAATAAAAAAAGTGACACAGTATCTTCTCTGAGTGCAACACCTAGTGATTCTGCTGATTCATCTACACAATAAATACCATCGCCGCACGCCATAGCAAACAAGCAGGCAAGAAACCTTTGGAACGTTGCTCAGAAGGCAGAATAAGCAGAAGGTGATAACATACCTTTTCCAAGTTCCAACATCAATGACGTACCCAATTCAAAGATAAACTTCTTAATAGTTTAACCAAAACCAAAATCTAATCTACAAAAAACCTGTTCTTGATGGCAACTAAACAGTCCTATGGCGCCGCCCTGTCTCGTAAGGTGCAATTCCATCCTTCTGAACTCTCAAGTTCGTCTTAAAATAGCATGTTAAAATACAAAATACAAGGTTCTTTACTATTTAATTAGGACATGCGTCACCAATATTAATAGTAATTGTGTTTTTAATCGATTTTTTTCTAATATATGATATTTACAAACACAAGGAAGTTCTTTTCTAACCCGAGTTGAGCATAGCTGCCAAAAATGGACTCTAGACATAGCTACTAAAAATGGAAAAATTAGTTGACCTTAGTCAGCAACTAATCATAGCACAAAAATCCATTATATCAATTTATCGGACAATTTTTTTTTACATTAAAGTAGTTTTTACAATAATTTTTTCAAAAAATACTGGACCACCAGTGCTAGGTACGACTAGGTAATTAATGATACTTTATTCGCCTTTTCTTTTTATCTTTTTGGTATTGCCGGTACTGTAAGAAATATTTGCAAGATCAGATTCACAAAGGAAAAAAAAAAGAGTGGCCAATAAACAAATATTGATACTAAAAAAAGGGTATAATAGTGGCAAGTTGTTCAAATGAGCAAAGCAAGAAAATCCCAGCCACAAAAAAGGTGGCAGAATACCATATTACTGCGTTTTATGGAGGTCTAAAGAGAGGAATGGAGGCTCATGTTGTAAGCGAATCTATATTATGTTAATGAGTAGACTCAAAATTGGGATCTAATCCCCACCAGCTGGTGAAAATTCTTCGAAGAAATCCACTTGCTGATGATATTATAAAAGACAAAGAAAAGACTTGATAAACAGCCAGTCCTTTACACTGATTCTTTTCTCATTTCTTCCTTACCTTTGCTGAAGGAACCGAATCGCATATTTTTATTATACCCTCGAGGGTGAAAAAAAAAAAAAAAAAATTCGCCAACAAGCACAACCCTACCATTTTCTCCTGCTTATAAGGAGCAGGCATGGCAATCTCTTGGCCATACCATCCCTTGACTTTCAGTCTTCTCACTTGACTAGCTTTTTCTCTCAAAGCTTCCTTCCTTTTAGCTTGTTTTTTTGGCTTTAGGAGACTCCAAACTTAACAGTCAACCACATTCCTTTCTCAACACCGTCCACTACTACTCAATTATCAATAAGGGAAATGTCTTATTTCACATCTTCACATGGTTCTAGCTCCTCCTGGACACCCAAACAAAACAAGCTGTTTGAGAAGGCACTGGCTGTATACGACAAAGACACCCCAGACCGCTGGCAAAACGTGGCCAAGGCTGTGGGTGGCAAGTCTGCCGAAGAGGTTCGGAGGCACTACGATCTTCTTGTGGAGGATCTCAAGTATATAGAATCCGGCAAAGCCCCTCTGCCGAACTACAAGCCCTCTGGGAGCAATGGTAGAGGACTTGTTGAAGAGCAGAGGTAACGAACGTTTATGGTAACGTCACTGGATAAAAACTACTACATGAAAATTTATAATTATCTTCTCATTTCAACTTCTATATTCTTGCATGCGATACTTTTTTATTCTCGCTTCTTATTTAGCTCAGTGCACACTCTTCGCTACCACAACAATGCGATGCATCTTAAACATGTTCGAGACATGAGCATTCACATTGCCATTAATTATCCTTCCAAATTAAAAGGGCATTGAGCAGGCACAGACTAAATCTCATCTGTAGTTGAGGCAACTACAGTGCTGCCGATGGCCATTACTGTCACTGAATTTGCCATGTTTAAAGCATGGGCATTGTAGACTTCCCATCCCAAGATAAAAGAGTCTATAGTGTACACCGTTTCTCTCTACTTTGCCCGTATATTGCCAACTGCCCACTGTATATATGTAGATTTTCTTTTTGGCATTTTTTTCCTTGCAATTAAAAAAGCCATTCAAACCATTCCAGCAACACCTCCTTAGATTGTGTATGATGTAAAAAGAAAAAGATGCCACAAGTTTCTTGTTCCAGCATTAACTGCGGGTTTTGAGGGTTCGTATGCCGGCCAAGTATTCATGCATCATCTTTTCATTATCCACTCACCTTTCCTTTTCTAGTGGCTAGCAATAGGGTAAAACCTAACGCCGATCCTTGTACCCACAAGATAGTCTTTTTATCAATTCAAATATTAATTATACATAGGCTACAGTCTATCCATTATCTATGCAACTTCCTCAAGCCCATATGAAATCTAATCTTGCTTGTTTTAGATAACATGCACATGGACCTATAATTTGGAACTGAGCATAAAATTATTATAAATTGGCTAGCCGGTGCTTCTAGTGCTGATAAGAATCATTGTGTGACACAAGAAAACACAAGTTTTTTAATCAAATTTCACATTCCTTTCTATCGCAATTCATTAATTCCCACACCAGCTCACGACACAGGTTCTTGGATCTAGCTAACTTAAGGCAGCATTACCTGCTGAACCAAAAATTTCATGCACCAATGTGCCCAGAGTCAGCTAGTCTATTCTAAAAACTAAATAAAACAATACCCTCGATCGAGTACCTGTACAAATTCTAATTTCAAGGACAATGTGGGTGCTGATAACCTACCGAAATTAATTAAAACTAAACAGGTCAACTTGGGAATTAAATATAATTATGCATCACTAATCCCTTTTTCTTTTTCGTTTCCTTTTGTGACAGGCTTATGAGGAACTTAAAGCTGCAATGAACCACCAAAGCTCAATGCGACTAGATCTGTGAAAACCATATGCGTGGAAGACAAGTATTAAAAAAGAAGTGAATCTAACTTGCTGGTTCTAGTTCTGTCCAGCGTTAATTACTGTAGTAATAATGAACGCAACATGAACAAGTCATGTGCGATTCACCCTTCTTAAGCTTGTATGGTATTGTATCTACTTTAATGGTGTTTTCTACTGTTACTTTTATATAAAATATTGTATTTTACAATTTACATGTTGGAAAATTATATAAAATTATTTTTAAGGTATTATTTAACAGTTTAAGTTTTTAAATGAGATAATTTTTTAAAATAATATCAGAATTTTGTTTATTAAGTGGTTTTTGACATTACATTTTCTTTTTATTCCTTTCTAACCAGTTGAACAATTATAGAGCACTAAAATCTAAAAAAAAAAAAATTAAGAACATAACTCAAATTAATCATCTTTAAATTTTGGTTCTTATGCTTAGTGGGTTTCTTCTCTATAATATCATCTCTTTCTTTCATCAAAATAACTACTGAACATTAATAAAAAAAAATAGACGAATTGGTCTTGATCAACCTTTTGAAACAATTGGCAAATTAAAACTGTACCTTGATTAAATATAAATATAGCACCTTAATTAAGGATTATTAGAACTCGCCTCTAGAGAGAATAACACGTAATTATATGTCAGAGCGACAAATGCACTTGAGTCTGTAGGTAAGAGAGCTAAAATCTAAAGATAGATATTATTTTAATTTAAAATTTAAAATTAATAACTCATAAATTTATATTATTTATAAACATTTGATTTTATTTTTTTTAATTTCTGAGTAATATAAAAAATTTCACTTACACGTAGAATTCAACACAAAGCAAATGGTATTTTACAAATCAGCGAACGGGAGGCAGGAATCGGAAACGGCGCCGAAGTTAAAGATCAAGAAAACTTGAAAAAACCAAGGGGAAATCTTGACCGTCCATTGTTCTTGAAAATGAACGGTTAGGGAAAATGGGTGAATATTTCTGATTATTGACCAGCAGAGCGGGAACTACGTTGAACTTGGAGAAATACCCCACTACTTTTAAGAAAGTGTTCATTCTAGTCCTATAATTTAAAAGTTTTACTTATTTCTTGTAAATTGTATAGTTAATTTACCCCCTAAAATATTTACAATTATTCTATGATCCATGTTTAGTTTATTTCACTTTCAAACGTATATTGATGAAAAGTCATTAATACTAAGCATCTATTAAATGCATTTGTAAAAAAAAAAAAAAAAGAGCTTATATTTTGTACTATTTGATTTTTCCAAACCATCATCTACAACACCTGGCGAACAACAAACTTTGTATTAGGATATTGGATTTTAATGTTATGATTTTAAATTTAATCATAAATCAATCTTGTAATGATACATGTAATTTTATATGGTACCAAACTCCATTTATTATTTGATATTAGTTCTGTGCATAATTCTTAGGAACATAATTAACTGATAAAAGGAATTATTTATGATTATATGAGATTGATATATTTAATTATATAGTTATCTTTATTAATTTAATACAAAAACAGTGAAATTAGACATCCAACATTTCATCAGACCATTTGGTTCAACTCCAAATTGTTTTAAAATGGTTTGACATGGTGGAACAGACCAAAAGGTGTGGCCTCGAACCCACAGCATGCTTCTTTCCCGTAAAATGTATGATCCCTGGTTGCCTAGCTAGTTGCTTCAGGATGCAAGCCAAGTGAAGCAACATCTGCCTTGTTTCACTCTCATTCCCTCATAGCACAAATTTTGGTTTTTGTTTTTGTTTTTGAGACAGAGGTAAAGAAGGATTTAGAGAGGACAAATTCTATCACACATTTTGATGATCTATACTGGCAGGACAAATTTAAACCCACTAAAGAAAGAGAATAAAACACACACCTCACAAATTTGTGCGATCATATATGCAGCTGGGAAAAATGGTTTCTGATGGTAATAATCGTCCCAGGATAGTTTCCTAGAACATTATAAATAAAGAAATGAAACAGCATTTAATTAAAAGCTCACATTCATCAGTTGTAAGGAAAAAAAGAAAAAAAGATCAAAAGATGGCAAAGACAGCATTTGTTACGGTACTTTCATTGGTGCTGCTTCTCTCAATATCCCGCACCGTGGTGGGTACAGAGAACCAAGCAGAAACCATCTATAATCAGATGAACCAGGCTGCCTCCCAAGTGAAGGAGACAATGGAAAGCGTGTCAAATTCCCTGGGAAATAAAATGGAGGAAGCCAAGGAGACCACCTCGTCATGGACTGGCTGGTTTAACCATGTGTTGCAGTAAGTTGTGTGTAAATGAAATATATGTGTAGAAAGTTTTTTCATGATGTCTTACGAAGTACATACATGTTTTAGAATTCTTGATTTTTTAGATTCATCCAGGTGAAGAAAGTTTCTTCAACGGATATTAATTGGCTTGGTGTTTAATTTCAGGAACATGGGTTTAGGTTCGGGAAATCATCAATCAAAAGCAGCAGCAGGACCAGGACCAGCACCCGCACCGACACCCATTGCAGCAGGCCCCCGTGCCATAAGATTTTGATAAGCACGATCATAGTTTCAAATAATTACACATCCGTTATAGAGATATTATTATTATTATTATTTTATTATTGTAATAAGCTATAGTTTGTATTATTAGTTATTATTGTAATAAGCTATGGCCTGTAATCGAAATTACGATTGTTTTTGCAGCTATATCCACAATTTAAAACTATAAATACCATTATACAATATGTTCATTTTATAACAGGATGATCAAGATGTAATCGGTTCCCTTTTGCAGACTGTACGTTTTTTATTTTAGAGGAAGATTTCTCCCGGAAATCTCCAATTGTATATTATCGAAGCAAAGTCACCAAGATGTAAATTGCTTGTATAAATAAAAACAACTCTTTTGTAGAGAAATATATAGTACGAGTTTCTTTAATAGCACAGCATTCCATGTCACTTGAGTTCAAACGTCCAGGAAACGAAGCTCATGAAGTTATTTTGGCATAGATAGAACTTTTTAACAAAGACAAAACGACATGATATATAGAGAGGAGATTCGAATTCAAGAGTTTTTTTTTTAAAAAAAAACCATTAATAATCGAAATGAAACTAATTTGAATATAATTTTTTTTTAGTATAATGATTAATCAATTTTTTGGGCTTAAAAACGAGTCCCTTCGTTATATTATTTATATTTATTTATAACTTAGTCCTTATAAAATAAAATAAAAATTAATTGACTGTCAATTCTGACTTATAATTTTCAAAAAATCAGAATAACTAACACTAAATTATATAATTTATTCGATTAGTTTCTTCTCGGTGGAACTCAACGTTGGGATCCCACAATTTAAAGCAGTCCGGCAAAACCTCCTGGACCGTACACCCAGCCCCAAAGCCCATCCTCGTTTCAACATTCACTCCCAGGCCCCACACAGCTCTCCACCACCGAGAGATAACGTCGTAACCTCTCATCAACGCCTGGATTCTCAACCCACCCACGCATCACAAACACATCATGGACCGCAACACAGGCGATCGAATCCGCCCGCTTTATGCGATTCAACTCGGTTCGCAAACTGAGGACGCTCCCTAACGGTTTGATTGACTTGACGCCGTCGATTTTAGTTCATAAGAAAAGGTACCATCAGGAGTAAGTAGTCTATGGGAATTGAAATGGTTTTGGGATGAAAGGTGCAGATTGAGTGAAGAGGAAATCGTGGGCCAGCTGAGCCCTAGAATTTAAGGGCGGAGGATTTTTCAGACCGATAAAGTCGAATGTGGTTGCAACGTTGTTGACAGAGCAGCCATTTAAGAGTAAAGGAGAGTTCTAGTAGGAAAAAAAAATTAAGGGTGATTAATTTAATGGGTTCAAACTTCGGCTATTTTTTTTATATATATATATATATTTTTGTAGCCTTGTTTTAAAGTACAATACAGTTATCTTTTCAGATTAATCCAACAAAAGGATAGGAGAAAAAAAATTAGATGAATGTATCATCAACTTGGGCCGTGAAAATTGACTCAAAATAAAAAAATATCTTCAAGGATAAAATAAAAAATATACAATATAGCCTTTATTTTTGAACATTTTCTTATAATTTTTTTGAATGGGCAGGAATTGATCTCGTTTATATAGAGTAAATTATAAATTAGTCCTTCCTGATTACAGAAACCAATTAAACATTTCTTTCATCATTTGAAAAACTAATTATTTAGTTTTCTAATAGTTAAATTTTTATATATGTTAAAGTAATACCTAAAAATATCCTTTAATATATATACTTATCTGCACATATATGTGTTGGCGTTTGAAAAGAGAAAAAAAAGTAGAGATTGATAAAATAAAAAGTGAAGATTTAGAAAGAGAAATGAGAATTTATTTTGATGTTTGAAGAGAAAGATATAGAGAAAAATATGCTTGAAAAACATAAATAACGCATAAAAGAAAGAATAATTTGTAGCAAGAATATCTCATTACCTCTTTAACATAAATTTGATAAAAACTAAATTATCAACGAAATTAAAATATAAAAATTAAATAATTAGTTTTTAAAATTAAATAGATTAATGGGAGGGACTAATTTACGATTTACTCTTTTTTATATATGAGAATAGTAATAAACATGGTTTTCTTAGAGTAACAGAATTTTAAATGGGCAATGTCTTGGAATTTCATTTTTTTTCACTGGCTGTCTTGATAAATGCTGAGTGATACTATGGTCTTGTAAAAGGATAAATGCTACCCTGGTTCATGGATTGATGCCCGATAACTAATTATTGATCTTTTATCCATTGCATGTGCCAAGACAGTACATTGAATGCGACTTGGGCAGAAAAAGAGTCCAGCCTAGGGTGACCTTGGACTTGATCATTACACTCTCACACCAGGTGAACGGTACTTAGATTAAAATCCATTGACTCTGTTTAGTTTTTACTAGCTTTTTTACTTGCAGGGTAAAAAATATGTAACATTATTTTATTTTAATATTTTGTGTTATATTGTATCTCTATTAAATATATCAAATCAAAACTGAATAAAAATTTAATAAATTTTATTATTTTTAATCAAAATTTTATATTTGATCAATTATTTTTTATATTTTCATAATTTTTTTAAAAAATATTATTTATTTATCTCTATCCATATTTTAACTAAAATCTTATTTTATAAATTGTTTTTTTTCTAAACATCTTTTTGCCTTAAATTTTTTAATAAAAAAAATCAAAGGAAAAAAAAACAAGGATCAAAGTGACCAAAATGAAATAAAAAATATTTACTAATTTAAAAAATAATATTTAAAAAAGGACCAAAATGTAATGTCATAAAAATTTTTATAATAAATATCTTAAAAATATTTAAAAACTATAAAAATATCATAAATAAATAATACAAATGAATAGTAATAAATGGTTTTAGTTTATTTATTTATTCATTCATTTATGTAAAGTTGACCAATTTAATAAAATTGCACTAATTTTTTGTAATGTTCATTTTTAATTGCAGGAAGAATTGTCAAAAATTAGATGACGGATGAGGACGCATGTGATCCAATGAATTGACCAATATGGCCCAACCCTACTAATTTTTGGGTTCAAATGCAGATTGCGTTGGGGATATAGACAGATAAGATTATCAAGCCTAACATGGCCCATATTGTTGCCCTTGTATTAATTGGGATTCATGCACCTCGTATGATTGTTTTAATGCTTGAACACAATCGAGATAAAGAAGAAAGAGGATATAATCTTTCCTTCCTCTAATAATTCTGATGGAGAAAATAATTGAGCAACTCGTGAATATATGGACAAACAATCCCAACATAATAACTTCAATGGGAAAAGAATGCAAGCTTTTTTTAAGTTCTAACAACATTGGCACTGAGAAGAAGGAAGATTGTAAAACATAGGATAACATGAGAATTTTACAAATTTATGATCAAGGACAGAAAAAAAAAAGAAACAACTTAATTCCCATATCCAATAATCTTGCTAATTGACCCACCTCCCTCTCTGTTTTCTTTTCCTTTTTTTTTTTTTTTTTAACAGACCTCGCCTTCCTACTAAACTGAACTAGCTAGCTACCAACCAAAGCTTTTCACATTTATAATATCCATAATGGATCCCTCATCACCTGAAGCAATTAATGATATTCATCTTCAAAGAGGAAAACATTATGGGTTCTCGTTCTCGTTCTCGTTCTCATCAAGTGGCACTTGTTGCTGTGGCTGCTTCTTCAAATTCTTGTTATTATGCATCCAAACCTTGAAAACCTGCCTCCTCACACCAACTTCAGCACAAAACTTCTCCACTTCCTCCTCATCTGGTTTATTAATCCTCCACCCAACTTTGTCTGCAAACTCCATCATCTTATCTTTCTGTTCTGGTGTGAATTTTGTCCTAAATCTTTTCTTTGACATAACATAAGGTGGAGGAGGGGGCACTCCCTCTGCATTAGACTGAAAGGGATTAAGATCCTCACTTGAAGACTCAGTTCCTCCACTTACACCAAAAGCCACACTCATGGGTTGAACCATATTTGCAGTGTTAGGACTGGTGTGCAACCCCATCGAATATCTCTGATGATGGTGGTGGTGATGCAGTACAGTTGGAGAAGGCAATGGTGGTGGCAACTGAATACTATGAACCATAGTAGTACTTCTTCTTGAACCCGGACTGAATTGGGTCTCTCCATCGATTTCTCTGCGGTGAAAGTTGCGGTGGCACTCACAAGCAGCACATTTTAGTGCTTCCAAACTTCCTTCTTCACCTCCTGGCATGAACTCACCACAGCCATCATAAACATTGCCGCCTACACTTGCTGCGTGGTTTCTGAGACATTCACGGTACCTTGTATTGGATGCTTTGGAGTTGGACCCGCTTGAGATGATTGCAAATCGATCTGGGTTAGGAGATCTTGAGGGCTGGTGTTGGTGATCTAGGGTTTGAGTGTAAGTAAGGACAGTGGTGCCATTGTGGTTCCCATCTTTTCTTCTTTCTAGTCCTGACGACTGATGACTGTAACTTGAAGGGACTGACGTTCTTATATCATTTTCTGGACCTCTTATTTCCATGATTTTGCACCACACCTAACTTTCTTACACGCAGTACTATAATCTTTTTCTTTTTTTTTGAAAGAAAATCCCACCTTTTTTTTTTCCAAAGAAAATCTTAAAACTTTCAGAATTTCTTATAATAATGGAACTTTAAATCTTGGAACTCTCCAATATTTTATGCCTAGTAATAAATGAGAAGCAGTTCAAAAACAAAAAACTATAGTAGTAGCAAGCTTAAAACGTACTAAGCTAAATTCGAAAACTCGATATTTTGTCAGTTCTTCTAAGACGCAAGCTTGGGATGAGATAAGAAAGAAGAGAGGCAATAGAATGAAGAAAAAAAAATCTTAAAAACAAACAGGAAATTGAAGGCCAAATGGGACCTAACTCACAGTTTCAAAAGAGAGACAGGCCACAGCTAGCATCATCAGCACCATCAGCATCAACTCTTTAACATGTGTCTCTCTAGCTAATGTTTTCAAGTCATGTAGAAAACAGAAGAATTAGCAGGAGAGAGATGGAGAAGACAGAGGGTTCTTTAAGCTTTAGATTATGGGGGGTTTAGGAGTAAGTGCTGTGCTTCTGGGCTTCCAACAGGCCAACTACATATCCAACAAGAGACAGCTTGGTTGCTTGTGATGGAGCCAGAGGGTAGATAAACTTTGTGAGGAGATAGTGATGAGATTAAGAGCCCTTTCTCTGTACAAAACAACCGACAACGTCATGTTCATCCCTCTCCCACGCCCTGCCACATTGGGTCCCACTTTACCCCTTCATTATTGCCTCCCTTTCCATTTCTTATCTTTAACCCAACTTGACTCCCCAAATGACCAAACAGATGTATATGGTGTACTCCTCACCGTTGATGCGACCTAGCTAGCTACCTCTTTTTTTTTTGCTACTGTGCTTATTAGTCTAAAACCCTTGACATTACATTTCCTCTAATTACTTTTATCAACAAAAACCTATGTTTGGTTCCACTGTTACTTGGATTTGCAGAATCTACATGGAAGCTATTTGAAAGAATTTTTCGCAAATGTTTAAGATTGGAATGCGAATGAAGATCAAAAACTCAGCTGGGTAATGAAAATTGGCTCCAAGAATATGTCCGTTGTTAAAAAAAAAAGTGTAATTAAGAATCTGTTATATATATGTTTAAAGTTTAATAAGAATTTTTATGCAAATTAAGAGGTAAAGAGCTGCATTAACATGAGAGAAGGAGATGGGGGGTAAAAAGTGAAAAAATCTGCATGGGAATGGTCCACAGTGATGGTGTTGTCGTGTAGTGTAGTGCAGTATGATTCTCTAAATCTCAACTCTCAAGCATGACCATAGGCTAATGTGGGCATTCTGTTTTTGATCTGCAAATTTCTCTGAAACACCACGCTTGCCCCAAGCAATGTCTTTACCTTTCTGTGATGCAATCGATGGCTTTATTTGTCCCTCTCTTTGGACATCCTTTGCTTTGGTACTTACCTATTTGCTTGCTACATAGCTCTCTACCAGTTCTGTTCATATTCATTTTTTTTGTTGCAGTACAGTACAGCTTCCACCAATTGAATTTCGAAAGCTAGAGTCAGAACCCAGGACCTTTATACATTTTTCTTTTGTTTCTATTATAAATAGCATGATCCAACTTAGAATCTTTTTTCCCTCTTTCTTTTTTTAAGATGCAAAGCACATATTCTTTTTAGGTTGTAGTCCTGCCTAATTTCTATTGCAATTTTGAAGCCTTTATATCACATCTGCTATGAAACTTTTTGGGAACATAAAGAGAAAATTGGTGGAGTATTTCAATTTAGGAACTTTAGTTTCAATATCTCTAGACATTTTAACTTGGCATGCATATTGCAAATTTTCAAGTTTCCGGGGTGTGGCAGGCCAAAGCATGACGCTCGAGATTTTTGTCTACCATTCCTGTGGCAGCTCATTTAGTGTTGCGATCTTGCTACTCCTTCCACTAGTTATGGTTCACCAACAATATGAACGGTTTCTTAATCAGCTTATTAATCTGGAAAAGGCATTAAAACAAAACATGGATTTGAGACTCAACTTCTTCTCCTGTGCCTGACTTAGAAAAACCACTTTAATGGGTTTAAGGTTTGATATTTCGTGTGAGAAATTCTTGGTTGAAAGTAGTAACACGTTAAAGCAAATGGACAAATAAATAGAAAAAGAAGTCTTAAGGTTGGGCTCTTAATTCTTTTCTAACCCCATAAAATGTGCTTTTTGAGGGTGTAATGACATCGTTGGGCCCTTAATTGGGGTGATATTAACCTCGATGTGTTGTATTTGTTTAATTTATGATTTTTTTTATTTTTTTTATAGCATGAGTTAACCTCTTTGCCTAGGGAAAGAAATCAAATTGCAACATTTTCAAAACCATGATCTGAGTGTATTGACTTCACAAACCCATGGTTTTATAAAGATTACCAAACACTCATAAATGTGCTTTTTGACCCAAAATTCGTTCTTTCATATTCGACCACAACGTCAAATAGACACCTCGGTTCGGAATTGTGGTTACGGCAAAATTAAGTAGCCAGGAAATTAGCTTTAATTAAATTTTGGCAATTGCGTTTTTTTTTTAAAAAAAAAAGTTATACAAAAGAGGTTTGAATTTGATATTTTAGGAAGAAGGAGGACACTAATATTAATGAGTTACAGCTCCTTGATTATCTTTAGGTGTACAATTAAATACTATTTAAGATATCAAAACAACCCGAGTGCCTAAAAGGATCAAAATAAATAATTCTATGATCTATTGAGAGATTAGGTGTATTTTGCGGTGATTAACTTTATATCTGTACTATTTTTTTCTACCAATATCATCATATTTTATGTTTTTTTTTATATAAAAAATGAGAATATTTTCAGATAAATGAGGGTCTTATCACTAATTTTTATAGCGATCAACTAACAAGACATGTTTTGATCGAGCCATTTATTGTTAGGTTTATAATAATAATAATTAGAAAAACTCTTAGGAAAAATTTCTCTAATTTTTTGTTTTAAAATAATTACTAGCCGATTACCATACTTTTGTGCATAGGTTAACACAATAAATAAATAAATATCTTGTGTATATATATATATATATATATTAGAAGGTAAGCAATGATTGAATGTTAAATTTTCAAAAAAAAAAAAAATTATATTTCTATGGAGAATTGACTATAAATGAACTTCAATTTCAAAAAATTATCATTTATTCAACAATGATCATTACCTTTTTGTTGTATTTGGATACTCTGACAGTGGAATTACATAATCCACTCTTAGCATGTTGAAAAATGCGATGCTTCATTGACTATTCAATCATCTATTTCATGAAATTATAACTATTTCCTTCTCTGTTATTATATAAACAAACTTGAAGAAAAATAGTAATTACAAGTAAAAATAATAGTAAACTATTAAATTATGAAAGTAAATTTACTTTTAAAAACAAAATAAATTACACGACAGAATGGAAAATATTAGAAAGATTAGATCTTTATCAAATCGTATGAGATTGTAAAACTCACAACAACAACAACAACAAAAACTTTTAGACTATTGGCTTGATCAGTGTCATAGCTCCTTCTTTTTAATTTAAAGAAACACAAGGTTTTTATTTTTTGGGAAGAGAAACAATTTTATATATTTGTAAGATACATAAGTCCTCTCTAGATATTTAGATCCTTGAAGTAGAATTATATTTTGATCATATTAATATGTGTTGAAGTTTACGTAATTAAATAATCATAGAAACTATGTCCAATTATTTAACTAATTATAATATTCCTAATAAAAAATAATGAAATTATATAAAAATAAAATATTATCCTATATGGCATCGATCACGAGCATTAATTAAAAAACAAATCTTCAAAATTCTAAAAAAAAAAAAATGAAGATAAATACTTGAAATTTATCCAAATGCTTGGGATGCTTTTGAAGCAATGACCAACTTTTTTCATGATTTCATCCTGTTATTCAAGCCTTTCAAAATAAGCATAATATTAAGAGTGATTGTTTATAGCGTAAAAGGTCACAAAGTTATTTCTAAATCCTTAAGAAATTCTCTAAATGCAAAATAGGAAGTACTGCAAAACTGGATTTCATAATAATATTATGAAATCATAGATTGCAAAATAGAAATTCTCTAAATTCAAGCCTTAATTTATGACCCCATAACATCACAGATTGCAAAACCCTCTGTCTGACTGTCTCCTATCCCAGCTTTTCCCCACCCTGAAAAAACACGAGGACTAAAAGAGTCAATAGGGTACCATTTCCGGGTACAAATTTTTAATTTCTATTTCTTTTTAAAGTCTCTTTGAAAGGTTATCTAGATATGTGATTTAACATATTATAAGAGAAGAGTTTTAGCAAAAAAAAAAAACTTTTAGCTTTCTGGCTTTATTAATTAATGTCCTTTTAGGGCTTTTTTTTTTTTTTTTTTAAGGAAAAAAACCAAGTTTGTATATCTTCAAAATATATAGAGTCCTCTCCTAAATATTTAGATCCTTGGAGTAAAATTCTACCTTTATCGTATTAATACATGTTGAAGTTTATGTATTTAACATCCTTTTCTTTTTGTGAGGTAGAAATTCTATCCAATTATATATATATATATATCTTACTCACCATCACTTGAATCAAATAAAACATTATCCTATCTGCCATCTCTAGATTCAAGAAATAATTTCAAAATTCAAATGAAAAAAAGAGGATAAATTGGAATTTAATATACATATAGATAGGTGTTATTAACTCGGCCGTACACTCGTTCCTTATGGGCCGCAGTAAAGGAACTCGCTCCAAACAAGAAAGAAAAGGTCCATATCAGGCTCAGACCTGGAGCCGCTCGCATTTTTAATCCAAACCAAACCATTTTTAGATTAGACAGAAAATAAAAGCCCAGCCCAAACAGAAATTTTCTTCTCCTACTAGTTGTTGTTTTCCCTGGGACGGGACAGGAAAGGACACAAAAGTATGTCCAATTTTAAGTTCACGTGATAGACTGTAGCCCTCTCCCATTGCATTGAGTTTTCGAGAATAAAACATTGATGAATCCAAAACTACTTACGGGTGGCTTGAAAAAAAAGATTTAACACTAACTGGCTCATTGATTCAAAGACAAGCATCCACAATTTGTTTCTCTCACAGAAGAGAGAGCAATTGGGGACGATTTGGATTGCTTGAAAGGGCTAGAGAGATTTCTTGATCTTTCCCTTTAGCAACTACTCTAATTCGTCCTTGTCCTTTCTCTTTATTTGCCTTACCTATTACCTCTGACGATGACAAGAATAATCTTCCATTGTTATCCCCAAATTGCATCTCCATTACCCTACTCACGTTGCCTCTAATCAGCATATCTTTAGCAGCCCATCTTTGAATCTTTCCTGAAGTTGTTTTCGGAACGCTTCCACTCTTGACTAGAACCATCAAGCCAATTTCAACTTTCTCTTCCTTCAGAACAAATTTCTTGACCCGTTCATAGATTTGTTTCAATACCTTAACATCTTTTTCATTTCTTTGCATCTCTGCAACAAGAACTATAGTACCTGACATCTCAAATGCTGCAAGGCAACCTCCCCTGAGGAGCTTTTGACAGCTATTCTGAGCTGCTGTCTCTATGTAATGAGGGTGTATTTCTTCATTGTTTGGAAGTTTGATAACATCTGAACACCGACCGGTAACGTAGAGAAACCTTTCTTCTCCTTTGATGATTCCTCTGTCACCTGTGCGGACAAAGCACCGGCTCACCTTGTTCCTTAGTCTTGCTTGAAATATCTCTCGAGTCAAGGAAGGGTGGTCAAGGAAACCTGAACAGTTGCTAGGAGATGAGACCCAAATCTCTCCTTCAATTCCATCCTCAACAGGCTCATGCGTGTCTTCGTTTACAACTATAATGTCCATGTCCTCTACTTCTTCATGTTGAGAAGCAAGCCTTGCACATGGCAAGAGCTTGTTGTGCGATGGAATGTGCGGAAAGCTAGCAATATTGCCGCAATTGCCTCTCCATGCTGTTGAGACAAAGGTGCAGTTTTCTGCGAGGCCATATGATGGCGAAATGCATGATGGGTTTAACCCAAAAGGCTTAAACACTTCGACAAATTCGTCAACCGATGCTCTGTAAATAGGCTCGTTGATGATGATTAAGTTTTTCAAACTCCATAAACTTATAGGCTGGGTTCCTTTATCAACCCCACCACGCTTGACAACAAGTGGTAATGAGAATGATGGAACTGGAGTACAAGTAGCTTTGGATTCTGAAATCAGCTCAAGCCATAGCCTAGGGCGATTCACAAATGCAGCAGGTGATGTTAGCACACTTGTTGCACCAGATATGATAGTCAGCAGCAAAAACTGAAGGCCACAGTCATGGTACTGAGGCAACCAAGAGACAATAACACTGTTCGGGTGAAGATCGTAGGCTTTCCTGGCTACTCTCACATTGTGAGCAGCTGCTCCTGCTGTTACCAGCACTGGTTTTGGAATCCCTGTAGCACCTGAAGTGTATTGAATTAAGAAAACTTCATTTGGTCTACAGCCATTATAAGGCAATGAGACCATATTTGAACTCACTTTCTTATCTTTGATATCGGAAGTAGAAATCCAAGTGAGCTTTTGCAACATTTCTGCAAGCTTATGATTGTCAGAGGACAAGGAGATGTACTGTTGAACTCTGGCAATATAGTCATGGTGAGCTATGGCAGCTTTGGGCTTTGTCTGGGACAGAACTCTAACAAGATGGTGATAGTTTTCTTTAATGAAAGAAGGATCCGGTGGGAACATAGGGATGCACAAAAGGCCAGCTCTTTGGCACCCAAAGATGACCTCAACAAGCTCGAGCCCAGGTGAGCATAAAATGACAACAGTATCACCTCTTCGGAATTGAAGAAGTAACTGGGTAGAAATTGACTGCACTGATTCATTGAGCTGAGCATAAGTGATGGCTGAATTTTTGGTTGCACCATTCGAGCCATCTTCAGCCCAAATGAAGGCTGGCTTGGACCAGAAGGCCGGGAGGTTAGCCCATACGGGGAGGTAGAGATCCACCACAGGTTGGTCAGGGAAAGAAGGGTCATAATTCTCGTAGTTCATCTTGTCTTTTCAGGAGTGTATCATGTGCTGACCACCTACTTTCTTGAACCATTTTATAGTTAACAGTAGGTGAACTTAATAAGGGGATAAAGATGGGCAATCTTGTTTCCATTGAAGAAAACTAGAATAAGAAGCAAAATGTAGCAAATATTCGTCGCGAATATCCTACTTATGGAGCTATCATGCATTGTAAGTCCCTTCTTTGGTGTCTATATGCGCTTTACTTGGTATAATCCTCCATGCAGAGATGCGGTGGAAAATTCCAGCATCTCTCGGCCGTCTTTGGTCTTTGTCTTCATGTTTAAGTGCTTTATGCCATATGCTAACTTGAAAACAGATTGAAAAATTCAAAAGCAAATTGAGAAAAGGATTAGCAAGCTAGCAAGTGAGTGCTGTTGAAATTTCATGCAAATTGGTAGTGCGAGATCTTGATTTTTTATGGGAATTGGTACCTAACAAAAGCTTAGCTTTTATCAAGCAGGTGTTTCTTCGTTGAACAAGTGTGTTCCTCGAGCCTAGTGTTATGCTCAAAAGAGGAATTTTTCTTGAGAAAGTTAGATAAGTCTAAAAGCCTCTAAAAGAATATAGAGTAATGAGGAAGCTTCTAGGATGTTCAAGAGAATTTTAGAGAGTCTCTCATTATTCTAGTATGTATATATCTAGATAAGATAATTCTATAACATCAATTGTAGCCATTAAATCAAATAGATCATAACCATCCATTGAAGAGTTGAAAGATTATAAATAGGTGAGGCCTTCATTTGACCAATATATCTAGACATTGAAAAATCTACAAAAGTGTAATATTAGAGTTGTAAGCTTTAAAGAGAATAATACAAAGAATTCTTACATCTCTTATGTGTCTTTCTTGCTTGACAATTTTGTGAAAAAAACTGACTTGGTTTGACTTAGAGAAGAAGTGAGGCAAGTGCCGCATAAGAGCTTAAAAAAAGTTTGTGACACTAGTCTATCCATGCTATGGGCAGAAATGTCAAAGCCCATGACTGTACAAATAGGCTTATAACATTCAGAAATTAAATATGAATAAACTTTTAAATGAGATTTTATGAAAGTTAAGAAATCATACAATTATTTATTAGTTTTACATTAATAAAAAGCGCAAATTACCACCTTAATTTTGTATGAAATTAAAAAAAGAATTTATTTGTTTGTATAGCATTCTAGGATTTGTAGCCGATAATTACGAAAAGATTCTTATTAAAAAGGATCTGATTTGATCCATACCAGCATAGTAACTGGCAAATTAATTACCCAAGAACAAACATTATTTCTTTTTTATCTCTTTGTGGCAAGCTAAAATCCTTCAGTTGCCAGGTTGGCTGCAAATGTTAGCTTCTAATGGAATTATAAACGGGCTTTGTTGCAACATCTTAGACTATACTGTCTCTTATCACCCGCTAAAAGCCACCATTACTTGTGCGGCAAGCACCATCCGCAGGACCGAACCCGAAACATTTTTATTATTTACGTAATTCCGAGGAGCAGAAATCTAGTGAACATTTTAAGAAGGACCTGAACCCGTGACATTCTGAAAAAGGCCCAGTCTCATGAGGATAAGAATATTTTCTCCATTGAGGTGCGACCATAACCAACCTCAGATTCCAAATTTAATTAAGAAAACCCTTGGCCCAAGATCTTAAGACGGTCCAAACCATGGCCCGGTTGCAGACGGTACAGATTCAGATGGTAGGAGTCGGAAATTTTGGGCAACGGCGTGCCTTGTCCACCACAAATTAGAGCCTCGCTAACATCATCAATCTCCAGCAAAACTAGGGCAAGAGTGAAGGATTGTGCTCTGGAAGTTCTTTGAAAACGCTCCTGCTAGCTCCTCCAGGCAATTTAGCTGATGCACCTCTGCTATCTGATTCATCTAATGCCCTCAACATATAAGACCCTGTCCAAGATTTCTATGTACATTGTCAGATTGCGATCATCCATTGATAAAGAGCAATTGCCTATACTGATAAAGGTTCTAATTGTATTTCCAGGATACAAATAGCCAGCCACAGTCAAAAGGCAAAAACATTGAAGGCTCTGCTAACTCTACTACGTCCTATGAGAAAGTTCTGATGACAAAATCCAATCTTTTACAAAGACAACAGAGCTTGACCACATCTAGTTCTTATTTAATTTTCAAAACAAGAGGTAAGTACAAATATCTCTTGATGTCTTGGATGTCCAGGCGTTTCATGAAGTGATGTCTACATTTATTGAACAGCTCTGGAAGCACCTCAAAGGATTGCTGGATAGAACAATAACTCCTCATCCTGAGTCCCAATCATTGTCCCCAAGCACAGGCCCTAAATCATGATGGGAAAAAGAAAGAAATAGATGTCAAAAAAGCAATATGAAACATGAATGTGTATTCTGAAGTACAGGAATTTAAATTCTTCTACATTATAAAGTGGTATTCTATTGTCTACCTATAAAAAAATAATAATAATAATAATTATTAATTTTGAGCATTAAGAAAATCTATCAGGTAAATTGAATGGTTATATAGTTAGCTGTGTTCAAAGCAGCTTAGAGAACCAAAATTCTGTCATAGTATTCAGACCCCAGAAACCATGTTTTACATTCCAAGAGACCTGGGTCCATGTGAAATCAAGTGCCTCCCCATTAGATGATTCAAGAGTGGTCCACATCCATCTCATCACAGGTGGGTAGGGAGTCTAGTGTACAGCAAGAATAATTTTCCAATTCCGTTAAATCAATCAACCAGAAGATCTCTTCTGTAGTTTCAAAAACATATGAAATTAAACTTTCGACAAGAGGAAACTATAAAGCATGACAAACATGACAAACCTCGGTATATTAAAGAATTTAGGCTTTTTTTAGTAAGATAAGAAAATAACACAAAGGAATGCAACTGGAAACAACAGTATATTGCACTGACCAGATCCCAAAACCACAAATGTTTGAATACGGAGTATTCCACACTATAAGCATATGCCATTACTAGGTTCGTGAACTTCTCAGATACACCTCAAATAGATCTACTTATAATGGAAATGAAGTCTTAACACTCAATTGCAGGTTCCAGATTTCCAAATGCTACAAGGTTTAACAAAAGCTCTGAAAATAAAAGCAAACCTGTCATGAACAAACTGGGAAGCATATAATAATAGATACACCTTTGATGGCTTTGAGCAAACAATGATATTCCCGAGCATTATCTATAATATGACATTCATGCCATTGATTGTTGGATATAACATCTAGAATGTAAAACAACAAACTAAAACCACAGATTTTACAGTAACTACAACGGCAGTCATTTTCCATAACATAGAAATAAATAATGGGAAGTACAAGTAGAACTCCAAATTGAAAGAAGATCAGAGATAAGGCCGGAAGTAGAATTTTTTAGGTGGGAGTTGCCATCATAAAAAGTTAAAACTATGAGGGGGGCTTAAAAAATGAGTTAAAAGTAAAACGGGTTAGTTAGAAAGTTATTTTTGTTTTTTTTCCCTTTTGGGTTGTTTCGTGTGCGGGTGAGTGGGCGCAGGGTAGCTTCTAAATTCAAGGTCAAAAAATTAGAAGCTTGGGAGTGTCATGGCTCCCCAAAGAAAAGGATGCTCCCCCACCGAATTAGAGATACAGTAGATGAAGCAAAGTAAAACATGAAAATAAGGTGAAGAGGAAGTGTTGCATTTTAGATTCCACTGCAGTTATTTCAGCAAAATTCCAGTTATTTCAGCAAAATTCCTGTTCTTTCGAGTTCCACTCTTTGGCAAACTTCCCTTTTAGAAAGTAACTAAATGAATTTATATGTTAGACCTATAGTACTTGAATGTTCTGTCCATAATATCGGACCAGCACATCACCTGAATGTCGTATTTCTTTCAACTTCAACCAGAGTATTACAAATTGAACTAAACAACAGAACATTGTACATCTAGCAATTTCATAATAGTTAAAGCCAAAAATATTAGGCATCATACTCATTGTCCATGCGTGACAGATGTCAGTTATTAAATGTTTGTCTTTTCCCTTAAACAGGTTTGGCTAAATAGAGTTGCATTCTCTAATCAATGCTTAATTTGTGTTTGACATGCTATGTCCAAGGCAGAAGATAAAATATTTCAAGGAGTGTTTAACAAACTGTTGCCAGCCCCCTGCCTATTCTATTTGTTATTTCCACTAATCGTCCTTTTTTCTTCTCAACTTAATCTCCTACTAATTCAATTCCATCTTCAGTTTCTAAATTAGTCTATGTTTCAGTCTTGCTACTTATTTTAAGTAATTTTGAACAGTCATTTTCTGGATACACAAGTTTACCCACAATGTTCTATCCATATTGCAGCTGATTGGTTAAGCTCAACAGGAAGTGACTCAACAGAATTTATTCCTGCCTGCTACAGAATGCCATTACTTGAAATGGAAACTATCCAGAACGTTATTTTCAATGCATTGGATACTACAGTAGAAAAGCAAAAAAGTTTGTAAATGGAAGATTCTCAAAGAAGTACGATAATGACAAAAGATGTTAGTCCCATTGGGCAACATCATCTTTAATAATTAAATGAAAAATAGCGTAAGTCGAAATGGTTCTACTCTAGCAAACAACTTCTAGTTTGACTGCTTGAGTTTACGTTGCAACTTGCAAGCCTAATTCATTAGGTTAAAAGCTGCAGTGTTCTAAAGTTGTTAATCTTAATCTAACCTTTTTTCATGATTTAGGCCTAAAAGTAAAGAGCTAAAACCGAGGATGTGTTAATATATAGTGTACCTATAAAACTAATTGCTTATTTCTTAGTTTAGAAAATCTTATAAGCCCACATTCAATACTAACAAAACCCCTCCCCCTGTTCACGATGCAGTAACAATCCCCATTATAACAACCTTGGTCTGTCCATTTCCCTTTCTCCATAAAATTTCCAGTCCAACTAGACTTGTGATGCAAAGCTTTTGAAAATGTCTGGGAACAAATGATTCAAGTTCAAAATCACTACCCTAAGACACTCCCTACATCCCCATGCCGATCAGAAACTTTCAAGAACTGTCCCCATACTTGACCCCTTTCAGCAATTAAAAATTTAAAACTCAAAACGACAATTCCATGCACATTAACATCCTGCAGTTCTATGAATGTAAATCCAGCAAGGAACAATACTACGAGCAAGAAATCCCTGAACAAATAACCACATTGCAAGTTTTGAAGTATAAACACATAGAAGCATTTCAACCGAGTAAAATAAACAATGCATCAAGAAAGAAGAGAGAGACGGGAACAACTAATAGCAACACAGAACATCAAAGTTAGACGAATCAAATTTGCCATGCAACAAAACCGACCGTGGGAAGGATCATAAATACCCAAGATTTAGAATGCTGTTTATTGGGTCAATAAGCTGAGGTTGCTGCTGGTGCTGTTGTTCCTCCTGCTGTTGCTGCGTCAAATTACCACTAGTAGCCACTGCCACCGCACTGGAAGGTGACCCTTTTACCTCTTGTAATCTCCAAAGATACCATGACGCAACCGACCTATAAGGCCTCCATTTTTCACACAACTGATCCATCTGTGACGGCCGTGGCAACTCCGGCAGATTATATAGCAACTGCACCCCTTTCCTCACTTGAAGATCATTAATTGGCAACACATCCGGTCTATGCAGTGAAAAAATCATAAACATATGCACAGACCAAGAACCGATCCCATTTACCATAGTAAGCATAGTAAAAAGCGATTTATCATCCATATTTACAATCGCAGAATCCGATAATATACCATTTTGATACTTTCTAGCTAGATCATGAAGGTAACTCGCTTTACGCCCGGAAACCCCAATTTGCCTTAACTGTTGTGCAGTCAAAGCAAGAACTGTTTCAGGCAAAACTCCAGCCTCACCACCACAGAGCGAAATAAAGCGCGTGTAAATTGAAGTCCCTGCTTTAAAAGCAAGCTGCTGGTAAAGAATGCTGCGAGCCAGGGCAAGGAAAGGAGTGGGGAAGGTATCAAAGGTAGGGGGCGGGTAGACGTCAATTAAGGAAGCAAGGAGTGGATCAGCGTTACGGAGATGGTGAATTGCGTTTTCAAGTTCACCTTCACATGTTAGAGATCTTGCCATGATCCGCGGAACCACGATTGCTCGCTGTTGGGCAGTTTTTGTTCTTGGGGTTTTGGTGGCAGTAGTTTTGGTTGGTTCAGTTGTGGTTGTGGAGGAGGCTTGGGAGGACTTAGGGTCGTAAGCAGTGGTGGCAGCAGCAGCAGCATCATCGAGTGAGACTTTACGGATTTTACGAGGACGGGAAGGGATTTTGGCGGGAGGAGATGTGATTGACGGTGGGATTGTGGTTAATTCCGTGCTGGTGGTGGGGTGGTGCTGGTGGTTATTACGGTGGCGGTGGAGTCATTGAGTGGCTGAGATAATGACTGAGTTTGGACCTGGGCTTCGATTTGGGGGAGGGGCTGGGATTCTGATTGGGGCGGTTGTGATTGAGGTTGGATTTGGGTTTGTTCGCCCATCAGTGATCAGTCAATTTGGGGGTTAGGGTTGACTATCTTAGTGTCAATAATGGTGGAGGCGGCGGTTGTTGTGGTGGTGGTCGTGGTGGTGGTTTTAGAGCCAGTAATTATTATTATTATTTATTATTATTGTTTTTTATTTTTTTGCGAGCGTGAAAAAGTGTGAAGCGGAGTATCGGAAATCTTTAGGATCGACACGCTCGCTCACTTCTTCGCTGCAATCCGTTTTAGAGTCATCTGAGAAAGTAGACGTGCCTTGAGTTACTGTGATCCCCACGCTATTCCACGACGCGTGAAGTTACGGCTGTTAAGGCCCAGTGCACTTGGATAAGTTTATTTAACTTTGGAACAACTTGAAGCCCACATTTCAGCCCATAAAAGTTCCAAGACAACTCTAACTTGATTCGACGTTTGTGTTGCGCAACAAAATTCATTCTTTCAACTTTTTGAAAACTTTAGCGTTATAGGCAAGTGGACGAGCACAATTCTACTTCCTACATGTGCCTTTGTGGGTGTAGGAGAACCTGTTAGTAAAAAAATAGCATCGTCCAATGGCAATTAAAAGCTTTGGAATATACCCTTTTTCCCGCTCTCTCTCTCTCTCTCTCTCTCTCTCTCTCTCTCTCTCTCTCTTCTTTTGAAAGTATATATATGTTTGGGAAACATATTACTCGTTATGAAAATAATTCATGGTCTCTTTGTTTTTGTGAATAGTTCGTCTTGAAAGATTAAGGAGTTGCGAGCATATATTTGTACGTATTTTCTTTATATATCTGACAAGGCTTGTTGAAAACTAAAAGTTCGAAAAATAACTTCAAATATCTAACTAAAATGACTTTAAATCAGAAGCATGTTTGATAAAAATAATTCAAATTATTTTTTAAAAAGAAATATAGTGTATAAATTAAAAGTTACAATTTTTTTTTATTATTGAAGTAAAAAATTTGATAAATTTTTGTAACAAACCCGTTCTTTGAATTAAAAGTTATTTTCAACCAAACATACTTATGGTTCCTTTAAATTAAAAGTTAAAAAATAATTTAAATCAACTTGCAAAAATCATTCAAAACATAACCTAAATTGCTTAAATAATCAAAAAGAAAATAAATAAATAAAAAACAAGAACTTGTGTTCACACACGAACTCGAAGAGAATAAGGAGAGAAAAAAGGGAAAATTAATTATTCAAATGAGATGAGTGATATTCTGAGTTTTCTTGAATTTGCAGTTCTTTCTTCTTCTTCTTGATTCTTCTGTTCACCAGCTGAACATACTAGCTAGTTTCTATCTCAAAGACAAAACTTTGTCACGAAACATACTGTTTGCCAGGCGAGTTGGTAACCCGATCATGGTATCTAATGGTTTTACAATTTTTGATAAGTACCATCATTTTGTACACTCGCAGAACTGAGAATATTTCCATGATTTATATAGATTAAAATGATATAAATTAAATTGATCTAATATCCAAGATCAATATAGCTGAAATTTTCAACGACAACTTGGAGTGGGGATCGTTCGCTGATTGCATCCAATTATACATGGACATAGCTGGTTAGCTGAATTTGCATTTTTTTTGCTTTTTTCCGTTGCTGTCTTCAAATCTTATGCCACGCCAAACGAAATGCAGAAGAATTTGTTTTGCTGAGTGATTCTTCTTCTCTCATTTTTATTTCCACTTCATCTAGAAGCTTAATGTTTGGCATAAGCTATCTTAATTTGAGAAATAATTAGCTTAAAATTGCCTTGTTCGAAAAACATTGATTTAAAACTACACGAGAGAGAGAACTTTTGTTCATATATAGGGAGATAGAGAGATATTGCAACTAATAAAATTTTAAAATTTAGCCACATGATAAACGGTGCGAATGAAAAAATAAAATAAAAACACTTATGCTTCAACAAAACATATATCTTATATTCTCTATTTTTTTTCTCAATAACTTATTCGCTTAGTAAAGACAATCAGAAAATAATTCCATATCCTTCCATGCACCGAGGCTATTCATACTTTATATATATATATATAAGCCAATTAGGAAAGTGTAATATAATATATATATATAGAGAGAGAGAGAGAGAGAGAGAGAGAGAAATAAGGGGCTAAAGCGTGTTATTATCCTTGTATATTGGAGAAAATTATAAATTAGTCTTTTATTTTTTGCAAAATGAATTAAATAATTTTTTCAAAAACTAATTAATTAAATGATCAATGTTAATCATAGTTAATATAATATATTATTTTATTCTAAAAAATATCTTCTTATTTCATCAATTCTTTTATTTTTTGAACTTATTTTTACCTTTTTATATTCATTAAAACAAAAAAACAAAAAATTTAAAAAAACGAAAAGTTTAAATTATAAAGAGATGTAAAAATATAGGGATTAATTAATTAGCTATTAAAACTAAGGAACTAGTTAATTCCTTTTTAAAAAACTAAAAGGCTAATTTACAATTTACCCTTGCTTTTCTATTATTTTCTGTCATATTTATATAAAAGCTAAAAAATGTAAATTAACATTAGCTATCAACGGAGTGCCATCAATTGCTTCCACTCCAAGGAGCAACAAAAGGTTAAAAGTGAAGAAAAAAGAAAAAAAAGTTGTTTCTTGTGTTAAAAAGTTAAAAACAAAAGGTTCTCTCGGTCCACTGTAAAACGAGGTCCCACCCACAGTCTGATACAAATCCCCTATGTGATTGGATAAATTTTTGGTATTGGCATGCTCTATCATTTCCGGAAATGATCTTCCGTACCTCTCCAGCGTGCCAAAGGACTAACCACTAAGGCACTGCCACGATTACTGACAGTACCTCGATTTGATCGGTTAAACTTCCCTTTCATGGGACACTGCAGACAGTAAGCCGGCGGCTGCGGCGTGTCCTTGTCCACAGGTTTTGTTGTCGGCTAACGCCGGTTACTTTTTTACAGTTACTGACATGAAAATTAACCTTTTCGCTTTTGATGTTAAAGTGCAGTTAGCTTTCGGACGCTTGAACGGGGACCAGTAGGACTGCAACGGTTGATTTTTGTTAGATGTTAGGGGACTTGTTCGAGGTTTAAGAGGCTATTTAAACAATGGTTAATATGCGGGTGATTTTTGAACTCTGATCATTTTGTTTTGATTCTGACATTTCTGTTTTGACATGCGAATCGCAAAGGTGTTGGTCAGTCTACTCTTCAAAGTCGATGATGCCCCTAGTACTTTCAAGTAATTAAGATGGTAAAAATCATGCTGGCTAAAAGCTCAAAGCATCTGCAAGATCACAACAAATCAAGCAAGCTAATTAACTATTAGCCCCTGTTAACGACTGTTATTACCTGAACCCTCTTCGGCTCACATTATGTATTTTTTGAACTTATCTCTTAGCAGAATTCAGCACCTACTTGCCCCAAATTCACCTGCTGTTATATAATTTACTACCGCTTCCGTTTTACAAAAATTATGCTTCTTTTCACTTATATTTCAAAGATTTTTCTTATCAAAATTTTTAATATGATTAAATTGATTAGATTTTCTCTTTAAACAAACAAAATTTTTTAAGACAATATGATTAAAAAAATACTGATATAATATTATAATTGATAATTTTTTTAATCCGTATAAAAAATAAAAAGAACCATTATTTTGGAACATAGAAAATAATATTATTTATCTCACTCCAACATAACAAAAGAGATGATATTCAACCACAGTTTGAAGTTTTTGAAGCTTTGATGATGAATTGTATACTTGGGTAGCAAATAGCGATAATGTTTTATTTTCTTCATAAATGTTATTTTGTTTTAATACAAAAATTTCATATCCAAAAGTTTTAGTTTTCAATTCTTAATAATCATCTTATTAACTCTAAAAATAAAAAGAACTTGATTACGGTTTGTTTTATTAATTGTAGATGCATCCAAACCTTGGTATGTTTAGGTAGAAAATGTAGAGATTTTCATACAAAACATAAGTGTTCTGTTTTATAATTAAGATTTAGTTATTCCACAATGTCTTGTAAAACTAAAAATTATTTATATTTTACAATGTCTTTACAAAACAATTTTTTTTAGGATGATTTTTCCCAAATACATATAGGAAAAAGTTGGACATTAAACAGGAGTATGATTATGCATCATAACCGGATTCTATGGTAGGCAAAAAGCAGTGCATTTGACTCTCAGTTTCCTTAGGTAAGAACAAAAAAATCTCAGATATGGTATGATTTAATTAATTTGATTAAGATTAAAAAAATATTAACCAAAACAATCAAATCATTCTATTTAACAAAGTTGGTTGAGTAGAAAATTTTTTAATTATTTAAATAAATCATCATGAGTTTAAATCTTTATATAAATAAATTTTTTTTTTTGAATAATTGTTATCGTCTTTAGTCCGGATATAAATAAGGATGAATTAATATGGGTTTTTGAAATTTTTTTACCCCGGATAAAAAAAATCAGAAACATTCTCCTTCCTTTTGCCCAAACAATAAAAACATCAGAAATGATAAAATAAAAATCGGTCGTAATTAGGTATTGTGTGGGTCCACGCAAGAGACAGTCGTCCTGAACAGGTCTTTTTAGTTACTTACCAAGTCACTGGCTACTTCCTGCAAGGCTGCAACCAAAAACAGCTAATAAAAAAGCTAAAACTGTTACTACTATCTTCCATTTCCGCATGACCCTCAAACCTTATAACCAGCCAATAAATTTTCTTGTCTTGCCCAAAACCTCTCTCGCCATTCTTTGCTTAATATATTAACCCTAGCTAGCTCCTAGTTCCCATTCTCCTTCCCATCATAGCTCCATCCTTGCACAGCTCAAACATGGCTAAATCCTCTACCTTCCCCATGTCCAGTCTCCTCCTCCTCACAACCCTCTTGTCCTCTCTCTCCGTTTCACACCAACAACCCCTCCTCAACTCGGCCGAGCAGGACTCTCTATTTCAGGTCCTCAACTCCATCAACTCAGCTATCCCTTGGCGCACTCTCTTCCCTGACGACCTCTGCCTCTCCGCCCCACACGGCATCGTTTGCGAGTACTTCACCGAAGAACAACCACCACTCACACAAAACGGTTCCGTTTCAACCCAGCCTCCTCTCGAAACGGCTCACATTTCTGAACTCAGTTTCGGGTTTGTCTCCGACTACACACCCAACCCACCTTGCTCTCCTAATTCCACTATTAACCCTCTTATCTTCACTTCTTTTAAGTACCTACGCAGGCTGTTCTTTTACAAATGTTTCACCGAGATGCCAGTTTCGTTGCCTGATGTTTCTTCTTCGAGCTTTGGAGCTAACCTTGAAGAGCTGGTGTTTATTGAGAACCCAGCTTTGGTTGGGTCTCTTAGCGGCATAATTGGTAATTTTACTAATTTAAGGAGGTTAATTTTGACTGGAAATGGCATTTATGGCAATGTCCCAGATGGGGTTGGTGCTTTTGCTAATATGGAAGAGATTACAGTCTCAAGGAACCAGTTAACTGGAGGGGTTCCTTTCAGTCTAGCCAAGTTGAAAAAACTGAGAGTTCTTGATTTGAGTCAAAACTATCTTGACGGTTATGTCCCTGTATCTATGGGTAATTTAAGTCAGCTTTTGAAACTTGATTTGAGTTATAATGGGCTTTCTGGTAAAATCCCGGAGAGTTTGGTTAATTTACAGAGTTTGGAGTTTTTAGACCTGAGTTTTAACCGCTTCGGTAACTTTGGAGTGCCTTTGTTTTTGGGTGACATGCCCAGATTGAAGGAAGTATATATGAGTGGAAATTTGTTAGGAGGGCACATACCGGAAATATGGGAGAAACTTGGGGGTATTTCGGGAATAGGATTTTCTAACATGGGTTTGGTTGGGAATATTCCAGCTTCCATGGGGGTATATTTGAGGAAGTTGTGTTATTTAGGGCTTGATAACAACAAGCTTGAAGGGACTGTGCCTGAAGAGTTGGGGTTCTTGGAATGTGGTTATGAGATCAATTTGGAGAACAACAATTTGAGTGGTAAAATCCCAGCTAATTTTACTGCCAAGGTTGGTGAAAAGTTGAAGTTGAAGGGCAACTCAAGGCTGTGTGTTGATTTGTCAGGCTTTGGTAAATTTGAGGGCAGTTTGGGTAAACTGAAGCTGTGCAACAAGTCAGTTCTTTACACTCCTGTCCTTCTGAGAGAGGGTTCTCTTGATTCCTCATCGTCATCATCTCAAATGCAGGTTTCATCTTCTTACATGTTGATGATGATGCTTGGTTCCCTGTTTGTTTTGTTCTGTTAATTTGATCCAGGGAGGAATAGGCGCTAACAGACAGAACAGGTTGATACACTTACTTTGGATAGGGATTTTGTTTAGGGCAAAAATGTAACTACGGGTCTTGTTGGTGACAAGTCAGATACTCTCCACTCTACTAGTACATTGTTCATGTCTACCTTTTCCGCCTGTGTATATAGCTTTTGAGAACTTTGGGCCTCTTTCAAGCTTGGATATTGGGATTTCAGGATCATTTGCCACATTGGAGGCCTAATTCCTGTCCTGACTGTCTTGAATTTGGTCCAAGCCAAGTAATATGAATTTTGCTTGGATTTTCTAGAGTCAATTTACTGTTTTATTTGACAAAATGAGAGGTATGTGTGACTGAGACCAATAGAAATCTTGGGGGGGTCCTTTGTACGTTAGATAACAGCCAAAGTGCGTTGGAATTGATGGAGACATTAGCACTTATTAATGCATTGACCCTTAAAGGCTCCCATTCCTGCAATGTGGGCACTAGCTCCTCCCCTGCAGCATACCCAATGATTCCTGTTATATGTGTGTGCTGATGTGATCTCACGTCTAGTAGGGTAGGATTGCTTGACCCCAGGAGATCCGGACTTGATCATTTCACCATTATCATAACAACTTATGAATTATGAATAGACATGGAAAAAAAAAGAGAGAGAGAAGAAAAACTAGTTATATAATCATTATTTTTGTCCTTGTATTAAAAAAATTGAAACTATTCTAGTTAAGAAAAAAGATTCAGTTCTCACAAGTGATATATATGTACCATAGGGATCATATAAGGGCGGATCGATCAGGACAAAAAGGAAATGAATTCGGTTTGGTTTGGTCTCAACTAAAGATTCTAGCAGCTACCCAGTGTAAGAGTATTCATGTTAATGTTAGAATATGCTCAAGAAATTCCACTAAATCCAATCTCTTCACCATCTCGCGAAGGGCTTAAAGCTCCGGTTTGACGTTGCTGGTCATGACTGTTACTAGATCTGGCAGTCATTTCCGATTCCCCGTCCCCCTCCGAAGCTGGGGCTTTAGATTTTGACCTTGTCGACCCCCCAACAGAGGAATCTTTTGACTTCTTTCTCCGATTCTTTTTCGGTATGTCAGGTAAATCTGAGGGTGACTCGATTCCTCCACTATGATCCTTAGGATTCCGACTTGTTTTATTACCATCCAGTTCTTTGGTGCCATTTCGTGAAGACCGCCTAGTTTGTTTAGGTTTATCAGATTTTTCCCTGTTTAGAGATTCAGCTGATGTACCGGTTGATGAAGGCCGTCTAGATGATTTCGGCAATTCCGGCAGGTCCCGAGTAGGGGAACCTACTGGAGAACTATGCGCCCCTGCTGGAGAACTCGGTGTCCGCGAACCTCTTCGACTTGAACCTGTCGAGCCATATCAGTCAACAACAAAAAAAATGATGATTCAGTGAGATTTCCAATTCATCAGTTTTCGTTGATATAGGAATAAAATCAAAATATGATAGCTAACATGCTACACTATTGCTATGAAAACCAATCAAAAGCTAACATATAAACCAATCAAAGAACATTTTCGTAAGGAAATAATGATAATAATAATAAAAAAAAGAGTTGAAGGAGCTATGCAAGAAATCAAGCTGATGTACCTTCAGATACCCATTTTACAGAACCGTCCTCCTTCACGTCTCCATTGGGACTTAAGGGGGCCGATGAGAATGGTGTGGGAGCTTTAAACTCGTTCATCTACATAAATAAATCAAGGCACAATCTCACTGAGGATTGCTGATTATTTATTTTCAAAACAAAGAAAGAAAGTTGCAAAAACCTGAACTTTTCTATGTCATTTACGACTAGTTTCGTATGTGTATTAATGATCAGTTTTTATCCATAATCCCAAATAATTTTAGAAGAACAAAATTTACCCAGCTTGGAGAATTCACAGAGGGACCATCCCATCCTATGTGGGCAACATGTTTTACATCTGTGGGGTAACCAATCTGCATTTCAGGCTCTTTCTCATCATTATCTGCAACATGGTTAAAAAATTTCTATCAATATCGCCCAGAAAAGAACACATGTAAATTTTTTTCCCCCACTTTTGCATTGCTTCAATTGGAGGGATGAACACGTACTATAAGGGAGAGAAATTGCCTACCGAATATTTGAGAAATGTATCTTAAGCCTCTCAAAAGGCCCTTCATTTTGTTGTTTGACATTTGATTAATTAGATATATATATATTTGGGGACGATAAAACTTTTTGTTCAGTAGCCTTTTGTAGGGAGAGGTGCTGATGACAAATTAAAGCTTCAAATCTGAAACAAAGAAAGCAAGAAGAAAATTTTGTAAAGCTAGAACATATATTTATCTTGTATGGCAAGAATTATCATACAAATTAAATAAAATGATTTGCTTAAAGGCTTTTCATCGGTGAAAACTATGGAATTAAGATCATACTTAGAGAAGAAAAAATTGCTTTGATGAGATAAGCTAACTCACCAAGCTCATGGCAACAATGAATCCAAACTACAGTTCTTAAGAAACCAGACTATTGAATTAATCTATAAGAAAAAATTTAGCCTATTTTCCAACCTTGAAGAAGAAACAAAATTCAAAGAAACTAGGAGAAAAAGGATCAAAAACACTTAGATAACTGTTTTTGACAAATGTTTAGGAAGAGTGGTGGCGATGAGAAAAGGGAAAAAAGTAACGCAGGAAAAATTGCTGTTTAAGGCAAGACTCGCGTTAATTCGATGGCCACTAACCAAAAAACGAAAAACTGATCGAAGTTTTCGGCAGAGGAATGAAGAGGAATGGCCCGTTATTGAAATACTAAATTTAGGAAGGTTTTAACAAGTCTTTCTTATGTATTATATTATGAATGAAAGGCTGTTTCTTTATGTGGCTTGCATGGTTGTTATTGACTTTGCTGCGCCTGCTGACTACTCGGATGAGAAAATTGTTAACCTGTATGTATATTCCCTGTAAAGTTCTTTCTATATATAGGCGTCTTTTTCGGTGGAAGGTTCCTTTACTTTTCTTAATAATTAATTAAGCGTTGTTGGTATTTTCTGAACAAATCAATATCAACTGATCCTACCATAAAATATAAGTGCATGGTTAATCATTATAAGCTGACAGAGTTTAGATAATTACCAGGTCAACCAAGATGTAGGACAAATGATTTTTCTTCCTTTGCGAAGAAAAAAAAGTGAGCAAAATCTTCATGTGGAGTAATAAAAATTGGCTAAGTACTGGTCCATCTCTCATATATCTCACTTCTGCCCTGGTCTTGCGTATCACAATTTCGGTATTTCAGGAACTGAAATGTGTTAAGAACTGAACCAAGCTTCATGTTGCAGAAGATAATAGTATTACTGTGGAGGTTCTTTTGGCAACTTGACGAGACCTGTTCATTCGCTATATTCTAGGGATAGCAGTTTGTCCCGTTCCGATGAAGCCCCAGCCCTCCCAACCTCGTTTCACCTCAGTCAACGCGGGGATTTCCCGCGTTGACTAGGGAACGGGGCAAGGCGGGGATGGTATTAGCCCGCCCTGCCCCACCCCGTTTACCTCATTTCATGATTTTTCATCCTTAAAATTATAATTAAATCCTGTATAAAATCTGTGACTAGTGGTTTTTAAGGTTTATTTTCTATATGAACTATCATTTTTTTGCTATAGTTTGAAATTTTATTGTAAAATGGGATAAGACGAGACAGAGAAAAACCCTGTTTTCCCTCCATCTGCCCCACCAGTGCCCTACGGGGATCTCGGTCCCTGTTTTGGGCGGAGATGGGACGGGGATGGCCATTGCCATTCCTATATTCTAAGAGTCATTTGTCTGTCAACTTTAAATTTCTTGATTGCTGTTAATTTTCTCTCGGTTTCTCGGCATCTGTGTTTCTTGTTTTGTGATGCTTGATCTAAAACATTGCTCGTTCTTTTAGATAAAACTCTTCCTAAGCTATTTTCCTTGGCTTTTCCTTGAATTACAGCAGTAAAAGTTGCATACAGATTATTTCATTTTGGTAGTGTAATGAACAGGATTCAGGAATCAAGAGAGCATGACAAGAAGTCACTTCAATTCAATGAGAACAAAAACATCTCAGCATTTGATTTACTGAGTAACAACATAGCAGCGATCATTATTTTAAAACAGAAATTTTGCTATCTCCATTCTTCTACATCAGTCCTCTCCATAGATAAATGAAATAGTGAATTTGCTTTCATTAAATTGCAGTTACCGGGACAAAATGTGATCAAACTTCCTAAGGAGATGAACTAAAACTGGAAAGAATCAAAGAGATAAATATATCGAAGCAAACAATAATTCAAGGTCACGACTGAGCTTCGATCGCCAACGACTATCCCTTGTCAAGCTTTCAAGTTGTCCATTCCAACACTAGCCTGCAGCAAGTTCAAAATCGCAAATCAGTGCAAAAATAGAACACTACAGGATCCTTAATGAGACTGTAGTCAGAACCTCAAATGTTTCAACTGATAATTTATGTGCTAAATCTTACCAAGAACTTGTGATTCTCTTCTAATAAAGGCGAGAACCTTCCACTGAATTTTTCCATATCAGAAACATCATCTCCTTTGACACCTACTACACTCATAAATTTCTTCCTATCCGGAGCCAACTTCAAGGCAACCTGCATTCCGGTTGATTGGATTCCAAGAACAGTGAAAATAAATAATGAAATGTACAAAGCTTTCAGATTTGTTGCAATTATTTCTTATCTTGAGAAAATAAAATACAAAATAGAGAACATTGTCACTACAAATTTTGTTCATGAAAATTTTGAAGTCGCATATGCATTTTGAGATGCAATAAAAGAAGAAGAAAAGGGAAAATATTAAAAAGGCCAGAAGTATATACGCCAAAACTCGAACTAGCTAGCCAGCCATGCCATTTTTTCAGGGACTTCTCATATGCATTGGTGCAAACATGTGACATGCTCCAGTCCGGATGCGCCAATAAGTTGCAGAACAGTTCTGACAAGAAATCCATGGCCCTAGAGAAGTCAAGCCAACAATGTCTCAAACATAAGAAATTGCTCACTTGTGACACAGAAATCCATGGCCATAATAACAAGTACAATGTTTAGTGCTTACCTTGTCAGCCAAAGTAAGGCATTTGTGCAACTGGATGAAGATTTAGCCTTTTTAGATTCAATTTCTGACCTCACTATCATGTACAAGTGATTGAATTCTGATTGGTTGGACAAATACATATTCTCCAGCCTCTACAACAAGAAAAGAAGAATGAAGAATGTGATACTGATCAGTTTCTGCTGCAGCCAATAGCTCTTTGATATAGATGGGAAAATAGAAAATAGCATTTACAGAAGCTACACAGAGAAATCAGGATCGTCTTACCGATATGTTACCACCAATATCAGATTTTGCAGGTGCCATGGCTGGTCCAAAGTTGTCTGCAAGCATATGAGCCATCATTACCATGCTTTTGACAAATCTCACACTAAACAACCAGAAAGACCAATTCTATGCATCTTCATGAGAAGAAAAAAACCGAAACTGTAACAACAGCAAACTCTAAAGAAAAATGTACAAAAAAACCATGTCTCTGACTAAAAAGCATAGTACTAACTAAGATGTACCTAAAACAGGCAGTACTGTTTTGCACAGATCCAAGAAAGGCATGGTAAGCACTTCTCCCTCTGGAGACTTGACGTGCTCAATCTTTTCCAAGGCTGCAGCAATTACATTTCCCTCCATTCTTACACTATACTTATTAGCTGCATACCAAGTTACTTGTCAGACCTAGTTCGATACAATTGAGGTATTTGTCTACAGAATAAACATTCAAAAATATTGATAGGAAGTGACTACATGCAGTTAACACAAGTTACAATCTAAAAAACATAAGGGTACACGTTAATTTCCTTTAACAATAACAAAGGGATCATGTTTAACAATTGCACCATTTACCCAAATCTCATCTTTCTTTGTTTTAGTTGAAAAACTATGTTTTAGCTCTCACTCACCCTGATCTCTCCCAGCAAAAGAAGAGAGGCACTGCAGGATCCGGTGTTTAATTGGCTTGCAAATACACCATTGAAAATATAATGATAAAAAGCAAAATGTTATCAATTTGGAGGAATGTTATCTTTTCTGGGCATGAGAATATTCTACGGAAAATGATCAGAATTGATAGATTACGAAATATTATTGTGACAAAACTTATGTTGATATTAATGGTCTCAAACATAAAAATGGTGAGTGACAAATTAATACTGATTGACATGATCGGAATCAGTTGTTGGGAAATAATGCTCCGTAATTTAGTACCAAACACGAATTAATTACCTGTGAAAGAGAGGTCGAGGTCAGAATCTGTGCAGAAAATCAAATAAGAGCCAAACTACGATTTCTTTTCTTTTTAGTTTTGAACGAAGAAAACCAGAGGACAGAAATGCCGTTATTTCAGTTATATAGTACCTGCCAATGTGGAAAGACTTGAAACGACTGCGTTCCAGAACTAATTAGCCGCATGATTTAATGAGGAAATTAAAACTAATTACCTAGTCTACAGGGGTTTGGAACAGTTTGTTTTCATTTGACTCAGTTTTTTGTTTTTTTAAAAAATAAAAAATAAAAACCAACCGATAACAATAATAATAAAATGTTTTTTTTTTCTTTTTCAGAACCATTTATTTGGCTGAAGGACTAATAGCCATATTTTTCTGTTAAAGAGGTCCTGACTCATGAGTACGCATCTAGGGCTAAAGTTTGGGTATGCATTAGGTCCAAAAACCAACCAAAAATAAAACTCTCATTTTGCCATGCCATTGTTATCTTTATATATTTACATAAGCTTTTAAATATTCAGTAAGAACATATTAAGTAACATAGCAATGTAATTAAGCCCAGACGGCCAGACCTAATTTGACGACGATGACGATGACAATTGTTTCAGCTTTTAGGCTGCTGTGAGGATCAAGGTAGATAGGATGCTAATGTGCTGTGCTAGGCGAGTATTCGTATAAAACTGCTATGGCTTATATGGCTGCAGAGGCATTTCATATCAAAATGTTATAGACATGATAATGACTTCAATTTACAGCAAAGAAATAGAAAGAATCAACAACTCCGAGACATTTTCCCAAAAGAAAATGACTAAATCGGAGTGAGAGGGGAAGTCGCTACAACAATCTTAAAAGAACATTTTGAACCCTCAGCAAATTACAAAAGTTGTCGATGCTGCGAAGAATCTGGGAGCAAAATTCGATTTTAGGAGTTGGCGATGCCCGGCAATATGTACATCACTTTTTGGCCTGCATAGAGGCAGCAGCAATACAGTTCTATCATTTATTTCAAAGCCAACTGAATTACTGAACTCAATTATACATCTGCTTTAAGCCATGTCGGTGTTAGTCACTCCATATACACAAAGCCTTCTTAGAGAGTTAGGGAGATCAAACACATATGCAAATCAAGGTATATGAAAGAATAAAGCATACCTTGCTCAGGTACTTTTTATAAATCTTCAATGCCTCTTTGCATACCTTTCTAGCATCCATATTTCCAGTAATATCGTTCAATATCTGCAGAAAAATAACCAATATGATAGATCCGGATTCATTTGTTCAAAAACAAAATGCTTATGCATGCACTAGGAGGGGGAGGAGGGGGAGAGAGAGCGGTGACCTGGACGACATCATCTAGACCCTTGGCCTCTTTCAGAATTCTCTTGTTCTTGGCCTCAAGAACACTGGCAACAAGAAAAACAGCAAGTGCACTCTCTTGGTCCTTACATCCAGTCTTCACTTTTTTCCTCTCAAACTTGCCACACTGCTTTAGCAGCTTATTATTCAACATAGGTGCAGCACTCTTATCAGACTCTGCAATAGGCTTCTCATATAAAGAGAAAATGTTTGGATTGTACTCCATGGCCCACATCAGCTGAAACCAATCTATTTTACTTATTTAGAAAAAGCTTGACCATAAAAAGTGCCAAAATAAACTTCTATAAATCAATTGTATGTGACGAAAGCTTAAAGTTCTGTGACTTCAATCAAGAATCTGGCAAGCAATGACTTTCCATTAACAAGATAGATCTCATATTTGGAAGAATTTCAAATAAATACACCAATCCTTCCTTACCTCCCAAAGGTACAGAGCATCCGCAAAGGAGAATTCTCTTCGAAAGAGAACCATCAACATGCGAAATGCAAATAAATATTCGCCACCATCTACATCCTCTGGCATATAAACAAACGAGGTTTTAGTTTACTTATAAGGGCCTCTTTCAGTGCACATGCATACAAAAAAGCATGCATATAAACATATCAAGGTGCATGCAGTAAACAAGGAAAGCTGGAATTTATCATTTCTTATCTAATATGTGCTGTGGTTTGCTTGTTCCTGTCAACCATTCTGGCAAGACTAAAATACCAAATCGCAATTTCAGTGAACTTTCTTTAAATGAAATTTAAAGTTTTCTTTTTCCTAGTTTTCATTCAAATTTAAAGCGCGAACTATTAAAACAATCAGGTCCCTGATGCAAGGATGAGACGGTGAGTATATCTTAAACCAATTAAAACATTTGGAACTGGAATAAATACCAAGGTGTTGATGAAGCTTCGGATCAACTATTTTAATTACTTGTGAAAGTGTACTCAGCTGAGTTTGCACCCCCATTGAACTTGCACTGGACCTGAAGTTTTCTCTCTGTTATGAAACAGAAGCAGTGGCATAAATAAAACTTAACAAGCACGATACTAGGATTGATCACATTGCAAGCATGTTTAGGGTCACAGATGGAAATAGATTTTCCAAGAGAAAAAAAGGAAAGAAAGAAAGCAAAATCCCAAAAGGATTCTATAAACAACCACCAAAATTCTGGCACAATCATTCAAACCGTTTAATAATTCAAAACCAAACAAGCACATCATACTGTTTTAATTGCTGCACCATGACATTAAGTACAGAGACCAAAATATTATGATTAGTCCAGAAGCCCAACAAATTATGTTAAAGGAATTCTTTGGCACTGAAACATGGAAAGAGAATAGGAATCACAATTGTAGCCCAACACTTGATTAAAACACAGAAATGACTACTGTCCTGGGTTGTATATCTCTGTCTCAATAAAAAAAAGAAGGAAAACTAGAGTTTAATAAGCAGAATGATACTCAACAATTCTGTACATTTCATGAGTGGAATCAAATAGACAAAAGATGGATCCATATAAATATGGCTACTAAATTCGTCATCTAAAATATATAAAAGACAAGTAGGCATTGAGTTTGAGTTGTTATAATACTGGCACGCAGATTGGCATTAATTCTGAAAATTTGAACCACGGATGCCAGGCTTCTTACCAAGAAACTACAAACAAAACTTAAATGAGCAATATGACTGGATTACTAGAAGTCCATTTCTTACCTGTTATTTATAAAGTGGATTGATAACAATCAGATACATCCACACTCTCTCAATACCACCATACTAATTAAATGCATTGATATACAATATATAAACCTGGATTGTATGCAGCCTGGAGTAGAATGTTTGACACATTTATTCTGGAATGAAGAATTCAAAAATTTCTATTATAACAGCTATTCTTCAGTTATTGCTACTAAATGTGTAAATAAGTGTGCAGCCTTTGATTTTCATTAAGACACAAAAACACACAAAAAAAAAAAAAAACCCTAAATCTCAAATCAGTCATAACTTCAACCAAGTTAGTGCTGCAAACAGACAAAAAACTTTCTGAAACAACCACGTAGGATTCACTACCCGCTAATACTTATTGTGATACATCTATATGCCTACAGGCCATTTCTCACTACATCAAGTCCACATTAGCCACCCAGGCAACTTCGCTTCAAACTAACTCGAAACATGTTGCTCCAACCACTGAAACAACTGTCACTAAACTCCATAACACATGACAGAGTGATCTCAGCAAACAGTCAAGATCCTTTTCAACTCTACCACAGTCTCCAATTTACAGCTTTATCTTGCCAACCACCCATTTCAGTATCTCAACTCAACTGCATTCATTCCCTAACCGTGCCTCTTAACAGCCCAAATTCCACACAAATACTGTCACATTCATGGAAAATTTAAATATTTTAATTATGACTGAGTGTGACTAAACTGAGCTAATTATCAACACCGTTATAATAGAAATCACCATCCATCACCAACAAATTCAATAGGAAAGAAATACAACAAGGCTAGGGGCATCATTGCTATCAAAACAATAACTGCAGCGACCACCTTATTATTAATTACATACCAGTCTCCGCATTGCATGCTCAAAACACCAAAAGGCATCTGCTTCATTTTCAAGAAGAATTATCATTGGAGAGCAAATATCATTCATTCCTGCACAATAAGAAATCAAAATAATGATCTCAGCATAAAGACAAATTTGCTTTGACATTTAAATCAAGCAGTTAAAAACAATTCACCTTGGACATAACTAATATCATTATCCACCCAGGCATAAACGGCAAGAATATCCCAAAGTTTAGCCTGATTTTTTTCACTCTCATAAAAGGAAAGAGCTCGGTCTGTGCGAACAACATCCAAACCTACAATAAGAAGTTCCACTAGCTATGTCAAGCAAAGTCAAAATTTCACAAAGTTGCAAATTAGAAAGAAGCTATAAGGACTGAGTAAAGTGAACTGATATTGCAACAATATGTAACGAGTACACTTAAGGCTAGTGTTTTTTCATCGTATATTGCCTTAGAGACCAAAACTCTGGCACCACAGGCCCAATTTCTTTGCTTCAAGAATTTAAGATGGACACTCTCATGTCCACAAAAAATACACATGATAATGGGTTGTCTGATAAACAGAAAGTCACTGCAAAGTAGTAGCTGTATAGGTAGAATACTTGCTTCTGCATTGTAAGTGAAAGGATATTTACTAGTCAGAGAGTGGAGTGCAACCACAATAAAGGTCTAAATTCATTTTCCAAAAACAGATGACAGGAAAGGGAAAAATCCTCTCCCTAAAAGAAATAGACGCTATATACCTACCAATTTGAGGCAAGGCAAGCATCCATTGAATTGATCTCTTGTCTGAAAAAGAACTGTTTACTTGTTGGCCTTTATCATCAGTTATTGAATAATCAATTACTGGTTGACCATGATCAGTAATTATGGGCGTTGTAATAAGCTTTCCGCTACCAATAACTGGAACCATGTATTGACACTCAGCTTTCCACCTGCTGTACTGCTCCCTAAAGTGTCAATGTCACAGATTAATAACTTTGGCCTAGGCGAGAAAGTTGATGCTCAGCAATTGAAAGCATTTGAGGTAAAAAAGGACTGACTATGTTCCAAAGCAAAAATAACTATTGAACACAAAGTCATATTGAAAAGCATACAAGAGGCTCTAATGTCATCTGAGACCTCTAAAGTGAGGGCCAACCTCAGAAGGCAACAGGTTTTTCAGTCAAATGGCTCAACAGGACAGACAAAAATATGTTTTCATATGAGTGTGTGGGGGAGTTGGGATTCCAATAAATGTCTATTATAGTCCTTTTATTTTGAACATGTACTATGAATATGGTTTTGCAACAGAGAAAACTTCAAAGTTAGCCAATATATTCAAATGAAGACTTGCACGCATGTAGGTTTAACACAATACAAAGGAAAGCATTACCTCCTATGTTGCCTGAGCTGATTCCGTTCATCATAGGTGCTGTTGGGATCAAAGCATCCTAACAAGAATTCCCATACTGACCCTTTAATTGAAGGATGAACACCCTAACACGGAAAACAAACTTAAGATTGACACTCTACCTTTGCAATAGTTTTCACTCATCACACATTAAAGGACCATTAACATAATGAATTACCGCACTGTATTTCACATCACTATTTCAGACTAGTATTCAGGCAAGATAAAAAAGAAAAAGAGATCCATACCCCCCGCTGAATCCGTCTAAGCACCTTTTCAATATTCAAATGACCATCTTCAGAGAACGCAGCATTCCACCTTCTTTCACTAAGAGTTTTCCCAGCCTGTAAAAAACAGACTATTTCAAACGTGGGGGAAAGCATTACGCAAAGTCTGCTTAACGTATCCAAGCATGCCTCATGGTGAAGCCACAAAGAAGTGTATAACAAGTAAAACTAATTCACAAATTAAAGTAAAATCCTCAGTAATAAAAAAAATTATTAAAAAAAAAAACGAAAGCATCATCACGTCACATGAGCAAAAAATCATGACATAAGTGACGATATACAGTAACACAAAGGATTGGAAATAACTAAACTAATTCACAAAAAGAAAAAGGAAGCAAGAGAAAAAGAGAGAGCTGACCCACCCTGGGCTTGAAACGGGGCTTGGGAGTATCAGCTTGGCACTCAGGTCGGATTGGATAGAAATCCCCCAAGTCCTCAGCTCCTGTTTTATTCATAATAGGAATAATCTCTGTCAATCCCCAGCAGCCAACCATCCAAATTTAACCACTCAATTGTTCCCTGCCACAGCAAAGGAACAAAAAAAAACAGAAAACAGAAGACAATATTAATGAAGCACTTCCATTGACGTTTATCAAAAAGAAGAAGAACAAAGAACAGATCCCAGAAACATTAAGTACGATGACATGAACATATCACATCCCACATGCCATAAATTTGATCTCTAAAGCCATCATCAGGCAGACGTGTAAAATAAATAACATTGCATATGATTTCTTTGCATGAAATGAATGTCAATAAAAATTGCTAAGATCCCACGAACTTTTCAAGCCAACCGTCTTATTTAGGATGCAAAAACAAGAAAAACAAATAAAATTTTGATTTTTCAGGGCAAGAAAACTGGCTCTCAATTTTTACCTTGTTGACGAACTGATCGGATTGCTGGATTACTGAAACAAGATAATTAGTCAATGGTGTCTGCCGTCCGATGAGGAGTTGCTATGCTATTGCAGAAAGAGAAATTGTAAGATCGATCAATGGAAAGAGGAGCGAAACTAAAACTAAGGGGACGCTTCGAGAAGAGATTCTTTGTTTTGAAATTTTAACGGTATCTCGGTTTGAAAAATGACAGCTCTTCTACTTTCCTTGATAATCGGGTTTTGGATTTTTATGTTTTTTTTTTTCCTCGCTTTCCGTAATTTGTTGGGCTAGCTGACCAGCTCCCCTCGATTTAATTCATTTTCCTCGAGAGTGGTTGGTTAGATGAACGACACGTCGTTAAAAATATTCATCAGCAATTAAAATTCCATGTCATTAAATACCCTTTTCCAACTCTTTTAAACAAAAAGACGGGGATTAATAAATAGCATGATTAATCGTTGCGTTTTTTTATTTTAATCTGGTCCTTATACTTTGTTTATTTACCGTGTCTCTTTACTCTATAAATAATGTTAAATTTAATTTTTTTTCAAGGTATCTTTTAATTATTACCCCTTCTGCTAATAAACTATAATTCAACTGGCATTAGCATTTTTCTCATTTCTATGAAGGATATCGACTCCTGTTATCAAACAACTACAGTTCAACTGGTATTAATATTTCTCATCTCTTTAAAGGATATCGAGATGCTACCTCTACCAAAAAACACAACTAGCTTCCAATGAGTTTTATGTTTGTATTAATTTTCCATTTCCGAAACTACGTATTGATTTACTACTTTTATTGTTTGATCATATTCATGTTTGGTTTCGCGATCTATCCTGCATTGAATTACATGTTCTGGTTTTGTTGTTTGTAGGACTGGTTATAGATGTTATTTGGTAAGCATGAACATCCTGGTTAAATGTCTAAATTCCTTTGTTATTGATAATCTTGAACTAAAGGTACGTAGACCATATCAAAAGCTATGCGCAGCTTAAACCCTTTTAACAATATGTGATAATTGGTAAATTTCTGCTAGACTCGTGCCTATTCGACTGATTGATGAGTCCAGAAATTGAGATTATTATATTGTGTGCTCAAAGTTAATCAAAGTTCAAATTACTCAATAGATTTGCACCATCTCACGAGTTGATTATGCATAAAGAATATTCATGGTAAAATTAATAAAAAAATAAAACTCGTTTTATAAAAAAAAATATTGATAAAACATAAAACTCTTAATATGAAAAGGTGTTCTTTATATGGTAATTGATTGTTTTATCCTTTATGTTTTAAATGTTAGTCAATTTTTTAAGTGCATCTTCAAAAAAAAATCAAATTACATTTTATAGTAAAATAGGATTACTTGGATTGAATTCTTTTCTAAAAAAGGGTAATTAATGTTGTGATGTTGGTCCACAAGTTTAAAGTAAAGTACTTTCAGTTATCAAGAGTGATTTGATATTTGAAATAATGATACATTAACTACGAATGATACCAATACATGAAGCACGTCAATGCATGAAATTTTTTTTTAAAAGAAAGTTTAATTTTAATCTCTATGTTTGTAAAAAGAAAATTGTAATATAGTCTCCTCATAATTGATTGGACTAAATTGACCTACATTTTAGGGTCAATTGACAAAAATGAAACATTAAAGAAAAAAGAGTAAAAATAAGATTGATAATATGCATACCATAATTTGCATAACGTTACCTCATACAATATGCCGTGAATAAATTTATTAGTGATGGCCTTAAGTTTCATGCACCAATAGTGAAATAGTTTGTTTGTCGGGGACAAGGTGGATTTGAAAAAAAAAAAAAAAAATTGTAGGCATTCTACAGAAAAAGAAAAAAAAATCATAGTTAGATTACTGTTGTTGTAGTGGTCGTACAAAGGTAACAACAATAAAAAACTCTAAACAAAAATAAGATATTTTTCATTTATTTGGGCAGCTAAATTTTTTTTTTCTTTTTTTCCTATCTATAAAAGAGTACATAATTGAAAGATTTCGTAACAAAGAAAAAGTGAGGTAAAAGCATCCCAGTTCAATCCCATTTTTAGATATACTAGTTTTCTAACAAACGAATAGAGAGATAGTTTGGATTTGAGCAAAAGGATTTTGACCATTGTAAAAAAATAAAATAAAATAAAAATAAAACCTAGTTATAATGTAGTTCTGGTGGTTGTGCAAATGGAACAACAACAAAAATTCTCATCAATTTGAATAGAAAGAGATAATCCATGTTTTTTGCAATTTAGAATGAACTATAGCGTAAACATGGATCCGACCATAAAAAATATTAATAGATATCATATGTACATAAAATAGGAGAGTAATCATGCAAAATAGATAAAAAAACTTATGCTAAAACGACATCGTTTTAGCTAGTTTTGAAATTTTTTTAAAAAGTTCTATTTATTCTCTATGTTTGTAAAACATAAAACCTAACCTCTTCATAATCGATCGGAGTATATTGAATAATATTTAAACAATTTTGACCATCAATAAACAAAAATAAAACATTAAAAAAAATTAAATAATATAAATAAAATCGATAATATGTATACCATATCATGAAATAATGTATTGGTTGGTCCTTAGTTTTTTTTGTTAGTTACATTGACATGAATAGTAAAATAATTTATTTGTTGGAGACAAGGTGGATTTGATCAAATGAATTGTGGCTATTGTAAAAAAAAAGATAAAAGAATCGTAGTTAAATTGTTATTGTGGTGGTTGTGAAAATTTAACAACAATAAAAATGCTAAAGAAAAATAAGACCTTATTAATTTTTATTTTCAATTTTTTTTTATAATTTTTTATTATTATTAAATTACACATTGTCCGTGTAATCACATGGAAATTAGACAATATCAATTACAGAGTATATATATTATTAGAAAATAAAAATGTTTTGTACATTATTAGTTGAAAGATATGTCTTGCAACGTAATGATGATGGTCCTGAGTGTTTTTTTTTTTTTTTTAGCCACATGCCATGAATAGGGAAATAATCGATTTATGGGGGATAAGGTTGATCTAAACAAAAATATCGTGACCATTGTAAAGAAAAAAAAGCACAGTTAAATTTTTGATCTGGTAACTAAGTAAACGTAAAACAAAAATAATTTGTTTTTCATTTTTTTTTCTAGTGGTTACGGATTGTACTTGAGAGATAAAGTGAACTCATTTCGAACTTCAATCTTACATATATTTACATGAACTAGTTTATTGATACATGCTTGGTGTGCGTGTTATTTAACTAATTTATAGTAATTTTTTCTCATTTTTAATAGATTGTTTAAAATTATTTATAAATAAATAATCTAATTATTTATTAAGTAAACAATTTTTATTTTCAAATAATTTTATACAAATATTGATAATTATAATATAAAAAAAGGCAAGATTGCCTTTGTTTTCCTAGTTCTTTTGGCAACTGATTGTCTTACCCCTTATGTTTTAAATGTTTTTTTTTTTTTTGGCAATTAATTGTGTTACCCCTTGCGTTTTAAATGTTAGTCAATTTACTTCAATCAATAACTACACCTTTGAAAAAAAAATTCTAGTGGCTACAAATATTTTTGTTATTTCTACACAAGAGTAATTACTCAACGAGACTTCAACTTTAATCTCATAATATTTACGTGTACTATTTAGTTTTTTAATACATGCAAAGAAACCATTAGTTTCTCGATGCATGTAAAGAAACCAAAAAGAATTAAGTTAAGATAAATATATATAAACAAATCATTCACACAAAGCTTTCTATTTAGATCACTTAGTAGTTCGAATAGCCATGTATTTATATTGATGTAAACGAGATTGGTCAAGAATCTTAGAAAAGAAAATATAAACTCAAGAGGGTCAAGCTTGCATAATGTTCATACTTCTACTCAAATTGAGAAAAATTATAAAGAGTCAAAACCAAAACAAGTTATCAAAATGCTTGGAAATAACTAAAAATCAACGGGGTAACCTCACCCAAATCTATCAATTAATCGAAGCCTCTTCATTCTATTGTAGAATTTATTTGCGGTACCTAATCCAATTACCTTCACTATAACTAAAAATCATACACAATCTTTAAAGAGTAAGAACAAAGAGATTTTATCGTATCCGTGGCCGTGGGAACTGGGCCGACAATTAGGACGTGGCATATGGTTGTGGGTGGAGGAGAAGGAGGAGGAGGAAGAGCCGGAGAGTCGAGGAAGATCAAAGAAATCACGAGGAAGTGGGGATTGGGGTATTCGTAGGAAGAGCCGAGATCCGAGGAGAACTAAAGTCTAGAGGAGGAGGACGGACGACGAAGAGGTGGCTCATATGAGTGTGGTTGTTTATGGTGGGCGGGGGTCGGGCGAGTGTGAGTGAGTTGGTGACCGAGTGTAGTTGCATGCGATGAATGGGACATGAAGGTTTTTGCTTTTTTGTGTTTTGGCTGATTGAGTAAGCTGGTGTGTGGTGTCTTGTAAGTGGTAAAGGGAGTAAAGGTTGTTTGGCATGTGAAAATTTTGATTTTTGGTGGAAACGAGAATCAAAATAATTTCAATTTTTGGTTTTGTTTTTTTTTTTTTCAAAATTTTTTTAACGAAATAGAACCAAAATCGCTAATTCAATTCGGTTCGGTTCGATTTTTTGATTTTAACAAAATAGGCCTCACCCCTACTATTGATAGCTAAAATCTATGTTTTATTTACTCCATGATACCGAGTGTGAGATGAAGAGAGACAAAGAAATCGACACTAGAATATCTCAAAGCTACGAGTTTTAAATCGTGGATACGTTTGTAAAAATGATTATCAATTATGAATCAAGACTTATCATGATAATAAATTAATAGTCTTGATAATCGATATCGTGAATACATTAATAAACCTATAATTGTTAATAAATTTATTTCAATTCATATATTTTTAATAATTTCACCAATTAAGCATAATAATAACATCTCACTAGAGTATTTTTCTTCTTCCTACACTATAAGAAACCATCTATACCAATTCCTAATTCATCCATCTATTATCCGCAAGACGATTGTAGTTGAACAACTTAATTCTAGTGAAAATGTAAAACACCATTAAAATGCCTAAAATTAGAGTGCCATAAAAGTGGGTAAGGAGAGGTTAGTAGCACTAAAGACCTCAAAACCTCAAGAGGATCAAAAGAAACAATTAAAGTAAAAAAAGAAAAAAAAACTATAACAATGTCAATAAATTATTACAACTTGAAGATGGAACATGGATTGAAATTATGATGATTAAATGAAACAGGGGCAAAGAGGAGTAGAATTATTTTAGAATCATTCTCCTTTAAAGTTATTTTGGAGATTGTTCTAAATCTCATTAGCCATTTAGGTCCTCCAAATTGATGCCTTGATGGTCCTATTCGCAAATGTTTCCTATAAACAAGGGCAACTGTAGAATTTAAGAACCATTGTCTAAAAAGTGCAAACACCCAAAACTTAAAAATTTATAACGAGTAGGAAACAAATAAGAACAGGAAGAACAGAAAGGATGTGCTAGCAATTAGTCGAAAGTTTACAAGTTAGAACCAATAGCCAAAAGCCACATCTACTTTTTTAATACACTCGAGCGCACCATATCCAAAACGTAAAACCCTAGCAGCAGGGCTCTTATTATTTCATAACCTCGCAGGCACAACTCTCTCCTCTCTCTCAGCGGTCGCCTCTCTCTTCGTCGATTCTCAGCAGATCTGCCAAAAAATGGTGAGACGATTTCTCTATTTTCTCTGTTTGGTTTCTGAGAAAATCCGTAGCTCTACTGCTTGTTTCATTTTTCTTACATACACTTTCCCTGTTTTTTTTTTTCATCTGTGTAGCCGTTCAAGAGGTACGTGGAGATTGGGAGAGTGGCTCTTGTCAACTACGGCAAGGATTATGGCAAGCTTGTTGTTATTGTCGATGTCATCGATCAAAACAGGGTGGGTTTTCTTCTATCTACATTTACCTTGAATGTATGTAGATAAGCTGATTGTTTTCGACACTTGTTTAGCTTCAGATTATTTTCTATTCTTCTAATGTTTTCTTAAGGATAATTTAAAATAGGATAGATTGTTTTAGCTCAGTGGACTATGGATGTTTTGAATACTTTCGTAGTCATAATTTAGAATTTACTGAATGCTCATGTATTTTGTTGGATCTGATATTAGTTTTCACCTTTTAAAAGTTTGATTATTTGGGTTTTCTGAAAATATTTTATTTGCATTTGTTTCCATTTACTGATCCGTCTCGTTGGTTGATGGAAGTGTGATAGTTTTAAGGTTTTTGTTTTTGTATGTTGCTATAGGCTCTGGTTGATTCTCCAGATATGGTTAGGAGTCAAATGAACTTCAAGAGGCTTTCACTCACCGATATCAAGATTGAGATCAACAGGGTTCCTAAGAAGAAAACACTAATCATGGCCATGGAGAAGGCTGGTTGGTTTCTGACTATCTATGCTATCTCTTACTTAATTTGCTATTTTTTCCCCTGAATATGAACTGTTGTTCTTTGATGGCAGATGTGAAGAACAAGTGGGAGAACAGTTCATGGGGCAGGAGACTCACTGTTCAGAAGAGAAGGGCAGCTCTTAATGATTTTGATAGGTTCAAGCTCATGTTGGCAAAGATCAAGGTTTGCACTTACCAAATCATGTTTTTTGTAATATTCATTATTGTATGTCCTTGTTTTTCTAAAACCAGTACACTGGTTAATGTTGGCATCAAATATCTCAGAGTAGAGTATTGTAATTTATGGTTAAACATTTCTGCCTTAGATGTTGAATTATCTCCCTCTCTATGTTCATACCAAAGTTTACACTTGCTGTCTATTGGTCTATATGGTACATAGGACTTTGGGGCCTAAGCAGAATTTGAGCTCACCCTTGCAGGGTGTGTTGAATTATTAACTTCCAGCTTTGAACGAGTATATAATTTGACTTACCTGATTAATTAAACACTATCTGACCATCGCTGTCTAAAAGGACTAGATTTAAACCTGCATTACCTTTTAAATTCTGTGCTCATTTTACCCTTCATTTGAGGGTTAGCAATCAGCCCCTAGAACATACTTATGGAATTCATGCTCAATCATAGATTTCATGAATTTGCATCAAGTGGTTTGATCAATTGCATTTGTTTTGATGAACCATTTGATACAAATATCTACACAAGCTTGACGCATGTTATAATTGTAAATTCTGCAGAAGGCTGGAATTGTCAGGCAGGAGCTTGCAAAACTCAAGAAGACAGCCTAAGATTTGTTTGCTTCTGAGCTTTTCATTATCTTAAAAGTTCCAAACTTTGTTTCAGTTTTAGCATTTTGGTTTTTTTTTTTCTTTTTTCTGTTTTGATTAATTTCCTAGTTAGGGGTGGAGACCAATTATTATGGTTCTTGTTATGAGGAAACATTAATGACATTTCTAGACTTACTCTTTTGCAGTCCAATTTTTCTTGCTGTGAGTTGATATTAGGTTTCTTGGTGGGTTTCTCTGACACCTGCACTCTGCCTGTTAGGGAATTTCGTTTCCTTTAGATCCTATGTTTTATAATATAAAGTAGATGACTGGATAAAAGCAATGAGGGTAAATCAGTTAACTTTTTGCCCGCAATTGGATTTTTTTTTTAGCGAGGAGAAGGAATGTCTCTTCTCTTATCCGGTTGCAGTGTGGAAAATGAGGCAAGATAAGACAGCAAATTATTTGTCCAGTCTTTTCTTATGATTGTAGAAAGATAAGTTATCTGAAATGATGCGGGCATGGTAGGGTAGCCATATTTTTAGTCCTTGAATCCTCCCATCTTAGAGAAGCGATAAAGACTGTCTTCAGCCTGTGTTTGCCCCCCCCCCCCCAAAACATTGCCAGAAATGAAAGCATCCGTGCTACTGGAGGACAGGGCTCTTTATGGAACCACTTGTTATTAGTACAAACCCGGCCACCAGTTTGGTGGTTGCACGGGCCAAGTTATATCCTACAGTAGGTGCTGGTTTTGAACGGCTATCCTGGATGTGAAGCCTTGGAGGCCGTCCGTTGTGTTATTTGCGAATCATGGGAGTGTTTATGCATGGCCTCTGCAATGGTGCCCGTGCAGATCGAGCAACCCTATTCCTCATCAGGGTAAGATGAGTATGAAAATTAGGGTTCGTCTCATGCAATTATTGTTTCTTTTTTGCAACATGATTTATGTTTCTCAAGTCAATTAGTAAGCATTTCATGTTATTCGCATAAGCTATTCAAATTGTTTTTGGTAACATGTGAAAATAACCATGAAATTGGATTTCCTGCTAGAAAATAGTTATAACTCCCACACATTGAATTCTGAGGGTAGTTGTCATGGCTAGTTAGGGATGGCAATGAGTGGGATTACTGCTTCATTAATTCAATCTTTTATCTTATTTATTAAAAATATATATATATCAATGCCCATATTTATTAAGAAATCTTATTTATTAATAAAAAAATCAATGCCCACGTTTATTAAGCAATTACTAAATTCATACTGGATCCATATTCGAATTTAACCCATTTATTTCTTGCCTATTAAAAATAATTTGTAACAAAATATTTTAGTTTAGCTCACGTAATTTCAAAAACGTTATTCTGGTCCTTAAAAGTATTTTTTTAACAATTTGGTCTTTTATTAATAAGTTTTTGGTCTTCAAAGTTTTCATAAAAAATATTTTGGTCTCTATTTTATAAAGTTTATGCAATCATGTCCTTATATTGAAATTTTTCAAAAAAATTAGTGAATATTAGTAGAATATAAAGAAAATATCTATATTTGAAAGATATAGCAATGAATATATATTTTTTTATTCTATTTATTTCAATATCTATTAGATATTTTTAATAGATATTTATTAACCACCACAACATTCGTCTCTCGAAAGAACTCTGAAAAGAAACGTTGTTTGCAGTTTGCTGTATACTTTTGTGGAGATCATACTATTCGGTACAAGGCAGCGAGGGCTATGTTTGAACTTGGAATAGGAAGGGATCGGCGGAACAGAAGTTCCAAACAAGGGCCTTTTGTTTTTGTGGGTACAGCGGATAATTTCGCTATGGGCACACCTTTTATGTCTACTGCCACAACTTTTTCTCTTGAAATGACAAATAAAACCTTGAAGTTAAAACCATTAACGGTAGCTTGATTGACGAGCTTTATCCGTCTGCATCATCCATCAAACACGATTTGTTCTTCATCTAGTTAGCCTAATTGAGATCTGAAACATAAATGCTCCATCACTGGGACTTTTAGAAGGAGAAAATCTGTTTTCGAAATTAAAATCAAATCTGGATTTCTTAACTCAATCCCAAGAACAAGAGTAGTTAATTGAAACGATTCTCATTCAAAATTAGAATAACCATGGAGATTTGTATGGACTCTGTTGAAAAAAGAACAAGGAGTATATTCATCAACATTTTTTAAGAACTTCTGTGGGAGGTGGTAGCGCCTTTATATGGAATTCTTGTACAGCGACGCAGTGGCAGCCATTAGACCGAGGCTCAGACGACAACGAGAGGCAGAGAAGGGATGGAAAAACAGATACGGTTTGGATGGATTTGAGGAGACAGGTTATTCAATTTTTTCCAATTGTTTTGAATTCAAGGTTATATTTGGCATGTTAAGTAAATAAGTTCTGCCAATAGACACAGAGCGTGTGCCCATAGCTAAATCCTAAAAACCATCAGTGACCTGTGCAGCTAGTTCTATAGAAAGTAGTTGCCATTGCAAATAATTTATTTCTACCATAAAACAGTATATCAGCTAGCTTTCCCCATGAAGAATGGAAGTACGAGAAAAATTCATCCAGAAATGGAGCTGCTTTTCTGGAATGCCTGGTGATGATTAATACAAAATGGCAGTCGAGTCTCCCTCCAAAGGAGTGAGAATATCATAGCTGAAAAGGATGTGACCCTAAATTCAGTTTCAAAATACAGAAGTGCAGGTTGGATTAATAGCTCCGTCCATTCCATTTAAAATGGCCAGCCAGGAGATAAAGCGATGTTTAAGGATATTTGGGCGGAAGAGAATGATTTGGGAGAACACAATGCTCCTGTTTGTAATGCATGTATAAAAAAAAGACTAGCCATTGATTAACAAAGAAAGAAAAGGCTGATAAATCCAGATTAACGGAGCAAAAATTGTCAGGATTAGGAATCAGAGTAGACTAGGCCTGGGATCTTAGCCTTAATCCAAGAAGCTCAGATTCCATTTAGGATGCTATTGGCTATCTTCCTCCGGATATCCATCTCCAACTTGATGGAAGTCATTTCCTGCAGCTTTTGGAACCTCTCTGACTCCAAGAGCTTGTCAATGATGGACTCTTCATTACAGCATAGATGTGCCTTAAGCTCAGAGTTCTCTCTAGCAATCTCCACGGCCTGCACTCTAGCCCTTTCAGCCTCTTTCTCAGCCTGTTCAGCCCTGGTTTCCGCCTCAGAGATTTGCAACTGCAATTTCCCTTTTTCTTTCTGCCCCTCCTCCTTGGCTTGCCTTAGCTTCTCTTCTAGAACAGCATTCTCACAATTTAGGGCATCAATTTTGCTCATCAGCAGAGAGTCTATACCACATGAATCTGATGGGTTAGAGCTTCCTTGCCCTGCCAAAGAACTAGGGGATGCGGTTTGTTTGTTTAAAGGAGGCGTGGCCAATTCAGGATCACAGTCATGAATTGAGACGGGTGATTGCCCATCTTGGCTGCTTAAGCACAAACGTTTTAATGGCCGTTTAGGTTCGTCGTGCACCTGAGCTTCTTCCTCAAAATCTCCTTCCTGCCATGAAAATAGTCAAGATGAGAAAATATACACAAGAGTTACATGCTTAAGCTATGCTATTTGTTCTCAGCTATGTTTTAATCATGCTGCTTTGGGTTTGCAGGGATTTGAAGTCTGTTTTTCCTATATCTTCTGTTTCTTTTATTCCCTGAAGTGCCAGGTTCATTAAACTTTTAGCTCTTTTCAGGACTTGTTTCTTTTAATTTCAGTTTGAATTTACCAAAACAAAAAAGACATATATTACTTACACTAGCAGGGTCCTTCACTTCCCACACCTGGTACATGGGATAGGTATCAAATTAAGGAATATATATATAGTTAGGAGAAAGCAGAGAAAAATAGTCGAAACTTAGGGAACGTGACAAGAGAGGAATATACCTCAACAACATCCTCTTCTTCAAAAATTGCATCCAGAAGAACTCTATAATTATCCTCTTCAATAAGCTCCCAATTTCCGTCATACAACCTTAAAAGTCTTTTCAACGCTGGTTTCACTTTATTTCCACTAATCCCCACAGACATCATTGCCTTAAAGGCTTTCACAACTTTAGGATGCGGTGCCATTCGTGAGCAACCTCCTCTGAAACCCCCAAAGTACCCATATACAATTTCCAATATTTGTAAATTGTAAGGGGGAGGAAAGGAATCAACGAGAGTAAGACTTACAAATTAGACGTAAACAAGCAGGGAATTAAGAAAAAGAACCTCCGTTCTTATGAATTCAACATGACTAAGTTTTCTTTATTAAGAAAAAGTGAAACACTAAAAAATTGCAAAAAAGAGTAAACTTTATGCCCTCTGGGCCCTGACTATTGCATTCTTGCTCAGTTTCTCTGACATTGAAGTTTAGGTGCTGTTTGGTTACTAAAAATTATAATAATGAGAACGAAAATAAAAATAAAAATTTTATTCCCACTTATAAACTGTTTGGTTGAAAGGAATTAAGGTTTTAATCGACCCAAATACCATTCTGACCTTCTCAAGCAACAAAGAAGTTAAGCATTAATCTATCCCTTATTTATTTTTTGTAAAAGAGGAAATATAACAGTTAAAGTTATATATGTATATGTTTTTCTTTTCAAAATTTTTATTCCAAGATAACAAATGGCGTATATCACTAGATTAATCAACTGATTATCAAGAAAACGAACGGCCGCTAACCCACCTCTACAGAAAAACGAACAGAGACAAAAGGTTGTGCTTTAATTTATTCTGTTTGGTTGTAAAACTGAAGATTTAAGAAATGCACTCACAATCAGTTGCTTTTCTTTAAGAATCTCACCCAAAAGGGGGCTAAAAAAGCGTAATATAAGAACCTAGCTCTGGCTCTTTAAAGAAAACCTAAAGGAAAAAAAAAAAAAACATTAAAAAGCAGATCATTACTTACTTGAAATGCCAAGAAATGTAAAGCAGTGAAACATACGCAAGGGAGGTAGATAATAAATAAGGGAAATCTGTAATTGAACGATTGAATCTCTTATCAGCAAGCAAATGGAGATGATGAAGAATTATTAGTGTGCAGAGAGGCGATGATTGCGACTAACTGGAGGTGTAGTGCAGCTACATAAAAGAGGCGGAATGAGGGAGGCCGACAGAAACAGTCCCTCCCTCCTTTTCGACTGACGACAAAAAAATTGAAATGCGTTCTCTCTCTATTGGGGTTACTTGAGCAATACGCTGGACTCCAAACGTCTTTTTATAGCCATTGTCGACGAATCGTCTGAACCGACTCTTCAGTCTTCGCGGTAAAGTTTTTGCTAAAGAAATGATGACATTCTGAACCTTTATTTATTTATTTATTTATTGGCTTTGAATTCTCAAAGCCTTAAAAATCTTCAAATTAAAAATCGGAAAATAAACTGGGTACCTAGATATAATAATATCCCATTTTTATGTTGGCACAAACTAAGCATACAATACCTGGTGCAGGTTAACGCTTCAGAAAATAACGGTGCCTTTTTTCAGACATTAAATTACAATGGAACAGTGTAATATTAGTCAGTACTCGGGAGCGATTCATAAAAATTATAACGAAAATTTGTTCACTCAAGTCCACAATTTGACATTTCATTTTATATTCGAAAGGTACTCCAATTGGTTCGATGACATCAGAGAAAAATCGTAAAATTGGATTCCCACTTCCTAGAAAGCAATTAACAGTTACATCTGCTTCCAAATGGAAATTTTACCGCCAGCAGGAGGCAGAACATTGAATGAATGCCAAATTTTCAAAACATCACTATTTAGGGAGGCTGGTCTAAAAAAACTAATTGACATTGCATGCAATTTTTAGCTGACAAAGAACAGTAATGAACATGTGTGCTCTTTGTTTCAGTACAACATATGGAGGATGGGAGCTTGTTTTCGCAACCCATTTTCTCCCACCCAAAAATTGCCACAACATGGTTAACAACCCTAAGAATTTTTTTGTCCCTCCTCACAAATCCAATAAATGAACATATAAACAGGGGGAAAAACAAGAGCAAAAGAGGTTAGGGTGCGGGATTGGACTGAGGAGAGCATTTGACCTACAAAATATACTGTTACAAGCTTTACGGGACAAGCATACCAGCTACCTTTCCCATAAGGAGCAGAAGCTCGAGAAAAGTCATCCAGAAATGGAGCTGCTTTCATGGAAGCAAAATAGCCAACCACCAACAGTCGTGTGAAGTGTGAACTTTTGTACCTGAGTGATGAATAATCACCAGAAGACAGTCATCTCTCCCTCCAATAAAGCATCTGGCATTCCTGGAAATCACTGTAGAACTCTGGTGTGCACATTAATGTCATTGCACAAAGGCAGCCATGGTGCCTACGGGAGCATGCCAAAGCTTGAAATGTTTCACCAAAAGCGAGAATTTTGACAAGTTCCACCGAGTATACCCAAGTAACAAATGTTCATTCCATACACATAGAAGCAACAACATATATTGTGGGTAACTGCAAGGACACAAAGGGCTAACAAAATTAAGTTTTACACAAATAATCTAACAAAAGGAATGTTGAAATATTTCTTGAATCCAAAAAATATAAATTTATGTAAGCATCATTCAACACCAAGAAAATAGAAAGGAAAGACGTTTATTGGCAGAAGTATATGTGGTCGTAGGTAGATTAACAGTTAAAATAAACAATTCCAGGAATGAAAAGGAGCAGCAAATTCCTTTTTCTATTTCCTTTCCTCAAAAGAAGTCAGGGAGCCTCTGCTGACATCTGGACGATTTTCCTGTTACACTATGGAAGTTCTAAATTCTTACTGAAAGTCAGAGCACAAAATGTTTTGGGAATTTTGAAAATGAAAGAAATTGAAGCAAAGTATAAAACTCAACTGAAATGAAGGCACCACAAAATTTTGAATTGAGGTAAGTCAACCTCATACCAGACATCTAAATGAACCTTACCTTGTTAACCTAAAAGGGAGCCTCAAATGATTCATCCCAAACTTCTGCACTTCCGTTCGAGACATCTTCAACATCCTCTTCCATTGAAAGCCTGATATACTCTCTATGTGCAAAGCGGTCCCATTCTGTTAAAGTTGGTTCCTCACGCTCCTGCCCACACCAACAAAAGCAAATTATAGGCATTTATGATCCCTGAAGATATAATTATGTAACCAGCATCTTTGGATCCCCAATATATTATACAAGCTAAAAACCAGGGGACCAATATTAAAATGCTGAATGTACCTGGCGAATAAGAAAGGGATCACGGCTTTCAAAAGCTACGAACTTATTGAGGTTGAAAAGAATATTGAAAACATTTCCTGAAAGTTTGCATCCTTTCAAGTCTCGCAGGGTGATATAATCTTCCCTCTGCAACATAAACGTGTCACTGCAAATGAAAGCTAACACAAACAGCAGAGGATTCCAGAGTATCGGAAAGAAACAAGTTTTTACCTTTGGTGCAATCATGTCAACTATTTGACACAAGATATCTTCAAATAGCACAGGTTCCTGGGCCATGCATTCCATTCGGTGCAGCTGCTCCTCGTAGAAGTATTGCAATTCATTAGGTGTCAACACACCATTTCCATCTAAATCTAAGCACTTGAACCTGGAAATACAACTTAATAAGACAAGGACGAAAGCTGATACAAACATAGATGACTTCCACAGACAGAAAGCATCAGAAAATGAGTGAGACCCTGACAAAAGATTTGAATGGAGGAAGCTTTTAATACCACTTGAGCATTAAGGAAAGAGGAGGACATGTAAGATAAATGACTTCCATAGACCTGTGAATACAACTTTCTAAGATAAGAGGGCACGGTACAGACAAGCATAGATCACTTCCACAGACACAGCATCAGAAAGCAGGACTTAGTGTTAGGCCTTGGAACTTGGAACAAGATTTGAACAGAGGAAGCTTTTAAAATCATCAGCACATTTAGGAGAATGGAGGAGAAGCACACTTTAGTTTAGACTTGGTCCAGTTTGTTCACAGTACAAACAAGGAGCCCATAGTGGATAACAATATCAATGTTGTTGAGAACTCTTTACGTCACTGTTTAAAGCGTCAGGGTCATTATCCTGGAACAGGTGCTTTTTTATACCACATCCGGGTCTATAACAAATGAGGGAGAGGGGCTGTTCTTCTTCTTTGAGGAACCAGTATCCTACTCGTAGCTAATTCAATGATTAAAATGGGAATGGCACAAAACCTGCACTCCCAATTCCCTCTATTTAAGAACCAGGAGGTGAGATTTGACAGGAAAATTGGGAAGGAGACAATATATAAGAGCAATAAGCATTCTTTCTTTTAGATGGAAAATGCGTTCAGAGAAATTGTTTGGCCAGCAGGAGAGAATCTGATTTTCTTACTGAGTGAATCACTTGACTTAGTTAAATTAATTTTCTAAAAAATTAGTTGAGAGGGGAACTGACATTAGGAAACTCAAGCTATTCAAGAGTTATGACATATGATATTTACACATCAACTAAGTGAACAAAGGTTACAACATTTCAAAATCATGTCTAATGTAGATGCAAATTTTCTCGCAGTCCTGTCCATACCATTCTTTTACAAGCACCTACGTTTTCAATATTAAGTGCATGCACACCAGTGCATCCCAGGACAGACATGTCTATAGTCAATATGCAGCTAATCATTTATACAAGTTTGTGCTGAAAGGATAAGGCTACAACCCAACCAAGGAACAGAGGAATTTAGCTGGAAGATCAGTTGTTCAAACTATGGAGATCACTCAAATTGAAAATTTCCATCAGACAGATCAAGTGAAGGGGCGAATTGGATCCAACTTTTTATGATTCTCTTCCAAGCTTAATGCTCAATTTTGACATTTTGGACAATAATTAACAGTGTTCCTCAATACATCATAAAGAGTGCCCGTTCAAAAATGTAACTCCCACAATATCTGTATTATAAACTAGTCCCTCAAATTTCTTTCTTTCGTTTATGTATCCATTTTGGCCCAAACAGACTAAAACAATTATCACAAGCAAATCCACCTTGTTGTCAATTATGCAAAAACTTCATGTTCCATTTGTCATTCAAAATATTCCCAATGCCAAAAGGAAAGGTAAAAGTCTAAGCAAGGAATGTACCAGTATTCAAGACTGGGCTCGGATGATTTGTCCTCCTCTGAGAGCATGAAGTAAACAAAATCTTCATAACACATTTTCCCTTCAACATTGCTTGTAAACTTCCTTGGCACCTAAGATGAAAGTAAAGCACGAACACAACATTTACACTTCATTTAGGAGAAATGTCTTTGATACTTAAAAATCAAAATTCACTTGTATCAAGCTTCGGAGAAGCAAGTAATAGGACACCAACCAACCTGTGAAAATATTCTATCAACAATCCTGTACGTAAGGGCATGATTACCATATCTGATGAGATTCTCTTTGTCGATGAAGAAATCATGGTCTGTATCCAGCTCCCAAAACTTGCAGTATATTACATAGAAATGTTCGTAAGAGAAGTACCTAAAAAGAAGGGCAGCACGTGGTTATCGGTAATAAATAGAATCAAATCATGTAAATTCCATATGCAAGTCTTTCCACATTATCATTGTATCAACCAAGAAGAAGAGTCAAACAACTTGATTTAAATTATAAAGACATAATTTTCAGGTAGAATTACTGCAGTAGAATGTCATTTGGGGACTTGGCGAGTTGAGTTTTAGATCAAATTGGTTATGCATATACTAGTAACAATATCTAGCTATTCTTATTGCTTTTTTAAGAAAAACATATCATTTAAAGTGTTTGCTGGCACCCCCACCTTATAACTTTGTTAATGTCTTCTTCTTCATCTGCATGTTGCATTGCAGCAATAAGATTCCCACGCTTCAGCTCCCTGAGTGTAAGCTGGCCATTTCCTGATCTATTGACATAGTAAAATATTCTGTATATAACAGTTTCAGCTGGGCCATTACAACAAGAGTTCATATTGGTCAATACCAGTTGCAGAAATGAAAAACTTAATTAAGTTGAGAAAAAGCATTACAATGATGAGAAAGCATATAAAAAGCATCCACAAGAATCCTAAATGATGGAATCACCAGTTAGTGCAGCCCTTTCTTATTCAAAAATCACTTATTGGTATTACTAATTTCTGTCTCAGTTGATGCCAAATAAAGCCAGGAAAAACTACTACATATCTATAACTTGATGATCAATTCCACCTAAATCTCACCAACTAAATCCCTCACTAATATATAATAAAAATCAGACATCATAAATTGTGTATTAGAGCTGCTAGGTTTTAATTCTTTTTATTTTATGGCATTATTTGATTTTGCGTTCCCTAAGTTTAGGAATCATTTATGTTTCCACATCTTAATAGTCCAGCATTATTTAAAAATAAAAAAAATAAAAACAAACTATAATAACACACAACAAAAGCTCCTTCCATGGGTAAAACAGCTATCTTATCCTTTCCCCTTCCGATAACTCTAATGGTTATAATCAATAACACTTGCCATGTTTTTTGGTTTGACCAAAAACATTTGATATAGTCAGCAGGATTAAGATCTGGGTAATAGATACCACAGATATGGTGCATTCCAAAATGGTCATTTCCCCATGTGAATTGCTTTAGTAAACAATTGCATGAAGCATCAGGAAGGAACCACTGAGATCAAGGGCAAAGCTTCATTTTTGACAATTAACCAATGCCTCCGGAATAAATGATGCTGATGCTTAACTGAAAAACCAAATAGCACATCAAGTAATGAAGTACATACCATATCTTTCTTGAAATTCGGGAGTATTCTGTAAGAATTCCAACCCAGAATGAGTTGCCAAAAGTTCTCGAAGAATAGGTTTGAAATCAGACTGATATGATCAAAGTAGAAAATGATAATTAGTCCACCAACAAAATTGGTTGTTTGAATATAGGAGGTACCAGAAAGCCAATTTCAATATGCCTGACAAATGTACAGGAAATAATGGAATCACATGACGAACCTGAGTAAGGTGTCTGCAGTCTGGCTGTTTTAGAATATTGAATGCTTGAGTTGCTACATCCAATGTCAGCATATTGCTATCCACCCAGTATTTAACAAACGCATCCCTACAAACAAACAACATTACTGAGGACCCAACCAAACATATATTCAGAAAAGTAGATGCACCCAGCATCAATCAAAACGAAACGATGGACTGGATTAATATGGAGAAAACAAATAATTAGTCCCTCCCAAAATACAGCAACTAAAAAGCATAGCATCTTTCAAGATTAAATGGAAGCCTATTTGACATTTGGGAAATAAAAAGAGCACAAAAAGCATTCAGACAAGGTGAAGAAGAAATACCATGATGTTTGAGAAATGCAAAAGGATAAAAAAAGATGACAAGTTCTGTAAGGAGATAAGTCTGTCGGCAAGATACTAAAAGTTTAAAATTCTTTTGGTAAAAAATAAAATATTTAGGAACAAAGCACAAATACCTACCTGGTCACTATCCCAGTGCAGTCAATGTCAATCTTTCTAAAAAGTACATCTGAGAAGAAGGATGGTAACTTGCAAACTATCTTTGTAACAGCTTTAAATTCTGCACAACAAAGAATAAACATTAACTGCTATGAAGCAATGTGTATCTTCTTCTCTTTCCCTCTCTGTCTTGGTAGAACACGCGATTGAAAGACAAACAAAGAACCTTAAGCAATAAAATGAAGGGCTTCCTGCCCCCGGCCCAATATGATAGAAGAAAAGGATTGTGCTTAGAGTAATAGAGCAAATTATGAATTGGTTATGGTTCTAACCGTCAATGAGTAGTCCATCCAGATCATTGTTGAAAAGATGATTAATTCTAGAAAGACATTGTTCTTTGAGTTCACTTGCTACTGGACGACCATTTTGAAAATAGAACTGCAAGCATATGAAAGCATAAATACTTTAGCCTTAAGCATACACGAGAAGATAAGAATTTCCAATTTAACAAGTGAACTCAATCACGACAGTATCTTACAAAAAAAGCTGACAGAAGTAAATGAGACCTGAGGTATGGCTTCCCAAACTGGTTCCCTAACTAATTTTAACGGAGAACCTAGAGATGAGGGACTGGTTTTCTGCTTAGACATGTGTGGAGAACCAGATGAACTTCTTGGTGAAATCGGAGGTACACTACCAGAAGGAAACATGGAAGGCAATGAATTGACCCCACCAGCACTCGCATTAAGAGATATACCAGGGACGTTAATAGGATTGCCAGCTTTTGCATCATCAATTAAAGTTTTCACCTGCACTCAATTCAAAAGATTTAGACCAAAATTAGATAAAACAATTCCATACATTGGCCAAAAAGCAATTAACATGACAAACAAAACCAATTGACCAGATATGAATCTTCATAATTCAAGTCCCACAATAGCCATAGAAAATCTCATTTTTCGAGTGACCTAATTTATAGTTCTTCATAATTAAGATACACTATATTATGCCTTCAACTCATATATTCAATAATAATACATTTGCAATGACCTGAAAAGAAAAATCGGTAACCACCTAAATCTGCCGTAAAGGTGTCCCAGCTTCAAGCCTGGATATCTCTGATAGAGATAGGACACGATGGGCTTCTACATAGTGATAGAGAAAGAGGGTACACGGTTTGCTTCTTTCTACCTATGGTTATACAAAAGATGGATGCTGTTATCGTAAAACCAAAGAAAAAAGAAGAAACACAACAACAGTAAATTACGGCATAATAACACTGGAAAAAAATTCCAGTTCTCAAACTAAATAAATCATGGTCTCATCCTCAACTAATCTCAAGCCGATTTCACACCATATACACACCTCCTCTATGCTATCAACGTCAATTTGTGACTACAAGCAACTTTGTATAATTAAATTACTACGTAATTATAGAAGTAAAAGAAAAGAAAAGAAAAAATAGCAGTACCAATCGGGTGGTGTCAGAAAGCGAAAGCCACTGAGAGAACAAAACCTCGGGAAGTTGAGGATTTTCTTTAAGAACAAAAGAAGAAACTTCTGGCAGCTGCAGCAGTTCAGTGTCCAGACAACAATCTTCGTCTCCTACTACTCTATCAATATCCATGGCTTCTTTCACAACAAAACCCTAATTCCTCAAAAAAAAAAAATAATAGGAAAAAAAAACTTCAAATACTTGGCTTCTTTCACAGAATTGGAAGATCGAGAGTGAAATTCGATTGGAGATGGATGATTGGAGTTGCTCAAAAAGCGGGAAGATCGAGGAAGAGCGATGTAATTGTAGTTCGTTGTTCAGAATTGGAGAGAGCGCGTGAAATTGAAGAAGAGAAGGAGAAAGGGAGGGAGAGAGGGAGGGGCAGGCGAGAGTTAGAGAGAGTGAGAGAGAGAAGGGAGTTTTCGAAAAAGAGGCGCTTTTTGGTAACAGAAACCGCCCAGGAGAGGTACAGTAACAATAGTCAGAGAGTGTCTCTCTCTCCCAGCTGGGGGCTGTTCTCAACGACGTTGGGTGACTTGACTCGCTCCCGGATTTGTACGAATTTTATACGTATGTTTTATGATTATACGGTTCGTTATATAGCACAGCTTCCCGTGGATGACCTTTTTTCTTCTAATAAATTTTCGTTTTTATATTTTTCGTAAATGACACACGTCGTACAAATGAGTGGATAAACCTTTCCTTTTCCATTTTTAATTCTTTTTAACTTTTTGTGGTCGATGGTTGATCTTTTCGACGTGTTTCTTCTTTGAGTAGCTGAAATGTTTTATTTTGCAATGTCGGGGACTCCTCGATTTCTTTTTAATGAAAACATCACAAATAGGCACACTGACGTGATTGTAATTTTACCCAACTTTTTATTCGTTAAAAAAAAAAAAAAGGAAATCCTTTTGCAAACCATTATTATATTTTATTTTTAACCATAATTGCATGCTTTTTGGATCTTGTCCCGTGTGTTCCTAGTTTTCAAAACCAAGGGTTTTGATCATAGTTTTCAGAGAACAAATCGTTGATAAATCATGATTTTTAGTGAACTGGATTTCGAAATCATGGTTAAGGATGAATGCAATTAAAATATTCACATTAGGAGATTTGAACCTTTTTTTTTTTTTTTTTTGGATAACTAACTTATTTTGTTTCTTCAATCTATTCCAATCCGAACATTTTTTGAAGTATGGTTGACTGAGTTTTCAAAATCAGGACGATCTGCTAGAGCTAAAATTTTGAAAAAATAATAAACAAAACGGAAATTTCGTAAATTTCAAAAGATAAAACAGGCAAATGCAAAACACATCCAGACGAAATTCAAAATTTCAAAACTAATGCAAAGGATTGATCTCCACGTCATTTTCTTGGTTTTGTACGTTGCATATGATATGAGAGGCACAAAAAAAACAAATAATGATTATTTAACCACGTAATAACATATGCACTTTTACAAAAACTTCAATTTCTTCGCATTAGAATTACATAGCCGCTGGCTTTTTAATTAAAAAAATATGTTTATAACTAATTAATCGCATTCGTGAATATACACTAAGTTTCAGTTTTGATAGGAGTGTAGCAAAAATCTATTCAAACATGTGTAAACGTCAAATGCATAGAATTATTTTGTACAAAAAAAAAAAAAAAAAAGTAAAGTGCACTAAAAACTTTTGATATGTATTTTTTAAAAACCCATTTTTTTATAGAGAAAATTATCGCACAATTGATATTATCAACAAATTCAAATTAAAAAAATTACGGAGCATTCTGAGCAATTTTTCTTTCTCTGAGTTAATATGATTAAGCACTTTGTGGTATACGAAATTTAATACGGAAAAGAAAAAAGAAAGACTCATGGATCACTAGCCTGATGAGTAAATTATAAATTAGTCTATATGGTTTTAAAAATTAATAAATTAATCATTTGACCAGTATTGAACTATTGATCATAATTTTAATATTATTATGTTTCAAAAAAATCTTCTTCTCAATAATTTTTCATTTTTTTACTTATTTTTATCCTTTTTATTATTATAATAAAAATAAATAAATTAAAAAAAATAATGAAAGGGATTAAATTTTAAAAAAATAGGAATGAATTTGTAACACCCCCAACCTAGGACCTAATAAGTTGAGAATATTACCGTCATTAGCCACATTCGAAGTGCAATGAATATAAGTTAACAATGCACTATGACCTCATTGTAACGTATGTAAGAATATTTACGTGGCAAAAATCTTTTAATGACGTTCAAATCCTATTTCTTACTTCAACTTCACTCTAAATTTTTCACGTTTATGTAGCGTTTATTTATCACGATATTTTATTTTAATTTATTTCATTTTACATGTTTGCTAAACTTCTAATCATGTCAATATGTAGTGGATGATTTAAAGTAATTATACTACTATTACGATATTATTATTTATTATTGCCGATTCGATTACACGCCTTAACCACTTACATATATGATCGATTCTATGTCAACTTCTCCGTGTAATGGGTCTACCGAGAATCCAAACCCTCATCCAAGCTACATGCATCCGATGCTTTCATCGGTAGTTAGCTTTGCAGAGAAGTAAGCCGTAATATCTTATTTATCTACACCACAAGGAACTGTATGAGCTACATCCCAATAAGTTAACATATGCATGTAGTGTAAGTACATGTGTATGTATGCATAAGACACCGATATGCATAATAAATCATTTTTCTTTATGTCATAAAACATTTCATAAACGAGTTTGAAAATCCCTTTTTTTTTATCTTTGGACATGTCCCATTTAAGTACTTCGGGGTTTCTATCACATATGTTTGGCGAACCGGACCCATCCACGGACGCGTCCTACCAAACCTCTAAAAGTGCACGTCTACACTTGCCCGACCCCGAACCATTACCATCACTGTATGAAAAACCCATGAACTCCTTTCCTCAAAACCTCAAAATCATGGAAATCGTTTCCTTTGAAATCATTCCGATTGCTATCGGATAACCATGACATAAAATATATTTCCATGACTTAAAACATTATTCATGAGCTAAGCATGCATGTACAATTTGTAATGAACCAACAAGTCTGTATGAATTCATGGATGCTTACTTAGAATGGTTATGTAATCAAGTCATAAGAATCGATATAAAATTGGACAGACATAACAAGTATAGATAACATTAATCCAATATAAACCAACAACGCCATCATTGGCACATTAATCATCATAACCCAATTCTCATCATCAATCACATTCAAGCATAACCATTATTCGTAATCTAATGCATTCATGTAGCATTTGAAATAACATGATCATAACATAAAAGAAGATTAACATTTTTGTTCCATTTCTTTGTTCATTAAACTTACATTTCACTTTACTTTCCTAAATTCTTTTCCTTATGTTCTTAATCATCATTCCATATTTGGTCTTTGTCAAATTAAGTATCATTTCATGTTCCAACTTAACTAGGTATTATTTTATTGATTTAGGAGGTTCGGTTTTGGTTTAGGCCTTAATGGGCCTAAGGTCTAATTTTTTCTAAATCAAATTTTCTTTAGATTTTCATGAACACTTTTATTATAAACCATCCTTTTTCATTATCTTGAGCATGAATGAACTAATTTAGGGTATGGAACTTAAAGAGTGACTTTTAAGTGATCGATGAATTACACGGGCGGAGACACGCGCCGTGTAACTCTCTGCCTTCAAGAAAACATATTTCTTCATTACACGGGCAAGACACACCGTGTGGGAGGTCGTGTAACTCTCTGTCATCGAGAAAAACACATTTCTTCATTACACGGGCAAGGACACACCCGTGTGGGAGGTCGTGTAACTCTCCGCCTTTAAGAAAAACACATTTCTTCATTACACGGGCAAAGACACACTCGTGTGGAAGGTCGTGTAACTCTCCGACTTCAAGAAAACACATTTCTTCATTACACATTTTCTTCAATTTTTAGTAAATTTCCATTTCTACTAATCAAAACATGCTTATTCAAGTATGAATGACCCATCAAACTAGAATCAATTTGCTTTGAACTCAACCCCTAATTTGCTTAGTTTAGGCCAAATATAAATTATAACAATTAGTGGATTTTTCTTCAATTAAAGTGAAAATTTTCATTTCTAAACATTAATTCATACTAAAATAAGTCAGAATCAAGTGCAAAAACACCAATTAAATAAGAGAATTCAAAACCCCCAAATTTGGTTCATTAAGAACCCTAACCCTAATTTTTATCAATTGAGCAATTAAATCAAATCAAGTAATTAAACATGAAATTGACTTGAAATTAAGTATGCTTGTGGTGTATTTGAGGTTAACTTACTTGTTTGAGCTCCAACTAGACTCTAAAAAGGTAGATTGGTGAAAGATTTCTCTTCCTCCTCTTTTCCCCTAAATTTTTGAATTTGATCTTTGAATTTTTCTCTTGAGATTTTCAGTTTCCCACTTAAAATTCAAGCTTCTTCCATTGATTAGAGATGGATAGAATTTATTAAAAATGTTTTGGATGATTTTTAAGTGAAAATTTTGTAAGAGTTTCCTTTGTGTTTTTCAATTTTTTCTCTCCTTTTTATTTTTTCAGCACCCCTATTTATATGAAATTTTGCAGAATCATTGACCCCATCTCCATCCTTAATGTGGGAAAATCTCAGCCCTTAATTCAATTTTTAATAATTCATTTACATTTGTCCTAATTTTTAGCCATTTATTCACCTTTTGATTTAACCCTTAGGCCTTCCTTATTTTTGGCTATAATTTTTATTAAAAGTCAGACTTAATTAATGCTCTAGGTCGGACAAATTTGGGAGGAAAATGACAAACTTTGGTCCTTCAAGTTTCTAGACTTTTCCATTGCCCATTCTTTCCTAAGTCCCTCTTTTATGCAAAAAATCACTTCTAATCCTTCCTTTTTATTGTTTAGGACTAATTCTTAACCCTTAACATTCTTACATAATTTAATTTGGATTATTAGACTTTTAATTATATGCAATCAAGTCCCTAATTTTATGCAATTTAATCCCTACTTTTAAAATCCCATTCTATACTTTTCAAAAATAAAATTTCTTTCTATAATAAATTCAAAAATTTATTAAAGGATTTTGATTTAAATTTTCATAATTTTTTGCCCTGATTTGAGCCTTCGATTTATTTATTTAGTGTGAAAATTACACTATTTTCTATAAAAAATATTCCCTATACTTACTAAAATTAATTTAAATTTTCTAGGCACTCTCACACATCATATATGATTATTCTATGCTCTTAAAAAAATTCTCATACTCGTAAGGTTCCTAATTAAATTCTTCACCTCTAAAAATACTATTCTTGCACTTAGAAAATTCAATGAAATATTCACCATATGTAGAAAAATTCATAAAATCATATAAAATAATCTAACACCCTTCTAACAATTATTCTAAATAAAAATATATTTTTCATACACAAACAACATGCTTTAATTAATTTTCTCATGCAATAACTATTATTCATGTACCGAAAAACCATTAAAATATTCTTTAAGCATGGAAAACTATATTGACCCTTCTAACTATTCTTTTAAATTTCTAATAGTTATTTCTCATTCTCAAAAATATTTATTTGCACATGGTTTTAATATTAAACTTTTATTATATTTCTATTTTAGCGGGTACCGAGCATTACATAATTATTCATTATTGAAACTAGAAGAAATATTTAATTCTTTTTGGGACTAATTTATAACTTACTTCTTGCTTTATGCATTGGGTACCTTTCGATGAGAAATTTTATAATACTCAATGAGTAACTAGTAGCATGTATAGTAGTTACTCCATAAACTCATTTAGAGGAAAGAGATAGACTAAAAAAAAGAAGAGAGAAACGGGAGAGAAAAAATTTAAAAAAAATTGAGCGAATGTGAAAATCGCTTATCACTTTTCGTGGATTCGGATATAATTTATGTGTCTATCTCTCTCCTCAAATTGAATCTATGGAGTAATTACTATATATGTCATTATTTGCTCCTTAAGTATTATAAAATTTCTCTTGTTTCAACTAAGAGAAAATGATTTTTTTGATGCCCAACGTTTGAATTTTTTTCTTCATGTTTTGGTGGCTAATTGTTGATTTCTAATGTTTTGCTATCCAATCTTAGATTTTATTATTATTATTATTTTGTGTCCGGAGTCACACGAGACTTAATTTTATTGACATGTCCAATAAGAATTGCCAATGATATTTTAACTACTATGTGACATTTTTTAATTGTCATGTGGGAGTGAAAAATGCAACATGACATTCAATTCAAAACACATAAGTAATTCATACTCTCCTATGACTCGTAAGCACTTAAATAAATAAATAAATCAATCAAAACTTAGGCACTCGAAACATATAAAAAAGAAAATAAAAATTGGGCACTGAAACGAAAAAAAAAATCAACAGTTGGACATGGAAAATGTCATTTTCCCAATAAATTTATTTTAGTTTTCTCACATCAAATGTCTTTCGTCTTATTTTACTATGAATTTTTTTCCTTTTTTATTATGAGTAAATTTCATTTATTTCTTAATCTTTACGTATATGTAATGTCTCAAAACTTATTTTCGGATATTGAAAATTATATAATTTTAAATTCCAAGAGCATCAACGATTACATGCATACGTATCTTTTTTTCATTGTGCTAATTACACAAGCAATTTTAACAATTTAACTCTTTATATTAATTTGTGTTTTACTTTTTAATTCTATTGCTATGGTCACTACTATCAAAAGTATTGCACTTTCAATACTCTAACAAAAAAAGCTCGACTACTAAATTTGTTCGTGTTGATTTTATCCTATTTCAATCAGCTATAAAAAGGTTTAAAAAGTTATTAGTCATATAAAGTTTATGTCACCCGTTATATTTGGTGGATCTTCTCTCTAGATGGAGGAAACAATTTTTATTCTTTGTAAATTTCTTTATTGGCTAGCCATTTCTTCTACAAATGACAATCATAATTGGACATTATACTTATTTTGCTTTTCTAAATTTAATCTTAATTTGACTTTATATATATTTGAACTAAATGATACGATGTTAAATTTGTCTAGACAATTAAAGAATTTAGATTTTTTAAAAAATAGTTTTTAACTAACATGGAAGGTTAAAAAAATTATTTTTAATAAGTAGAATACGCCACGAACATGATATGAAAAATGTTTGCAATGTAATCAAATGACAATTTTTGAACTAATTTTGCAATTTTAAGACAATAAATTTATTGAAAAAATTATATTTTAAGTGCCGAACTTTTAATTATTTTTTCTATTTTAATGCCTAAGCTTTGTGTTATTTATTTATTTATTTAAGAGTCTAGAGTCATTTGATAGTATAAAGAACTAATGTGTCTAGAGTTGATTGTCATTTGATAGTGAAAAATTTTATGTGATAGTTCTCACCGGACACATAAGTAAAATTATATTTCGACTAATTTCAGGTAGTAAAACAGAATAAAAAATTAAAAATTAGATAGCAAATCATTAAAAATAGAAAATTGTGTAGCAAAACAGAAAAAAAAATGAGCACAAAAAAAAGCCGTTTTCTCTTTCAATTAATGGAGATTTTGCCGTCTTCGCTCAAATTTTAAAGAAAAGTCAAATTTTTTTTTTTTAGAAAAAAAGGTCCGATAAGATAAATTATATATTTACTGTCCAGTCCCTTCTGATCAACGTATTTGTAATAGTAAAATAGAAAAAACTAAAATAAAAAAGCCGCAAAATTTCGAGGCGCTTTCCTCCACGTTCGACGAGCCAAACAGAACCTCCCTATATCTCTCTATCGCAGCTTCTCTCCTCAACAACATTGTTAAGAAATCAAAATCCTCTGTTATTTTAAACAGAACAGCTCCAATAAAACTAACAAAAGAGGGGAAAAAAACATGAACCTCTTCAGCAAGAAACCAAGTCCTAAAGGTTGGACTCTCTTTGTGGCATCTATGCTTGATTATCTTTTGTGCAATAATCACTCGAATTTGTTGATTTTCTCTGATTGATCAAGCGATCGATCTGAATTCTGTTGGTCTCTTAGTTTTTTCTTTTTCGTGTATTTGAGTTGACTTTAATTAGTTGCTTTTTTAGAGCTAGAATTGCTGCAGCTCTGTTTTGTTAGTTTGATGTTTTTTTTTTTTTTTTGGTGGAATTGTGAATTTCATTTTTGGTTGCGCAGAGGCTCTTCGAGATAGCAAGAGAGAAATGCAACACGCTACTAGAGGTATCACATTACTGTTATCTACTCTTAGACAACTTAGCTCTCAGCATTCGGATTCCTTTTCGAGGATGATCTTATTCTTTTCTTGTTGCTTGTTTTGTTTTCCCTTAATATTTAGGTTAAATTGTAATCAAGTAACTAGCGATGTTTTAAATTCTATTATCCAGCACCGATTTCCACTTACTTGTATCTTTTTTTTTTCGTTTGACGTTTTTCAAGTACAAAAGAAAGGATATTGGGCTTGATTCAGTAGGGTGTTTTGGATGTAAATTGAACTAAAGAAGCTCAAATGTTTCATGTTTCCATTTGCAAAATTGTCAGCTGATGATTTAGATTTAAGAAAGTGGTACCACCGTCTACCATTTGGTCGTATATACTCGACAAGCTACTTCAGGGTAGGTCCTCCTCTGGCAAGTCAAATCATTGTCAATAATGATGTGACCGAGGATGGAAAGAATGGTGTGAACTTATACGGTGCTGCTAAAGTAATCCTTATTGCAACTTAGTGTGCCATCTCTCAAAGATGAGATCTTCTCAAATAAAGAATTAAGCAAATAGAATGATGTAGTTTACTTTCATATGGATCCTATTTTAGAGACAGGCTAGAGCTTCTGTGGGACAGTTACAAGTGCATCAAACTGATGGACTAATCAAATTCTTGCCTTTTCTTGTCTAACCTATTAAATGATCGCATAAGTTCAGGAGACAAATTCGTAAAGCTCTTGATTTTGGGTCCTTCCTGAACAGCCAAGAGCATAGGGTTCTTTAAATAGTTTTTTGCCTGGGCTGGAGCTGCCATTTTATGTTCTCAATGTCATTGAATCTGAACACATAAATTATGGAGGGGGAATTAAACTATCTTCTGGTGACCATCCTGTTAGATTACAAGGCTGGAAACTTTTTTGAATCTCACGCTTTTGTTTTTGCTCGGTTTTCACCTTGATTCAGGTATAGAGAAGGAAATCGGAGCACTGCAGCTAGAAGTAAGCAAATATTGTTGAATGATGAGCACTAGTAGTATTTATTTATTATTATTATTATTTCACTTTTGCTGTTAGATTATATCTAAGATAGCTGTCATCTGTTCAGGAAAAGAAGCTTGTCGCAGAGATAAAACGAACAGCTAAGACTGGAAATGATGTATGTTGCTTTTATATGGATTCTCCTTTCTGCTAGAAGACTTGAGTTGCTGTGTTATGTAACTTTTCCTAAAACATATTCAGTTTATGTTCCGTGAACAATGAATGCTTAACTTTGTGTTCTGCTACTATGGAGCCAGATGTAGCATTAGGAGCACTAGTAGTATTTAAAAATCAATAGAGATCATTTTACCAAAATTTTCAGAAGTTTTGAAGCTTGTGGGCGAGTGCTATTGCCTTCAAACAGCCACCTAATTAATCCTTTTCAATTCCTCTCTCTGTTTTTATTTATTTATTTTTTTGGGCCGTGCATTTTGCAGGCAGCGACTAAAATTCTAGCCCGGCAGCTAATCAGGCTCAGGCAGCAAATAGCTAACTTACAAGGTAGTCGAGCTCAAATGAGAGGTATAGCAACTCATACGCAGGTAAGCTGTAAACCCATGCCTTTTTTTTTCCTTACTGAGGAGAAATGGGTGAGGATTGCTCTTTGTAGTGCGTTAATAATGTTCTCTTAACAATGTTTATTTGCTTTGCCAGGCAATGCATGCCCAGTCTTCAGTTGCTGTTGGTTTAAAAGGTGCCAGTAAGGCGATGGAAGCTATGAATAAGGTTAGTCATAGACTCATAGTATATGTAAGTGTTTTGTATTTCATTGAGTGTTGGATTAATATCCATATATTTCAAGATGCAAGGTTGAACACTGATCATGAGCTATAGTTTGAAAGCAGCTGTAATGATAACAGCATACAAGTTCTTTTTAATGTAGTATTTATTTCATCACTACACAAATAAGAACTTAAAATTTCACATGTTTGACTTTGTTTTGGGGTAATCTTGACAGCTCTTATGATTTTATTGCAGCAAATGGCACCTGCAAAGCAAATGAAGGTTATAAAAGAGTTTCAGAAGCAGTCAGCCCAAATGGATATGACTGTAAGATCATGCTTTTAGTTCAAAATAATTTACCACGATAGGAAGTTCATGTTTTTCATTCTTTTTGCTCATTAGTGGTGTGCTCATTGTAACTTTTCTATGCAGACTGAAATGATGTCAGATGCCATAGATGATTCCTTGGATAACGATGAGGCTGAAGAGGAGACCGAAGAGCTGACAAATCAGGTAGTTTTGAAGTGAAACATTGTAACTTTATTTGCTTGCATTCTTTTATCAACAATACCCTACTATTACGTAATGCAAAACTTTGTTATAAAGTGAAAACCATAGGGGTTTTATGGTGTATTAACCGGTCTAGTAAAATCATGGATGTGTCATATGAGGATCTCTAAATAAGTTAGAAGTCTAAAACCTCGTTATGCCTGTGGTTGCATGCAGTGGCTTTATAGTTCTATTGACTGGATTACTGGAAGTCATTAATTATTGTCTGTCTGTTTTTCTGGTTATGTAACTTGAAAGCTAAAGGAGCAGAAGATCCGAATATAGTGCCTGATAATTACAATCCCCATGTCCCCCACACCAAATCGGAAATCATTCTTTACGAATTCACTTAGTTACCATTGGACTTCAAAACAAGGAACCGATGACATTTTTTTCCTATCTTGTTTTTTCTTTCAGGTGCTGGATGAAATTGGTGTTGATGTTGCCTCACAGGTTGGTGTTGGTAGTACTCATGTATAAACGTTGTTTTCATTTGATTATTTTCCATTTCATAATGCTAACCTGAACTGAATTTGGCAGTTGTCAGCAGCACCAAAAGGTAAAATTGCAGGGAAGAATAGAGAGGATGCCAGCAGGTATTTTCCTGTTCTGAATTTTCCTTGTCAAACAAGAAAAAAATTTACACACAGAACCACTCTGCCAGTGGCTTTTAACCCAAGCTGGCACTTCATGCTCCTATGGAAAGGGCATGATTCGGATTGCTGATCTTGGGGAATGGCGGGCTTGAGCTTTGCGCGTTTTGCCAGTGGGATTAAACATTCCCCAATAAATAAATAAAAGGGCAAAATGAAAATTCTGTTCTTTTCTATGTATCCTCATCTTTTGCTTCTCCTGTGCAGTTCTGGTGTCGACGCCCTTGAGAAACGATTGGCAGCTCTGAGAAACCCTTAAGATGACGGACAAAGTTTTCATCCTACTGGATGTTTGAGGCTTCACTCATAATTTTATTCTTGTTGGGGCTGTATATTGTAGATTTATTTTATTTTTTCCAAACCCGTGTTTTCCCAGTGTTATTCATTTGCATACAAGTTCTGATAATTTTAGAAACCGTATTTAATTGGATTAATATGTCTTGATCGTGTGGGTTTGATAATGCCACCCCACATTAATATACTAACATTCCATTCAACTAAATCATTTAAATTTGTAATGGCATTCCCCCGTTGAACTTATTAACTGTGGAGCCACCGTCATCCAAGTGAAGAATCAAAGGAAACACTAACGAAATGAACGGTCGATAGAAATATTTTGTTGATGGAGAATAGCATGACATTGTGCTTGCTAATGATGACATCAATAACCAGAAAGGAATGAGAAATATCACACATTCCAACAGCGTGAGACAGGGCAACTGTCCTTCAGGACGCAACTGGAAAGAGATGCAAATTGACCTTATGATATAAATGGAGGCAAAGAAAAGTAAAAAGACTAATTTTTTTTTTGGCACAAACATTTGATGATATTACAAGACAAAACAAGAGTCCAACCATTCGATGGCATAAAATGCAGAACGAGAACTTCATTGGTACAAAACAAAGCGTAGTAAACAAGTAATGAAACAGAATATTAGTACGACTCGAGTTCCATATATAAGAAGACAATTACGGTACATCTGTTTCTTTTAGGATGCGTCTAAAACATGTTGCAACCGTCAGAAACCTTCTAAGGAGGGGACGAAGCAGGTAAAGGACAGGAAATGTTTTATCAAGATTTGAACTGGACTGTCATTGCAGTAATCATCTGATAATTTCCCATACACGAGCTGAGATTATAAATTCCACGATTTCTTCGCATGAAAAATCATGTATCTATTCGATGTGTGAGCAAATTATTTTCTTACTAAATCAACTTCTCATCACTTCCTGATCGAGAGGAATTCAAAGCTCCGGAAAGTGTCCTCACGAGTGCCTCTGGCAGCCGCAGCACGAGTCTGGGATGATTTGAGCTCATACCCTGGTTGAATTCTTTGAGTCGAAGGAAGTCGACCACCACTTGAGTGCAATCGGCCCGAGCGACCTTCAGTAGGTTCTCCAGAGGAACTTGCCCTGCTATTTGAGATAATGGCTTTTCTTGAGTTGCTGCCATAACGAGAAGAACTGCGCCCTTTTTCCAGCTCAGGTGGCTGAAAATGAAACAGTCTTGATAAGGATTTTAAATACAAGCAAGGAACTTACTGCAACTAAATGAATATTAAGATTTACAGAGACAATTCAAACAGAAAAAAGACTCTTCTGCTGATTTTATTCTTGTTCAGCTTTGGAAAGTAAGGACCTCAACTGCAATACTTAAATTTAATTTAGAACTTCTAGAATCAAACCACAAGCTGCTACAAAATACGAAAGACATTTAGAAGTGTGAAGCAATTTGCAAGGAGAGAAACAAAAACAACTTGTCTTTGATGGACAACATCTGCTATACTTGGGTTTGTAAACAATAAACTCAGAAAAGAAAGGTCTGCAGCCTGAATCAATACAAGCCAGAACAAAAGGTAGCCTATTCCCTGAGTGCCAGAACTTTTCAACATTTACCTTTATAGTGGAAGCATAAAAATCTATAATGAACAAGCTAACATATCAACCATGATGTGTAGATTTTGCTTCCAGAAAAACACAAACTAATGAAACATCTTGGCATCAGATTTTCAAATGCAACATGACCAAGGGACAAAATTTAGGTTCCAACAGAACATAATTATACACAAGTAGGTATGGAACTTACATTATCCAAAGTCTTGTTTCGGGAAGTATCATGTGGACTAGAACCAGAGACCCTTTTTGTTGAAAATGCTTCAACGGCACCTGAGAATCTTTCCCGAATCTCTTTTCCAACTGGATGAAAGTGTTGAAAAAAAAAAAACAAAAGAATTAACCCCAACGGAATAGTGAAAAATAAACCTAGGAAGAAATTGGTCTATGAAAGTATTAGGCAAGAAAAAGTATATAGTTACAAAAGTCTAAAAGTTGTAGGCATCTATGTAAAGTGCAAGTCTGTCTAAATTAAAGTCAAAAGCATGTTCTAACCCGTGTCCAAGCTAGTGATTAGCATTCACATATCACAAATCAGTGTATGGCAGTAAAATTCCAAAGAAATCTCCAAGTTCTAAAAATATTTATAACCTGGGGTTTCAATAAACTTGGCACCAAAACTAATCCAGTTTGTGTAGAGAAAGCATACCTGAGACCCTTTCTACTGGTCTTTCAGCGGATGGTCCAGCATGACCAGGTTTCCCGCTAGAATGCTGAAAAAGAGGCAAAAAATATTAAGCATAACACTCTCCCCCAACCCCTGAAACTCGCCCACAAGCTAAAACACTCACCCGTCCTCTAGAGCTGGCACCAATCTGGGGGTACTTCAAAACAGTCCAGTCAAAGACATAGTCAAACTGATAACCTGCAGCAGTAGCAATGTCAAACATCCAAAGATGAGAGAGATACTTACAAAATAACTTGAAGAGAGCAACTGCTAGTAGTTTACCTTCTCGAATAAATAAGTCACGAAACAGCCTCTTCAAATATGAATAATCTGGTTTGTCTTCAAATCGCAGCGATCGGCAGTAGTGGAAGTATGATACAAATTCAGATGGGTATGACTTACAAAGCACCTGTTATTGGATATGGATTTATATCACTAAGGAGAAACATGAATAAAATGTATGACTCGGCTGACAGTAAATTAGACCAAAATTGCCCCACGCTTTTCAACATTGGGCCAGTATCTAGGGCCCAAGACCATGTTCAATGAGAAGAATTATGTGTATGTGCCAAGATTACATACTATAACATTATATATACGGTACACATGACACATTCACATTCATTTCAAACTATTATTCAAATGAAGAATATTGGCTGTGCTACTTTTGATGCTTAAAAAGAAGCATCCAACCTAATCTGGATCCAACACAGGCAGTAATACTAATAGTTTGTGCCTGGTTTTGCTCACTAATTTCCATGCATTAACTGTCCATATCAAACTTTGGAACTAGCAGATAACCAAATACTTCACGAGGTCTCTGGCTAAATAATTGCATTAATGAGATTCTCTATTATAATAAGGACTACGTAGCAAATTACCTCAATAGGAGTTGAAACTTTCTTTTCACTGATCTTATCATATTTTTGCTTCTTTGTGCCAGCCTTTAATCCTTGCCATGGAAGACTGAAGCAAAGGAATTGTGCAAAATGAACAGGCAAGAATTAATATTCAACATCAAGTGGGACACACCACCCACTCTCCCACACACAAATGATAAAAAAGAAGTATTGATTCAAGGGCTTGGCTACTATATACTCAACCTGCCCCTTAAGAAATACATAAGCACATAACCAAGAGATTCCAAATCATCCCGTCTGCTTTGTTCTGCAAGAGGTAAATAATAATTCCATCAACTAATGCATACATAAATCTGAGTATCTGATAGTGAATTCCTGTTGATAGTATGAAATTCAATATGAAAAGAAAAATGACTTACCAACTCCAAGGTGAGTGTTGACACTTGCATAGCGAGCTGTGCCTGTAAGATTCTTGTTCTCCCTACAATGGAAAAACCTTGTAAGTTTCACAATGAAATCATTTTCCTACACTAGATGTAAACAATAAATATTAGGAAAAATAAATAGGGAGAAGTGAGCACAAATAAGAGAGATGTAACCACAAGAAGTTGAACAACCATCACACACACACACACATGAGAGGTAGGCATGTTTTCTACGTCACTTTGTTTTTTCTGTAAATGATCACATTTATCTTTTTCTAAACAAGGGGAGATTGCATAAAAACTGGAACAACAAGTTTGCAGAAAATCAGAAAAGATCTAGTGGCAACAGAATCTATGATTTCTTTTAGAGAAAATAAACTTGAGATAGACCTGTAAGAGGTTTTATATAGTAAGATTCATCTTTGTGTACACAAATGGGATTATCCATGACTAAAACCAATAGTTAATGGAAAAGGAAGAATATTAGACACACTAACGAACTAGCCTAACCCATCACCATATCCAAAAGCCACCACGAGGTTCATACCATAACAAAAAATAAATTAAATTGAGCTGTTTTATTTTTAACGGACAACATTCTCATTATTAGATATGTGATAGTTTCTTTGGAACCCTACAGAGTTGGATCGAAGTTGTACATGCCACGCTTCAACATTAAGTGCCTCAAATCTTAACTCAGTCTGGTTAACTTCCCTGAGCATGGCATTATCTTTGCATAGATCTAAATCAAGGTCAAGTTTTAGTACATAGAAAAGGAGTTAAATTTGCTGAGTTCATCATTATATTCCTAATATGAGCACATGTAGCTGTGATAATCATGTCATGGTAGAGTTTGCGGCTTTCTTCTGAAAACAGAAAATCTTATGCCTAAACTTAGTCTCCAACCTCTTCTAGTCGCCAATCTGCTTAGGTAATGAGAAGTTAACCGTATTGTCTAAATGGTTAACTCATAAGCCATTGAAAAATAGAACAATCATATCATAATAAATCTGAACTTCTTGCAACATGAGATAAACATAAAAAATTTACCTGTATGGAATGTGCTTGTGAGTCTGAAGATCTCTATACTTCTTTGCAAGGCCAAAATCTATGACATATACCTGTATTATGCGATCCCAAAAATTGCAAATGTAAAACAGAAACAAGCTGGAACCTATAATAATAATTTGACAATATCCTCTCCTTCACATAATATATCTAATAACCAATAAATACAAAAGGTAAAAAGATTGAAATAACACAAGCTAGCATATGCTCTAATTTACCAAGGTGACTAACAAGAACTATGCAGGAATAAGTACCTGATTTGCTTTGCGGCCTAGGCCCATCAAAAAATTGTCTGGCTTTATATCACGGTGAAGAAAACCTCTCGAATGCATGTATTCAACTCTGTTAATCTGAAGACAGGAAATGAGGGGAAAAATTATTCACAGCATAAGATATAAGATATATTCTATATTCTCCACAAAAACCAATCAAATACTTACTAATTGATCTGCAAGCATCAGTACTGTTTTCAATGTGAATTTCCTGTTGCAGTAGTTGAATAAATCTTCCAAACTTGGTCCAAGAAGGTCAATGACCATGACATTGTACTCAGCCTCAACTCCGAACCACTTGAGATGGGGAATTCCAGCTTCATTAAAAGAAAATCAAATAGCATTATAATAAGAAACTTGATACTTAAAATACTTTTCCTACATGTACTCTAAAGTAAACTTGTAAATAATATTTGGGGCACAACCTTAACATGAAGTTGCATTCATAAAACTAGAAGGTACATCTTAAAAAAAAAAAAAATTCTGCTATTTGAGGAAAAAATCAAGCAGTCAAAGATATTTCAAATTTGTATTTGCTTGTTTAGAACATACTCCCTCCTTGAAGAAGCATATACAACTTTGACTCATAATGAAGCTGTGGATGCTTGGTCTTTACAGATTCCTGAAATTTGGAATAAATAAGAGTCAAGAATTGCAAGGCATGTTGGAGAGAAGATGAAGACTAGTGTACTCCAAGGATTTTCATACAAAACGCTCTCTTTCAGGTGAAAAAAAGGAATTCAAAGTACTTATTTTCACATCAATCATGCAGTTAACAACAATGCAATTTGTAGTGGGCAACAAAGCATTTCGTGCAAGTATCAGATAATTAATCTTATATACCTCGTCCAAGATACAGATCTGTTTTCCTGCTTTCCTTCACTAAGATAGGAAAGAAGCATAAATTCGCTTCATTCTTACAACTGAATGTGGCACTCAATCACTATCTGTAAAAGTTCTAAATCATGTAGAAGTAAAATGCCCTTGTCTACATCTAAATCAGTAGCTGTTTGCCTGTTTCAGTATCCTATCAGAGATATTCAAAGCTACAGACCAAATGTAATAAAATTCAACATCTCAAAGACTCGCTACGAAATGAAAGGGAAGTGTCATACAGGAACATCGATAAATATGATTCGGGCAAAAGAAACCAAACATGAAACCTAGCCTACAATTACCATCCAACACGTTAAACATTGCAAAAAATTAAAACACGATCATGCAGGAACACTACTTTTTAGGCCCAAAAAATAGATGAATAAATAAATAAGGAGCTAAAATAACCACTCCTCTCCTTCAAAATCCAAATCAAAACATCAATGAACAATCCTTTTAGAACATACCAGTTTAACAGCAACTTCCTCTCCAGTTTGCACATTGACACCTAGCACGAAAATCCCAAATCAAATCACCCCAAAAAACACAAACTTTTAGACAAAAAAAAAAAAAAAAAAACTAAAAGCAGCTAAAAAATGCTATACCCAGAAAGAGTTCTCCAAAAGATCCACTGCCAATCTTCCTCCCAAGCTTGAACTTGCCACCAACCATATGGTCAATCTTCGATTTTTCCATTTTTTTTCCTCAAACCCCCGGAAGCTCTAAACTTTCTAAATTTACCTAGATAGATTTGTGCTCTAGCTTTCTTCTGTGCACAAAATCCAACACCAACAAATTTATCAGATTGACACAGAAACTCAAAATTGGAAACCAAATCGAGAAGAAGAATCAAATAATCACAAAACAAGTCAATCACGGGAAAAAAAAATCACATCCTTAGATTGTTTCAACCAAAAAGAATCAACTAATTGACCGAAATTTGAAAACCCTAACTTTTTTTTAGGGGGATCAAATCAAGCTACATTGACCTGACATGGCAAATCAATTGCTAAAGGAAACCACAAAATATACCGAAAATCAAAATTGGAAGATGCAGATCAAGAAAACTTGATTTTGGATTACCAAAAAAAGCAAAATTTTGGAGAAAATACGGCGAAGTGTTTGGGTTTATGTCTAAGAGAGAAAAAAAGGAAGGAGGAGGAGAAGAAAGGATAGAGCTAAAAAAGCAGGTAAAATAAGGTTTTATTGGTTAGTATGAGTATTTTATTATTTTATTATTTATTTTTATAGAAATTATTACTAGTTTAATATTTTATTTTATTTTATTTTGAAGGGAAGCGAGGACTGTCTGCCGTCTAACCTAACACGTTTGGTTTGGTTTGGTCCGGTTCAGTTTGGGCTGTCAGCTTCTGCTTTTTCTTTTTGTTACGAAAACGTGCCTGCCTTTCTCTTCTTTCTATCTCTTCCTTTTTACCATTTTTTTATTACAACTTTTTTTTTTTTTTTTGTTAGGTATGCTGGGGCTGTACCTTAATATTAGTAAATTAAAAATTAAAAATTCGTAACAATACTAAATTAAGGATTTACTCAGTTATAAAAGTCAGATTTCTGTTTTTCTGATATTACTTGTACATGTGGTAAGAACATTTTTGTTATTATTATTGCTCATTTTTCTCTCTAACAAACAGTATTTAAGAACGGTCTGATTTGATTGGATATATTCAAAAAAAAATAAAAATATTATGATCAAACTCATGGGATATTTATATGAATTTGATTAGGGATATAACCTTTTCTCGTTTTATCTTTTTTTTTCAAATTATTGAAACAATTAAATTCTTAATTATCATTAGATTTTCTTTAGCACTTTTGACATAACTTTGGTGCTGGTTTGTGCGTCATATTGCCATTCTATCGCAGCAAATAATTGGTTAGGCTATGTGTCTCAAATGGAAACCATAATGAAGGTTTAATGACAAATTTTACTCTCATTTTATTATAATTTTGATTTGATAATTTTAAATATTTAGTATTAAATTGTATAATTTAAATCTTAAATTATCGATTTTTTTGACAAAGCTGATCGAATTTTCTTAATTATCAAAACAATATCGTTTTAACATTTTAAATAATGATCAACTCAATTGACCATCATATGTAACGATAATTAAAAAAATTGAATCAATTTTGCTTAAAAGCCAATAACTCGAGATTCAAATTATGTAATTTAATATTAAATTATTAAAATTATCAAATCACAATATAATAGAAGCAAAATTTGCCATTAAATCCGATAATAGGCATAGAAAGTACATAAATAATGATTTCAATATCATTTTCTTTTTCCATTTTAAGAATTTAATTATGCACCTCTTATTATTTCAAAAAAAAAATTATAAATCAGTTTCTTTAGTTTTGAAAAATAAACATTTTTTTGTTTTAAAAACTAATTATTTAGTTTTAAATTTTTAAATTTGTTTATTTTTTAAATTGATATAATGAAAATTTTGAAGAGAAAAAAATATTTTTAAAATAAAATAATATTAAATTAAATATAATTAATTTATAATTTACAATTATTATTTCTCATTTGTGTCCGAACGCTTAACCTTGGCTTGTGCTGATAAAGGGCATTTTCAAATACTTGTTCCCTAGTCACATCCATTTCTATCCAAGCGCCGCAGGGAAGTCAATCTATAAATCTTGACTTGGCAAAGCATGCCAGGTTGAATCCACTCACAACCTAGAGCGAAGAAAACGAAAACACAGAGCAGGGATCATCCAAATATATATATATATATATATATATATATATATATATATATTCTCCTTGTTTAGAAAGGGAAAAAAATCTAGTAAATGCTTAGCTTTCAAAAGAAAAAGGATAAGAAAAGAAGCATCCATGAAAGTAACAACTCGTGATTTCTACTGGGATAAAAAAACTCGTGATTAATTCATAAGTGCAATGAATTTGAGAATTTGGCTGAAGAAATTAATGATGCAACCTGTTTCCACATTTCCTAGCAGGTGTCCATGCCCTGTTTTTTTTATTTATTATTGTTTTCTTTTTTTCTTTTAGATTTATCTTTGAGAGTAAATTATAAATTAGTCCTTCTAGTTTTTTAAAAGAATTAAATAATTCTCTTAGTTTCAATAACTAGTTAATTAGTTTATATATTTTTAAGTCTATTTATAACTTAATTCTTTTTCAATTTATTTTATTTTATATTTCAATAGATAAAAAATTAAAATAATTTGAAATATAAAAATGATTGATGAAAAAATAAATATTTTTAGAATAAAAAATTATTAAATTAAATATGATCAATATTGGTAAAATGATTAATTAATTAGTTTTCAAAACAAAAGGGACTATTTAATCTGTTTTGCAAAACAAGAGGGACTAATTTTATGGTTCACTCTCATCTTTAATTGGCCAATGCTTCCAGAGGCTCAACATTACATTAACGATACAATCTCTGTACAATTTCCTTCACAGCAGGGAGTTTATTTTTTATTAAATGAACGAGTGGCAGTCCAATCTGTCAGTGGCTACATAAAAGACCAAAATAAAATATTCAGATGTGCTCGATTTCCTACCGAAGTAAGTTTCATTTCCAGGAAATTGTCCTGGCGCCTTTTGTTGAACTTTTTCTTCCTATGCAGATCAATTCTGTGTACTCAATTTATATGTATATTTATCTTTCTTTCTATGCAGAAAAGAAAAAAGAAAAAGCTAAAAGATATATAATACAGTTAGATTTTTCATTTTATTTTTTTGGGCAACATCAAAGTCTTCCCCCACTTATGTGTTGTAACTATCTTTCTCTTGTTTATTCATTGCAACTGGGCCTCTTTAGATACATTGAGATACATTTGCCCCTTATAATTCAAAAGGCACAAGAGACACCAGCAGGAGAATCCTAAGCTCAAAAAACAGTACCACTGCTCAGCCCCTTCAGTTAATGATTAACTTCTCACTTTACCATCTAGATTCAAAATTTAAGGTACCGTAAGAAAATAATTTTTCTATGAAATGTGTCAGTTTAGATTAATGGCACGTTTAAGACCCAATTGAAAAAAAAAAAAATTCAATTTTCATATAGAAAAAGTGACAGAAAGATACATGTTTTCTTTAGGTTCATCGCAAGCATACATCTTCGGATTAGTTTTTATATACATCGAAATTATTTATTTTAGACGTGATTAAGGTGTGCTGTCTAAATGTATGATTTTAGATATATTGAGAATAAATTCTTAGAAATATAACTATAAAGATTTAACTTTGAACCTAATATATAAATCGATTATTAACATACAGGACATTGTGGTTAATGTTAAAACTAAAAAGACACTTTAATCATTTAAAAAAAAAAAATTCAGCTATTGGTTTTTTGGGGACCATTTTATCAAATAAAATTCCGGATTTAACAAATTAATTGGGTGACGGCCAAATTAAAATAGAATTTGAGAGAAACATATATATTGTTTTTCTATTTGGTCTTTTTTTTTATTTAGTAAAAATAACTTCGAATTAGTGTTTATATATCTCAAAAACTGATCTTTTTTCTGAACATAGTTGAAAAATACTCCTCAAAGCATAGATTTGGATATTCTGAAAATAATTTTTTAAAAAATATTGATTATAAAAATCCAACTCTAAACCAAACCAATAAATCTATATTTATTTGGTAACGGATTACCTTCTCGTGGTTAATAATATAAAACGTATATATTGCTTTTCTACTATGTCTTTGATAGCAAATAATGTGCAGCCAGAAATCAGAATCAGCTTCTGCGGTACAGAGTGGACAAGAAATTCTTTTTATGGACAATAATATATAGCTATAGCATTAGGTAGGTCGGTGCTTGGATTCGAAAAGTATATTCCCTTGTAACTAAGGTCAATTTCTATGAACATGATTTTTGCAGTTGGATTAACTGGAGAGAGAGAGAATTTAATTTGAATCCCACAAGAAAAAAATAATATTAATTCCAGTTCAATTACTAAAAAACACAAAAAAGAAAACATTGGAATTAATTAGATGCTATCTAGAAGCACGTGAAGTCCAAGCAGATGCAGTGAACAAGCTTGTATCCTTCCAGCCCAGCCTCACTGTTCCATCTTCTTGCACAAGGTTATAGCCATGAGCAGGAGGGAACATGTTTAATATAAGTTGTGCTTGAGCCATCGAGTTTCCACTCATTGGCACCTGCAAAAAAGAGCTTCGAGCTAGCTCACTTCTCCAATGCCTGAACTTGTCCTCGCCGCTTCGTGCAGGCCCTCCTATCGCCAATATATTGTTGATTTCTCTGTAGAGAAGCCAATGTTCTATGCGGTGCCTGCCAGGATCATCACAAGGCAAATATGCACCGAGGGAATCAAACAGAGTTGAGTAGTAATGCAGAGAGCCTACGAAGCGGTCCAAGAAAGACCCACCATGTGAGACGTCTTGCTCAACTAATGTGACCACTCTTGGGGCCAATGCTTCGAGTAGTCTCAATGTCTTCCAATCAGGACCTGTAGCATCATAGAGGGAATGCTGTAGCCAATGCACGGCTACTGTTTCACCCCTCCTGAGTGGCACCATTGACACATCAATTTCTCCAAATTTCTTTGCAATTGGGTGGAACTCAAATGACATTCCAAGTCGCTTAGCGAAATTGGAAAGTTGTTTCCCTGTCTCCGCCAGCAGTTCCATTGATGTGCCCATGCCGGTCATTCGGACTTGGGGTGGACCCTCAATTCTGGTGGCTAGGATGTGAAATAAGGCCGGCCATTGCAGGCCTTGCATGATATCAAGGTCAATTATGTGAACCCTATCGCGGCGCTGAAAAGCTTCAAGGATTGCTTGGTTGGAGGTGAAGTGAGCAAATTTGATAAAAGGAGAGACATTGTTAAAGGCGTGGAAGGCGCTATGAATACTCTTGTGGTTGATTAGTGGAGAACAAATACCTAACCATGAGTTAATAACCCTACTACCCATGGCCTTAGAAAAATAAGCCACAACTCTTTCAGCACAAGAAGGGCCATAAGGAGAAGCCATTTGGGTCAGCTCAAGCAACATTCTATGAGCTTCACCAAGATTATCAACTGATATAGAAACAGCACACTCTAACAGAAGGGTTATAAGGCTCAAACCATTTTCATCTATCCTACTCAAGTTTCTAGCACTCATGACTTCTTTCTCAGAAATGTTTGTTTGGTGTACTCCAAGCTCATGGCCCCATGGAAGCTCTTCCCCATTTCCATCAAAATAGCTTCTCCTCATAGATTTCTTTGGCCGAAAGTCACCCAAGAGTGATGGGACAATATTGTTATCCCCGTAGACCATTGATGTGTCTCTTTGCAAGCTTTCATCATGAGTTGCCGTATCCGGCAAGTCATCGATGAGCTGCTTGGTTACATGTTCAACCCACTCAGAGAGCTCATTCCTCTCCAAGTTTACACAACGATTTTCAATCACTGCAGGCTTTGGGAAAGGGTTAGAAATTGGAGCTGAAAATCCTAGAGAGGCATAGTCCCATGGTTCATGGGGCTGTATCATATCAACAGCCCCAGGAACCACATCGTATGCTCCCTTCATCTTTCAACAATTATCTGCTATATACAAGCTAATTAAGCTTAAGCTATATGAGCTAGCTAGAGAGAAGCGGATCAGATAGATAGTGGAGGTGGTGGGAGGATGTAAAGGGGAGTTGAAGTCCATCTTTAAAGGCGAAAGTCTAGGCAAAGGTGACCAAAGAAAGTGACCAAAGAAATGGTCTATGATATCATTCAACACTAGTTTAATACAACAGGATGGCCGGCATAGCCAGACGCAGAGATAAAGATAAGTGATTAGATGCCAAAAACACGTCGGTTTGGTAGTGATTTCTTCATTATATTAATTTATCAGATTTCTAGGAGTATTAATTATACAAGTAATGAAAATTAACCTTAAATATTTTAAGATCAGGACTCGTGGATATATAGAAATTTATTAAGTGGAATAAATGCAGAAGTACAAATCATGAGAAGGGAATTTGAGTATTAATTAATATGTTGTGCGTGGAATGAGAGATCCATAACTACTACAATATAATACATTAAAAAAAAAAGTAAATGAAAAGAACAAATATATTGATTTAAAACCATTTGATTTTTTTTATTATTTATGGGACATTTATAGATTTTTGGGTTGCACAATAAAAATAATTTTTTTTATTAAATGATTATAAAAAAAATTTAAAATCACTAAAATTCGAATCTTTCGTTATTAGGAAAATTAAGAGGGTACAAAATTGCTATCTTGTGTTAACCCATTGGATTTTAATTTAGTTGACGGTACCATATACTCAATCTTAATTATATGTAGAACTAATAGTTGGCTGCATGTGTGTATATAAGATGAAAGGATCCATACCGATTTTAATTATGTAAATTTTCAACAAAATACTTCAGATTTTAATTATGTAAATTTTCAACAAAATACTTCAGATTTGCAACCGCTTTATTGATTGTAAATTTGTTGTACAATAGGTTTTGCAATTGTCTTTAGGTTGCTTGCTCACACACCTTTTTTTTCTAGTAAATTATAAATTAGTCATTCTAGGTTAAAAAACCAAATTAATTAGTCTTTTTTATTTAAAAAAATAATTATTTAATTCTTTAACTAATATTGATCACATTTGATTTAATATTACTTATTCTAAAAAATGTATTCTTTTCTCATAAATCTTTTCATAATATTTATTTTTTATTTTTGAAAATAAAAAATAAAACAAAATACATAAAAAAAATAATTAAATAATTAATTTTTTAAAGCAGAAAAACTAACTAATGGTTTCTCAGGGACTGATCTATAATTTACTGTTTTGTAGTGAGATCACGAGTTTAGAGAAGTACGTTTGCACAAGCATGTATAATTATGTAAATCTATAGCTCGATGGTTTGATATTAATTTTTCAATCCAAGGAAAGACAGCCTTGTCTCTCTGACATTGATATGCATATGTGTTAGTTCTTATCAAGCTACAGCACCGTGAAACCACTTTCTTAAGCCAAAATGACAGTTAAATATATAAAAAAAGCATACTTGATTGATGCCTATTAAGGAATGCTATTATATATAGACACAAGAAGGGGAGGAGTCACCAAGCCCAGCTGATCAAGCAATTTTAGTTTCTACTGTTGACCTAATTAATTAAGCTCGAAAAAAAAGAGAGAAAATATTTTACATTTATTAAAAATATATTATACATAATCAGTAAATTATTGGTTCAATTGTAAGTGATTCAATTCTCAAACAAAATTTTTATCAATATACAAGGTTTAAATATTAAAATTACACTTAATAAAAAAAATTTATTATTCATATTCTAAAAATAATTAATCCTATCTCTAACGTGTAAAATCAAAATACTTTTGAAAAAAAAAATAGTATATATAATAAGCTGTTTCTCCTCTAGCTAGTTAAGATTCATGTCTTGGATGGTTAACAACGTACGCGTAGCAACCAGTAACTTGCGGCATTGATGGATGACATATATGCGTACGTAGGTTAGGATTAATATTATTACACTTATTATATCTCCGAAGGTTAAATTTCCGGTTGTAGATATACCAATCATGGATGCTATCTCTTTCACTTCCAATCCAAACAATTATTTCTTTATTACTACACTTATTTTCAAAACCAACTTGCGGTTTTACACGGTTAATCCAGACGCCATGCTTATCACTAATTAACGTCATGGTTTGGCCAAAAAGTTTTATGGAGTATGTTTTTAATTAGATATATATAAATGGATTGCATAGCTTAGTTAGTTAGCAAAGTATAGAAAATGGATGGTTGATTCCACGAGATCCATCTGATGGTTAAAAAGGATTGTTTCCTAAATTAGAAATTTGGAATCTATGTACATTCTTTGGAATTGACCACGTAAATGTGAAAAATAATTTCTAAAAAAATTAATATTAATTGAAATATATATATATATATAAGCTGAACTGAATATCTCTCATCGTTCTAAATTAATTAATTACATACATTTGAGTTCCAAATATTAATTAAGAAACCAATTAAAACAGATTTGCGGTTCAAATGGAATCTGTAAAAAGGGTGAAACCTTCAAAACTTGCTAATTAAAGGATTGGTCAATCAGTCTCGGCCTACCAAATTATCCCAAATTTTGTCTATTTGCTTTGTCAATTAAATTAATATATACAAGAAACACAAACCATTATGTTTTGTTCTGCGGTTTCACACCAATAACATCTTCTTCTTAATTTTCCTAATCAAACGTCGTGTTGGCCTTTTGTTATCTTTATGGATCCACATAAGCATGCATCTCAGTGTCTTTTTTCAGCAACTTTGTAACAACAAGCTCGTAGAAACGAATCCGGTTTTGTTTATTTTCCTGTCTTTTGAACGGTTCTCGTTTGCTGAAGAAAAGATTGAGAAATTAGCTGCTAGAATGGCCGATCGAAACGTTGAAGTTGTATGCAAAAACGACCAGTCAAAACGTGAATGTTGGTTCAAGAATTAATTAATTATGCTTATTACAGGGCCCAGACAGATCAAAGCGGAGTAATTAGTATAGTTAATGTGATAAAAGGATGTTGACATTCGATTCCAAATGGGCATAATATCCTGACAGATGGCACTCATGTAGCGTCTCTAGACCCACTCCAGCGACAGAGGCAAGTCCTGAGCAGGAAAAAATTTGGCCGTTGAGCTTAGACAAAGATTCCCAATTGACGTACATCAATGTCCATAAAAATAGAATCATCATCGTAGCCTTCTACTTGTTAAATAATCATCCTGGGTTAACGCCTTAATGGTAAAAATTACCCCTAAATAATTAATTAGATTATAATAATTTAAAACCCATATTATCAATTTGAATTGTTCGAGTCCTAAATTATTATTTTATCAACAAATCTTATTTTTTCTCCTGTTATTTTTAATTGTCAAAACATTTATTTTTAACTGGAATATAATTTAATGATAAAATTTTAATTCTTAAAAAAAAATAAATGCTTGATTTTGATTATTAGACATAATAGAGAAAAGTAAAATATGCTAAAAAACTAGTTACTAGTATATGGTCTAAATAGCTCAAATTCATAATATAAATTTTATTTTGTCATAACAGTAATAGTTTAAGAGTAAATTTTATCTTTAAATTATATTTTAATTAACAGTAAACAATTCTTAAAATAAGGAAAAACGATAATATTTGCTAAAAAATAATCATTTTGAGATAAAACTATGATAAAAATATTAAATTATTATCACTCAATAATTTGGAAGTAATTTTGACCATTAAATCAATTACCATGCGGCTACGAGGGAAGGTTTTTGGGGGTGTTAATGCACCCTAGCGTACAGAACAATGCATTTGGAGTTGCCCTATCACTTTTACAGAACAATTCAGTGTGACAGTGTCTTCCACTTCTTCTCTTAGTGATGTGACTGCCCAAAAGAGGGGAACAGTGAACACGGCCTTCTTTGTTTTGCAAACAACGTGACCGTCATTATCATGTCCTCTGCTTTGAAGACATTTTCTTTTTCTCCATTTAGTTTCCCACAACTCAGATTGATTGTCCTTGGTTTCATTAGGCTAATACCATAAATAGGACTGCTCTTTTGGACAAACGTCAGTAAGTTTCAGGCCACTACAGAAGAGCAGAAAGTAATTCGATAAGTTCAATGTTGTATTTCAATCTTTCTCCCATTCATTAAAATTTAAAGGCTCCTGAGATCCATCTATATACGGTAGCAATGACGGGTTTAACTCCTCAAAGACGGGTCGACCAAAACTCTTAATCACAAAAACAAGACAAGAAAAAAGATTCAAGCTCACAAAGAAATCATTACTTGGAGGAACTGAAGTACATTGAGGGATAGTAATGAGTTGGGTATATCATTTATCCTATTCATTAACAAAAGTATCCAACCTATTTATAATTTATTTTAAATTTAAAAATTCAGATTAATCATTCATTTTTTTATCGAACACACAATACAAACACAACTATTTAAAATTTTTTTTATATATATAAAGACTCGAATCTAAAATCATTTATTAAACCAATCAGCTTGAGTAGTTTATCCATCCTTTTAATATTTATTTAATCCCTGACAGAAAAAAAAAATCAAAAAAGCTCACAAGGGAAATTTTTATTTGAACCACTAATAAGAGGAACTAAATCACATTTAAGAATAGTAATGAATTGAGTATCCTGTCCTTTAAGTAAATCTCTTACTCAATCTATCAAAAAAATATTATTTCTACATCCATTAATTTTTTTTTTATATAAACTCATATTGAGCTATGTCAGAGTCTATTTAATATTCATTTAAAATCCACTAAATTTAATTTGACAAAAAATTCATTTTAATTGATGTACTTTTAAAAAAAGTTATTATTGTCCTGAAAATTAATTATTTTTTTAATATATAATTGGTCATAATTTTTGGAGGAATAAAGCAAATTTCTGCAACCATTGACCCTCCATCGCTCACTCAAGCAGTACAACCAATGTCTAAGCAAACAGATTATTCAGCTGGTATTGACTTTTCATTTTGCTATTATCAATCAGAAGAACACATGTATACATATGCGTTAGAGTAGTTTTGTACATTTTGGAGCCTGCGATAAGAAGGGGGAAAAAAAAAACAAAAGAATAAATTACGTTACAATAGTGAGGGAATTAGTATTTACTCTTTGGTCCTGTCTTGTTTCGATATATATATATATATATATGCGAAAAACCTTACGCCACTAATTGCCCAAGGAGGGCTAAAGCTAAAAGTTGCCTTAAAATCCAGCACTTCAAGCTTTAAACTCGAGCTTAACTTCAAGTAACTGTCAACATCCACTGCAAATGCAGAAGGGCAGCATCAATGAAATCTAATCAAGGTTTCGTTCTGCTTTCGAGATACTTCTAGTTGCGGAGGCAAGAGGTTCAGAAAGCTCCCTTGAGCAGTCTCATCACCAGGGGCTGTATCTGATGATTCTGATGTCTCTGAGTCACCTTCTGCACAAGCCAAAATGACAGTCAGGCCTTTTGAGATGGGAACAGAAAGGGTGATCATAATGCATGTTTCCAAGAAATAAATCGGAAACAGGTCTCGGCCTACCAAAAAGTGACTTGATAGATGGCCGCTTTGGTTTAGTGTCTTTCTTCTTCAAGTCAGCTATAAATGAGAACAAATCAAAATCAGGTTTCAAGCACATTCATCAATACATTCCCAAACTGAACAACAAGTCTTGCAATGCAGTCGAAAATGTTAAGAGAATTACCCATCCCCGGAACTTGATAATCATGCACAATTTCAAAGTTCTTGTATGTATAGCCCACAAAATTCATGTCCTTAGATGAGAGCATCTGCAATATAGAGGTAAGAATGTGAGAAGACAAATATAAGAAAGGGAAAAAGGAGGAACAAAGCACCACTTATAGCCCCCTCAGGACGAAATACTAATAGAAAACTGTACTTGACAAAAGCTGGGCAGGCTAGAGATGAGTTCTTCCAGAAAAGATGTTAATCCATTGCAAATCAAACAACCAAAACTGTTTAATTGATACGGAAAGATGTTACCTACAGACAAAACGCATTACAGGAATTTGAAACCTCAGCCTGCTTTTATTTAATTGAAGTTAACAACATTGTATATTTGTATGTACCAGTGCAGATGCAACAACCACTATGCAACTTTGGGTGGACCGTCCCTTCACCCTTATTTCCCAGAATATCTTCTGAATTAGAGAATATTCTAGACACAGCCACAAGTTCATACTGCAGCGAATAATTCTGCACTGCCACTACGAAGGCTTTTTAGGGTATTTGTGTGTTAATTTTTCATCTTTACATTTCAGTCCCCATTTTTTTTTTTTGCAATGTTTACATTTCGGTTTTCATATTTCATTTACAATACGTTTTGGTTCCTATCTCTGTTAGGTGAGAGAGAGGAGAGAGAAAGGAAGTGCCAATTTCTGAAAGAGCTCAAACAACAGAGGAAATGAACCCCAACTTTACCCTGAGGAGCTGTTGCATAAACTGTGGAAACTGAGATCAGAGCCTCCAAACTCCTATCGATTCTTATATTTGAAACTCCAAACCTTAAATATACTAGAAAAGCAACTTCAGTAACAGCTAGGAACTAAATTTGAAAATAGTTCCTTTTCCCTAGGTACTCAGAGGCAAAAGCCTGTGACTGATGTCCTTTGCCAATACAGGATACACACCTAAGACTCGAGGAAAGACCCAGGAGCATTGCTTTTTGATCCCCATCAAATCTTGCTCTCAATCTCTTGATAATCAGAAAAGAGTTCTTAAAAAGCCCAATGCAACGGAAGTAAGAATCAAAATGCAGCTAAGACACTCCAAAACCATACTTCCAACTCAAATCATCCTTACCCCACATTCAGATTCCAATGTAGGAAAAGGAGCAAACAAACAGAGAAAATTTAACCCTAGGCACAACACATGGACTATATGTGGCTAGAATTCTTCACCATAGCAACTGCTAAGTTACCAAGAACAACAGTCATGACGCTTGGAGCAGAAACAGCTACAATAACTTTAATTTTCTTTATGTGCCAAAATGAAAATTTATAGTTTCCTGAAGGGGCAAACTTTTTCATATTGAAGGAATCAACCACTTCACAGTTTGAAGCAACAAGGAGTTATAAACTGACAGATAATGGCACTAATAATCCTATTTGTAGATCACAATTAAACAAATGAGCCACAGTAGCATAAAATACTCTTAAAGTTTTAAACTGACCTTTCTCCATGGACCAGTTTTTGATGCAGTTTTAGTTTGGTCCTCAGACTGCAGAGCAAAGCAAGCAGAAAAAAGAAAAAGTAAAATGAGCAACAAGCCAAGATGGTTCACAAAACCAATTAAAAATTAAAAGATGTCAATACCTCTTCAAATTTCTCAAAATTTTGAGTATCCAAATCATCCTTGACCTCAGGAATAAATGCAGCTTCCATCTGATAAAGCTTATTCCATTCAACACCATCAAACCATGGATGAGCCTGCAAAAGGAAGAGGCATGAATGTAATTCTTTTCATTTGCAACTAGCTACCTAACAAATCCAAGTATTCAGAAAAGGACACACCATACAACACCTTTATTTCATCCGCGCCATTTGTTCCCAATCTATGGCTGACACTACATAAGAGTTTGCTGATAAGATCTTTTGCCTCTGGAGATAATTTTGCTTCTTCTGGGAATTTCAAATGTGTTCTCCAGTTTACTATCTGCAGAAAATGGGAAATTTTAAGCATTAACTTAGACTTTTTTCCGGTCCATTTGTCTTTGAAGTAGTTTTTTTTTTTTGGTTATTTATTTCACGGGGAAATTTTTTTTGTTCATGTCCAAAATACGACACAGGCTAGCTCTACTCTATAAAATGATAAAACACACAAAGGAACAATTATTAGGGGTATAGCAAGGAGTGAAAATTCATTACAGAAAATCCTACAAAGAAAAACTTATTTCTATAGAATATTCTTATAAAACAAAATTTCCTGATTTCTTTCAGTCTTATTAGCAAAGTGATGCTCACTAAGTATATTTAAAACCCATAATACTAAGTATACATCAGTAGTAGCGCCCAATTAGGATACTGATCCAATCAGGAAAAGCACCCACAACCTTTGTAGCCTAAGAAAAACTGCACTCATATAACCATACTAAGGAAAAGAAGGGTTTATGCATGAAACATGTATGCACCCAAACATAGATCAACTTTGATATGTAACCCGAAAGATGCATCTGAATAAAGCTACACATCTCTATATCATACATGAGATTCCAATGATGTACAAGCTGGCCCAGAAACAATATAGTACAGCTATGGTTCAGTTTAAAACTAACCAAAAATAACAGCAGTAATTCCTTATCTGTAGCCTTGAGAAATTTATCTTCAAAGCAATAGTACAGGCAAGAGGCACAGTAAGCATGAACTAGAAAGAAACACAGCACAAAATTGTACAAACAAAGAAATTTATGGATGCAAACTGACAATAAAAAATACTAATTAGCAATATGTCTTACTTTACCTTCCTACATGTTGACATTGGATCATCTGAATAAAAAGGTGGATAGCCCACAAGCATTTCGTACATAATAGCACCAAGAGACCACCTGCAAATATTAACTATTAGTCCCAGTAGCCTAAACTACTTTGGAGAAATTCAGTGTATCTTCAGATATGCAGAAAGCAAAAAATCATCCAGACTTGCTGTCAATAACATTTGAAGGCATAAGTTACTTCCCATCATGAAGTCATAAACAAAAAGAAAAAAAAGAAAAAAAGGGATCATGGTGTTAATATGCCAAATTGAATTTTTATATTCAAGTAAGCAAGACAATTGCCATGCAAAACTCTACAGAAGTAATCCATTTCCACGCCATCAGAATGTACAGAACTACTAACCAATCACACTCCAATCCATAACCTTTCTTCAACAGTACTTCTGGAGCAATATAGTCAGGTGTACCAACAGTAGAGTAAGCCTGCAGTGCCCAAAAACAACAGTTAGACAAGGAAAAAAAGGCACATCATTTTGCTCTTCAAAAAATATGCATAAACTCGAGCACCACTTTTAAAAAAGCCAAAATAAAAGGAGCAAATTCTCTTCTGAGATTTTATGACATCATCCACACAGGGTTTATTTCTCCATTGAGCACAATTAACATTCTATCAATTTTTAAGACATGTTCTTCAAATCACCAAGGAAGAGAACGCAACACTGAGAGACTAAAGAATCCATTTAAGATTTTAGATCAATATGCCCATTTGGATATGCAAATGCATAGATGGAAATTTCAACACACAAGGGCAGGAAAAGTACAAGCATCCTCCTATTCTTCTGCCAATTTTGCAGTTGCTCTTGCTGTGTGCGCTTTGGAACTGCTGGGTGTTCTTCATTCAGTGTAGTTCCATTACAATTGTTATTTACTACCGAAAAATCTCCTTCTTGGATAGTGCTGCAGTCTAATGGTTTACATAGTCCAAAATCAGATAGCCTCAAGTGCCCATATCTATCAAGTAGCAGGTTGTCGGGCTTAATATCCCTATAAAGGTGATACAAAAACAAAAACAAAAGTTAATCTACATTTCACTGGCCAATACATTTTCATTAGTCAAAGACACCTCAGATAATAATAATTATTATTTAATACTTAATCACAAACCTATGGATATAATTATGTTTGTGGATAGACTCAATAGCTAAAACTGTTTCTCCAACATAAAATCTAGCTTCATCTTCTGTCAAGGTATCTTTTCTCATAAGTAAAGTCATCATATCTCCACCAGGCAAATATTCCATGATAAGGTAGAGAAAATCATCATCTTGAAAAGAACAGTATAGTTTGACAATGCAATTACTGTCAACCTCCGCAAGCAGATTCCTTTCAGCTTTAACATGCTCAACCTGGAAAAGATTGTGAAGCCAACTGGCAATAAACGCAGTGTACTAAACCTCAGTGATATACATCATCATGGAGGCAAGATAAATGTTTACCTGGCCCCTGCGCAACATCTCCGATTTCTTTAGCTTTTTCATAGCATACACATGACCTGTTGTTTTTTCTCTACAGACTCTGACCTGCCCAGAAAGCAAAATTTATATCAACCATAAGATTTTAGCAGAAAGAAAAACCAGTGGTTTAAACAATTCTTGGAAAAAGACGAATAAGAATGTAATAGTTGATAAAACCACTCATCCTCAAGGTTTGGACGGAGAAGAGAAAGGGAGCTATGCAGTATATATGGCTGTTTTTTTTCAACTGATCTGATTTACGAAAACAAAGTCACATAATGAACCACATTTACAAACATAAGCATATCGCAAAATCATTGCTAGGAAAGAAAAAACAGATACGGAAAGCTGAGAAATACTCTACATCTTCTTGTGATTCATGGAAATGCCTAGTGGGTATCATGGAAAAATGTGGATTATTCATGGAGCATACAAAAATAACACACAAGTCCTGTTCATTTTCACAGAAAATTATAACAGCTACAGCTTCTTAAGCTCCACATAGAGATGCCTCAAATATCATAACTTCTATCATGCAATCGCAAACACATACAAATTCTAAATCTAACACTAAAAAGTACAGGCACTTTAGATCGAGACAGTACAAATAGCGTGAAGACCCATAAGCAAACCCAAAAGAGATTAAGCTAAAATAGAATAAAACAAACAGAAACGGAATATGTATACCTCCCCAAAAGCACCCTTGCCAATCATTGTCAACAATTCAAAATCATCAACACCCATTTTATGCCTCTGAAGCCGCATGTATTCAGTTTCCTTCTTTTCCAAGAATTTAAGTAAGTTGCTTTGATCTTCCTCAGACACATCCGCATCCGCTAGCTTCTTTTCCAATGAAATCCGTCTATTAAAACAAAACACAATTAAAAAAAAAAAATTTCCACTCACACAAACACCAGCTCCATCATCCCATTAATAAAAATAAATCAAATTCACTCCATTGTGGTCGAGTGATTCAATCTCTGCCGATCATTAACAATAAAATAGTAGTGAACGAAAGGGGCCATACCGCTCCCTCCTCTCTTGGAGATTCTTCATCTGCTCTTTGTAATGATTCTCAATGTACTGCTTAGCCGCAGCTGCTTTCTGTTTGGTTACATTGGAAAGAGCTTCCTCATCCATTTTCAAATTCGAATCTTCATCATCTCCATCACCCGCCTCCTTTTTCCGAGAAGGACTCCTAAATTTTTCTCGCGGTTGAAACTTTTGAAACCAACTCCTTGCCGAATCCATTTCAATACTAACAAGAACACACTACTGAGTGTCACCAATCATCCCGGAACTGAAATAAAAAGAAATCTGCATCCAGAAAATTACATTGCAATCATGTTTGTAATCCATTGTTTTCCCGATTATGAATTTCTTTGAGATCCATTCTTACCTTTAAATTTGAAGACAAATATAGAGAACTTCGATAATTGGACTTAAAAAAAAAAAAAAACAATGCCGCGATTTATAGACCTAGAAGAAGAGACGATGACCTAGCCATTCTTCTGCAGAATAGTAGAAAGAAAGAAAGAAAAAGAGAGGGAATAAACAGAGAAATCGGATTACCGCGAAAATTGAGAGAGAGATAAAGAAAGAGAAATGTGAGTGATCCGCCAAGGAGAAGTGCGGCATTTACGGTGCAGTAAATTCTATTTATCGATGAATGCATTTGATCCTCTTGCTTCGCTTGGATAAATAAATAAATAAATAAATAAAAATGCGACGTATTGTCTGCATTTTAGTTATGGGTATGTGTTTTGTTGATAAATGATGTCTGCGTGATTCTAGTATTTCTCTATCTAGCTGCTCTCTTCAGTTCCATATCTCCTTTGTATATGCAGCAGACCAGCCACCTGCCCACCATTTTATATTGATTTTCGTAATAATATGTTTATTTTTTTATGTAAAAAAGTATTTTTAAATCAACCTATACGTACATAAAAAATAAATTATGTCTATTAAAAAAACTAAATTATATCCCTGATTATTTTAAACGTGCATTTTTAAAAAGTATTTTTAAATCAACTTATTCGTACATAAAAACTAAATTATAAAATTTTAAAAAAAAACTAAATTATGTCCTTGATTATTTTCGTAGTAATAAACCTTTTTTTGTTTTTTTTATCACTATGACTATCCACTGAGGTATATTTTTATTAACAAGAGGTATTTTTTATTTACTTTATTTTTATATTGTTATTTTTTTAAAAAAAGTAATAAGATAACATTAATTAGTAAATTAAATTTTGTATACATGGTCTGGTTGTTTCTGGTACGTTGGATCTCCCGGTAAATTGATCTGGGGGGAAGATTCGTTGGGAGGCTCTTTGGCTCTCATCCCCTTTTTCTTTTTCATTGCTTTTGTTTCTGTGTCAAAAAAGAAAACAAAAATTAATCTGTAAAGAGCACTGGTCAACATGGTTAATGATGTCGTTTTTCTTTTCATTGAAACTAAATCCATTTTTTCCCCATGCAAGCTATGCAGATCGTGAATCAAACAACCTGAGCAAACCATCTCAGGTCGTATGTTATGTGAAATTAGTAGGTTAGTCAATCTTTAATCAATAATGACCAAGATTTTGTAATCTATTGATTTTAATGCCCTACTAGGGATGGCAACTTGTCGCCTAACGAGACCCCAACCCTTTCTGCCCCGATCAATGTAGGGACTCCTCAAGTTCATTGTGAAACGGGACAAGGCGTCCTGTCCCATAATGAATTTAAACAAAGATGGAGGCGGGGATGATATTTGCTCACCTCGGCCCGCTCCGCTCAGCTTTTTTTTTTTTAAATTATAATTATATTCAACACATATATAAATTATGAGACTATAAATTAATTTTTAATATAATAAGTGAGTTTTGATAATCTCTAAGTAATAAAGATAAAGACAAATAAGAATTTATATTTTTTAATTACATTTATAATACTTTATCAACTTAATTAAATATATTTTTTGTTTTATTAAAAATAATTTTATAAATTATGAATTATGTTATAAACTTATAATTAAATATATTGTTAAATTATTATCTTTCTTAATTATATATTTTATATATATTATTATTTTTTTTATTATAGTTTAAAATTTGATAGAAAATAATAATAGATAGCATGAATTAGAATGGACGTAAAAAATTAACTATGCCATCGCCGCCCCAACTCCTCCTTAAATGCTGATTAGTGTGCTCCTGGTCGCTTTGTCTGCCTAACACACACTGTTTACATGAGATGATGAGAAGCAAGTCATCTGCAAGAGTCGGACCAAACAAGGGAAGTTGGGGATTTCTTGCAATAAGAGCATCATGGGACCATATTTTAGCGTATTGAGTAAACTAATACACTAGTAGAACTATCACAAGCAGCCCCTTTTTGTCTCCCTTCTCTCATCGGGTATAACGCCATATCTAAGGTACTCGCTTAACTTATTACCAGTACATTTTGCAGTTGATAAGTTGGATTTGATGCGTACTGCATGAAATGGACAATATTCGAAACCTGACTTGGTTGTGGTTGTGGGAAGTGTTGCTGTAGATGGAAGTGGTTGGGTAGGGAGTTGGAGAAACATGGACGTCAAAAAGGGACTGCAACCAATAATTTGGCAGGAAAAATATAGCTGTGTCCTTTCCGGCCTTAACTTTTTACTGCTACTATGCTTGCAATAGTAGACTTACTAGAGCTTGAATCTTTGGTGTTCGGTTGCGGCTGTCGCTCTCATTTTGCCTTCTACTCCACAGCCTAGAAATATGGATCATACTTAAGTTTGAAGTTTCAACTAAAGTATAACTACTTCTACCAAACTCAAGAGAAGTGAACAATTGCGATGGCTGTCTGCATCAGATTGAATTGACTGCTGCTCTTATTATGACCAATTTCCAAATATTCCATTGCTATTTTCAGACGGTTCAAGATAACAATAAAGGATCAAAGAAGTTCTTACCGTGTTCCACTTTGGGACATAACATAGCATGAGAATTAGGCAACGCAGAAGCAGAAACAAATGGTAAAACTAAAAAATTGAAAATGCCAACAGATTCGGGCTGAGGCCTGAGTACATAAAGAGGCTATAATATACCAAGATTTGCGTCCACAATCCCATCATCACCATATGCTGATTCTTTCATAGAATAAAGCAAGTCCGTTTCAACTATATATTGAAACAAACCAGGAATAGCAATTTCATAACTCAATTGAATTGAGATGAATAAATCTCAGCCATTTTATTGAGAAGATAGCAACAGATTACAAGCAACATTTTGGCTATATGCCACGAGGCCTTTACCATGTAAAGGGGGCAAACCAACAGCCTGAACTTCCTTTATCGTCATTTCTACAGGGAGCTACTAGAAAGGGAAAATTTCTATCTCATTTCAACAATCAAGCAGTATACAAGCGTGTATTAAGAATAAGTAACCAGCTTAAATAGCTTTCCCCAGTTTTCTTGCGAGATCATTGGCATCTTTGTTTCATTTGTTTTCTTCTATATCCAGTTCCGATTTTGAGAGATTTTGAGAAAAGGACGGAAACAATTAATCTGAGAAGGATCAGCGGTAGTATGCCATTTGTCTAGACGACATGAAAGGAGAACTACCAAAAGGAGAGGTCTTTTGATTTTGGGCAGGAGGGTTGGTGGGTTTCTTTTTCTCGTTTTTAGTTTCAGAGCGGAGCCAAGACTCAACAACAGAAAGCAGATTGGGTGAGTTTTTCAACTCATGAACCTCTGTTAACTTCTCAGCCCTCCTCAGCTCACCATCTTGTATGTAAGCTAGATGTGTTGCCCACGTCTCTAACCCATCAAAAATATGAGTAGCATATAAAATTGTAGCTCCTCTCTGGGAAAAAAAAAAAAGAAAAAGAAGAAAAGGAAGTCTCATTATATCATATAATGAATTTCCCTCAGGAACTCGACTAATATTGATGTGCATAACAAGAAAATCGTAAACATTGACGCTTGAACCTTTTTTAAGGATTCTATATCTTCTAAAAACATCTCAAAAATAAACAATGGTGATTCACTTAAGAAAGCAGAAAAATTTGACACAGTGATGCAGAAGAAAACAAAATTGATAATCAAAATTCACGTGGCAGGTGATGGTTCTCTCTTAGATAATACAAGAGGGGATCACTGTTATGTGCCCTGATACATTATGCAAATCCACTGCCACTGATTTTCTGGACCTTCCTTCAATCAGATCTATTAGTGTGTGTGCATGTGAATACAATAAACAATTGGAGTCATACCTGATCACATTCTTCCTTGAAGAACTCAAGTAAATCCATCCTGGCAACAACATCTAGATCGACTGTAACTTCATCTAGTAAAAGAACCTGCAATTGAAAATTTTGGATCCTCCTCAATGAATAAGTTGAGAGATACTATGACCTTTCACCAACGTCACCATAGACAAACCAAATGAAAAATGCAGTCATTTTGCCACCCCTCCCAGGGTTTGAACCAAGACCTTCAAATGAAAGTCCCAAGTCTCAACTGCCTGGGTGTCCCTTTGGAAACAAAATGATAGCCCATGAAAGAAGGAAAACAGGCAACTTTGCCAAGCTTGGGTTATTTTCACCAGATTGGATGCCCAAGACAAACCCATCTCACAAGCAGGTGGGCCAACGCCTACATATTGAACCCTTAGGCTTAGATTACATGCGAGGCCAGTAAGAGGAAATATTTCATGGACGCAATCATCTCTTCGACAAAGTACAGTGTTGCATTGCAATATAAAAGAAAAGCTACAGAACAAAATGCACCAAATAGAAATGCGTGCTCTCCTAGATGACTTTGTTTTGCTGAATATTTATAAAAACTGACTCTGATACATTCCAATGCACCCAATTCTAAATTGGTGGTCACTGATCAGGGCTTCATAGCTTCACAGTACCTTAAATGGATGAAGAAGACCCATGCAAATCTGGACACGTCGCCGCTGCCCATCAGATACCTTGTGCATACGCCATTGCAGATCAATGTCAAGCAGATCAATCAACTTTTCTCTTCTAACAGGATCAGTGCCTTCAACTGCCAGTAACAGAAAGAAAAGAGTGCAATCTCAATCCTATCAAATCTAAACAAGAAAACATTGACAAAAAAAAGAGTACAAACATCATCACAAAAAATGAAAGAAAAGAAAAAATGTAACAAGAACTCATTATTTACCTCCAAAAATCATATGTTCCGCAGAGAAGTCTCCCTGCAGGGGAATCTCTCCCTGAAAAAAAAAAGCGCAAACCATCATCACATCATTCAAAACCTTAATCCAACAAAAAAAAACACACACTCGAACTCGAGGGAGAAGAGCATGAATCAACACAATGTATAGGAATTCATGATAAATATAGCTTTAACAAGAAACAGAACTCACAGCAGATCCCACGGTTTTACTCCAAGAACCGCCTAAATAAGCCAAGTCACCACTACACACCAATTGAGTATCATGAAAAGCCGAACCATTTATCACTCGCACCACATCTCTTCCTCCTACCATATGCTTCCCTGCCATTATTTTCAGCAAAGTTGTCTTCCCTGCAACGCAAAAAATAACAAGCTACGTATATTAATTAAGAACGGAGTGCTTCGAAATTAACATAAAAGAATATTTTGATTTACCAGATCCGTTAGCGCCAAGGAGAAGGCAACGAGATCCAGGAGAGATGTTGAGATTGAATTCGTAGAAGAGTGGATGTTGTCCTGGGTATGCGAATTGCATTCCGCATACACTGATACTGTTTCCGTTCTCATTTTCTACTTCTTCTCTTGATTGAGAAGCTTTCTCTGCCATTTTTCTCTGCAAATGGAGTTAGTTGTACGGAGCCGCTTGTGTTGTCGTCGGTTATTCTATTATACACGACTTTCCCTTGTTGGTTTGGTTTACTCAGCTGCCGCGAGCTAGTCCGTGGGTTGGGGTGGCCGTCAAGTTGGATGCACCAGTTTCTTACACGTAGCGATCTTCTAGAGCGCCACGTCTCTCTTTACTAATAATGTTTAAAACAACAATTTATCCTCTTTGCGGTAATGACGTCGCTTTAATAGCCATTCGATTATTTTATTTTTTATTTATTCAACAGGGAAATCCGTTTATTCTTGTCAGAGAAGGCAATTTAGCGAGCAAATTATAAATTTGTCCCTCTAGTTTTAGAAAACGAATTAAATAGTCTTTTTTAAATTAATTATTTAGTTTTTTTAATTTTTTTATATCTTAATCATTTTTATTTTTTTCAATTTGTTTTTATTTAAAAAAATAAAAATATAGAAGAATTAATGAAAAAAATAATTTTATGAAATAAAATAATATTAAATTAAATGTAGTTATCGTTACTTAAGAATAAATAAATAATTTTTAAAATAAAAAATTAATCAGTCTTTTTTGTTTAAAAACATAGAGGGACTAATTTATAATTTACCCCATTTCAGTCTAAATTAAAATTAGAAAAAGAAGAAGAAGAAGAGAGAAGTTGAGAAACAAAGGCGGAAAACCCATAGAGGAGAAGCTAGAGAGAGACTGAGAATCTAGGTTTTGTGCAGATTGGAAAAACACGAGAGATTCAGGCTGGGATTAGAAAAAGATTAGGTACACAATCGAAATCCTTACAAAATTTGTTTTGGTATTACTTCTCCAAACTAGAGAATTTAAATACTGTGTTCTATTTACCTAATTATCATGCATTATTATTATTATTCTGTTTGAGATACTTGCAACATTGCCTGTTGTTTACAGTAGACAGATAATGCGTTACAGGCTATCTTAATTAAATAAAATTTGCTTGTTTAAGAATATTGAAATTTCAGAAATGCTCTTCCGCATTCGGAGGAATTGTGGCCGCAACGACTTAATCATCGCGTGTTAACTAACTGCAATGAAAGTAAAATGCAGTGAAGTAGAGTGTACTATTTTATTGCATCATATATTTAGTGATTGATTAGTTTGGTTGCTGAACTTTTCTATTGTGTTTTTTTGTTTGAGGATGCTGAAAATTTAGTTTTGAGTGAGAAATGCGTGTGTTTTTTTAAAAAAAATTGCGGAAATTGTATGTGTTTGTGTTGCAGGTGGCTCTGTTTGGTATTATTATGGTATTTGAGCTGTGTGATTTATAAAAATGGAGGAAGATGAGGATTCAGTTTTGCTCAGTAGCTTGGGGGTGACCTCAGCGAATCCTGAAGATATTGAACGTGTCATTTTAGAAGAGGTATGAGCTTCAGTTCTTTATTATCTTTATTTTTTGTAGAGCAGCGCTTATTCTATGCCTGTTTTCTTCGTAACTGCTTTATAATCAGGTTCATGATCAATGATTAGGGAATGCAAGGAATGTATCGAAAACAATCTGATGAAATTTCTGGCTTTGCTGGTTTCTGTTATATATTGGTCTTAGCGTCTCTGAGAATTAATCAGATGTGTCTTAGTTCTTGACGTTTTAATGGTTACCTTGTTCCATATTTCTGTATTCTGTTTTAGCAATGAGGAGACTATTATAAACTGCATAATGTCTATTGACGTTTTTCAAATTGAGGAATGTCGTTTGTTGAATGGCAGGCAAGAAACAACGCAGAGGACAGTCGTGAAACGGGAGGGTGTGCAGAAGAGGAACCTCCTGACAAGTTGGAAAACATTGATCCATCATCTGCCAACCAAGCAAAACTTTATAGTAAATTGAGGGCTGTAAAATTTGAAATAGATGCCGTTGCATCAACTGTTGAAGAAGTAACAGATGTTGCAACTGGAGAACGCCATACCTATGATGATGCTGATGATGGAACAAAGAAAAGGGTCAAAGAGGATGATGAAAGTGGAGTTCAGGTATCTCCTGATGACTGCACTCTTCAGCAGGCCCTGGCAGCTGATCGGCTAAGAAGTCTTAAGAGAACTAAAGTTAAACTTGAGAAAGAGCTTTCAGATTTGTGTAAGGATGATGCTACCAAGGGTGTAGAACATGATAAACTGTTAGCAAACCTCGTGAAGGAAGATCCAAGACCAAAGAAAAAGTCAAAAAGGGTTCCGAAATCGGGAAGAAATAAGGAAAAGCAACATAAAGTAGTTTCGTTTGCTGATGATGCTGATTTTGATTCAATGTTGGATGCAGCATCTTCAGGATTTGTTGAAACAGTGAGTTAAACAATAGTCTCTTAATCTTTCCACAAGTTGCATATTGAGACTTGCAGTATGATAAGCTACTGCTGGTGGATTAATGAGTTTTTCATGGTTCAATGAAATAAGCAATAAAGGCTGCTAACTTTCTGCTGTTTATGTCATAGGAAAGGGATGAATTGGTGAGGAAAGGAATTTTAACTCCTTTTCATCAGCTTAAAGGCTTTGAACGTCGTCTTCAGCAAGCAGGGCCATCAAGTGGGAAAAAGGAGTCTAATGAAGAAGACAAGACTGATGATCGTGATTCTGATAGTGTTGTTAGAGCTGCTCATTCAATGTTAGAGGCTGCAAAATCTCGTCCCATGACTAAACTCCTTGATTCAGAAGCTCTGCCAAAGCTTGATGTACCAACTCGCACTTTTCAGAGGCTGAAAACTCCTCTGAAAGTTTGTCAGTCCACAGAAGGAGATGCAGAGAAAAGGAAGGGTTCAGAAAGGAAAAAGAAACGACCTTTGCCTGGAAAGAAATGGAGAAAACTTGCTTCTCATGAAGATATGGGAGAAAGTGGTATGTGCTCTATTTTCCTATGGCCACTATAAGTTTCTGTACTGGGGTCACTGTTCGGTTGTTTCAACTGTTCATATCTTGGTTATTTGCTGTCATCAAGCAAACAGTGCTCAAAGAACATCCCTAAAATGAAAATTTCTAATCAAAACATGCATTAGCTAACTCCAATATGCATAGGTTTATCTTCTTTGATGCTTTTATTTACAGTAGTTTTGGTGTTTATTCTGCAGAAGATTCAGGGAGAGGCTTGGTTACGTCCATCTCTGAAGAAGATGTTGATGATGGTTATGATAATGACTCTCCATTCATAACACTTGAAGGTGGTCTTAAAATCCCAGAAGCCATTTTCAGAAAACTCTTTGATTACCAGAAAGTAGGGGTGCAGTGGCTATGGGAATTGCATTGCCAAAAAGCAGGTGGTATTATTGGTGATGAGATGGGTCTTGGTAAGACCATCCAGATCTTATCTTTTCTTGGAGCATTGCATTTCAGTAACATGTACAAACCAAGTATTGTTGTTTGCCCTGTCACACTCTTGAGACAATGGAAAAGGGAAGCACAAAAGTGGTACCCGAGATTTCATGTGGAGCTACTACATGATTCTGCTCAAGATGTTTCTTATAAGAATCCTTTTAAGAAGAAGCGAGACCAATCTTATGAAAGTGATTATGAGACCGAAGATTCATCTGACAGTGATTATGAAGGAAGTATGTCATCTAGAAAGGCCAACAGATGGGATTCCTTGATAAATAGAGTTTTGGAGTCTGATTCTGGGTTGCTTATTACAACTTATGAACAACTGCGCTTGCTAGGAGAAAAATTGCTTGACTTTGAATGGGGCTATGCTGTTCTGGATGAAGGGCACCGTATTCGGAATCCAAATGCTGAAGTTACCCTAGTTTGCAAACAGCTTCAGACAGTTCACCGCATTATAATGACAGGTGCACCGATTCAAAACAAGCTGACTGAATTGTGGTCTTTGTTTGATTTTGTTTTTCCTGGAAAGTTGGGGGTCTTGCCTGTATTTGAGGCCGAATTTGCTGTTCCAATCTCTGTTGGTGGTTATGCCAATGCTTCACCACTACAAGTATCTACAGCCTACAGGTGGACATTATAAAGTTTCTTAAATATTGTAGGAGGTTCTGAGTTTGCATGAAATCCACTGATTTTCTGTATCAAATTTGTAAACTGTCCCATTTCTAAAACAGAAAGTGTAAATTGTCTGTAACAGTGAATCCTTCTGGATCCTAAATCTCTGGTGTTGCAGGTGTGCTGTGGTGCTGCGTGACTTGATAATGCCTTATCTTCTCCGGCGTATGAAGGTGGATGTCGATGCCCAGCTTCCCAAAAAAACTGAACATGTCCTCTTCTGTAGTCTTACTTCAGAGCAAAAATCTGTGTATAGAGCGTTTCTTGCTAGCAGTGAGGTGGAACAGATACTGGATGGAAGTAAAAATTCTCTGTATGGAATAGATGTGATGCGTAAGATATGTAACCACCCTGATCTGCTTGAGAGAGAGCATTCCTGTCATAATCCAGACTATGGTAATCCTGAACGCAGTGGAAAAATGAAAGTTGTTGCCCAATTGCTTAAGGTGTGGCAGGAGCAGGGTGATCGCGTCCTTCTGTTTTGTCAAACTCAGCAAATGCTGGATATTTTTGAGAATTTTTTGAATTCTGGTGGTTATAATTACCGAAGAATGGATGGTTCGACTCCTATAAAACTGAGGATGGCCTTAATAGATGAATATAACAGCTCGGTTGATGTGTTTATATTCATTTTAACTACAAAAGTTGGAGGATTAGGGACAAATCTAACTGGTGCAAACAGGGTGATTATCTTTGACCCAGATTGGAACCCCTCAACTGACATGCAGGTATTTGTGGTTAATCTTTGGCTTTAAGTACGTATTTATTGAAGATGCATCAATGAGTAATTTGTAGCTAGCCAACACCATTATTAATTATGATAACCTTTGCATTCTTTCTGAGAGTATCGTATTTAAGAAACCATTTAAATTGTAATAGTATTGCTGCTCGTAATATCTTTGATATAAACATGACTTAATTAAATATATCCTGTAAGTTGTCTCACAGCTAAGGTTATATTGATTAACTGTGGAAATGGAATTAAATTTTGCTTTTCTGTTAATCCACATATCTTTATATTGAGGACAATTATTGGTTTTAACAGGCTAGGGAACGTGCTTGGCGTATTGGCCAGAAACGGAATGTCACTGTATATAGACTGATCACACGTGGAACTATTGAGGAGAAGGTATACCACCGGCAAATTTACAAGCATTTTCTTACTAATAAGATATTGAAGAACCCACAGCAGAGAAGGTTCTTTAGAGCTCGAGATATGAAGGATCTTTTCACACTGAATGATGATGGAGAGGGCGGGGCAACTGAGACATCTAACATTTTCAGTCAGTTATCTGAAGATGTAAATGTTGTTGGGACAAAGAAAGAAAAGCTGCACAAGGGAAAGCACTACAAAGGCATTGTACAACATGCTGACAAAGAAAACGACTCTGAGATCAGAGCTTCCAGGAGGAAAGAGAAAGAAAAGGCTGATTGTAGTGATGGTGAAGTAGATGAAGAAACAAATATCTTGAAGAATCTTTTTGATGCCAATGGAATACATGTAAGTTTCCAACAATTTCTCCTTGATTGCTTGATCCAATGGTATTACACAATGCAATTGTGTTTGATGTACCTCTTCTTCACTTTGTATGCATTATTGAGTTTCCACATTTCTGCTTCAGTCTGTAGTTTGGTTTTTGCTAAAACCACCACTATGCTGGGCTCCAATGTGGATATGAGAATACTCGTGTAACAAGTATATGACACAAGTCATGTTTAATTATTATTTATTGGTAAACAGTATATAGACTGGATCATGCATATTGAAACTTCAGATAGCCTTTGTGTAACATGGATTCATTTTATTTTCCCTCACGTTGAGTTGGTCTTCATCTTTTCCTTCAGAGTGTTGTGAACCATGATGTTATTATGAATGCACATGATGAAGAGAAGATGAGGCTTGAGGAACAAGCTTCTCAAGTTGCACAAAGAGCAGCAGAATCATTACGCCAGTCTCGAATGATTCGTAGTCGTGATAGTATATCTGTCCCTACATGGACAGGCAAATCAGGCACTGCTGGTGCACCATCATCTTTTCGTCAAAAATTTGGATCAACTGTGAACTCGCAGCTGATAAAATCTTCTGACTCATCATCCAGCAATAAAACCAGCAACCTGAATGGCTTAGCAGCTGGGATTTCTGCAGGGAAAGCATTATCCTCGGCGGAACTACTTGCCAGAATCCGAGGAAACCAAGAAAAAGCAGTTGTTGCTGGGTTTGACCAACAGTTTGGATTTGCCTCAAGTTCTGCCAACAGTGCGAGATCTGAAGAGAGCGGAGCATCTAGGCCACCTAAAACTTTATCCAGTGTCCAGCCCGAAATTTTGATTCGCCAGATCTGTACATTTATACAAAGACGAGGTGGAAGTACTGATTCATCAACCATAGTGCAGCACTTCAAAGACAGGATACCCTCTAAGGATCTGCCCTTGTTCAAGAACCTTTTGAAGGAAATAGCTTCACTAAGGGAAGACCCTAATGGAAAACAATGGGTTCTTAAACCGGAATATCAATAAAAATAATTTCCCAGCCAAGTGGGTCATACTTTTTTGTTTTGGGCTTCCTCCATTTTTGCAGATGACTCACATTTTTTAGAACAAGGATACCTGACAGCCCCTTTTTATTTTTTGCCACTGTTGATTCATGAGGTTTTTATCCTTTCATATCGATAAGACAAAAACCAAACTAAAAGTAAGCCCATGCTCTGTACAGGGCAACAATCCTTGTATACAGCCCATTTATAGTTGAAAATAGAAGGATTTTCAGATCTTAACCATGCCTGTCTGATCCAACAAGGGATGCCATAAAAAAAGTTTCCACGGTCCAAATTTTCCCGTGGTTTTGCTGCTGTAAGTTTATCTAATGGTAAGAAGCACTAATTTCTCTGTATGTGGATCTTTTTTGGTGAAAGTGAAAGGGCAGTTGCTTACAGAGTGAATGCGATCACCCATCTCGGAGAAATATTCAATGGACGATCTGTTGCCTAAATGATACTGATTCTTTTTAAATGCATTTTAATCGAATCTTATTAAGCATTTTAAGCTTGAATCGTTATGCTAATTGCTTTGTTTTATGGGGTGCGGTGGTTTCCTCTATAACAAGATAATTAGATTTAGACTGATAAGCAAGGTGGGAAACTAGGCATTTCCTTGACCATCACTGTTGATGTTTAGCAGTCGAGAGAGTGGCAATCAGGCTCGATTGTTCACCAAGGAATACAACCAAATTTGTGACGATTTCAACCATTGCTTTGGACAAAGCAAAGTGGCACTGGAGGGGAAGAGGATTATCTGTCACCTTTTGTCTTGTAAAACGAGAACTTTTTAATCAAGACTCTCCGGGGAATCAGAGAATGAGTTATGGAGTTCTCTCTCCTCATGTTTTATTATTATTTTTTTTTGAATTCTCTTTCTTCAGATTTTTCGCTTCTTTCCCTCCTTTGCGTTGGTGTGCATAATCCTGGCTGCGATCCTGGTGACACTGGAGTTTTTTTTTTTTTTTTGGTTTTTTTAAATTTTTATTATCAAAAGATGATAGTTTTTTTTTTTTTTTTTGAAAATAGGTATTTATTGACAGGAGACATGCAAGCAGGAGTCTTAGGCCCAGATAATAAAGAAGCTCTCATTAACATGAGCTCAGCCCATCTAGTGGTCCTGAATTACTTGTCTAGTTATACAGAAATTATTGGAAATCCAGTCTTGTCGCGAATCTCATGGTCTTTGTCTTCCATCATCCAGATCGTTCGAGCGGGAAAAGTGTCAATAAATTGATTTCTAAGATACGAGAGTTATTAAGGGTGTGAAAACACAGTTGAAGCTTCAATCCAAAAAAATAAAAAAACTAATTATAATGATAAATACTTGAAACTTAAGGATGATGGCTGTATAAAAATTATGTGTAAAGATGGGATCCAATAAATTTTAAATCACAGTCTAAATTAATCATAATTTATAGTACTAAATAATATATATTAGGAATCTATAATTATGTATTAAAAAAAGATAAGGAGAGAGAATGGTGCGATTAAAGAGAAAACAAAAATATTAAAGTTCAAAAATACTCCCTATATTCCACCATTTATAGCTTCATAGATTTTCAAGGCAGAAAATAAAAAGACGAATTTATTCATCAAAAAGCATAATAAAGAATAATACAAACAATAAAAATGATTATTTTGACTGTGAAAAGGGAACTTATTGCTATCTTTCTCCATCTTAGACCATAAAAACTTTTAAACCGTGTTCTTAAATTATTTGGTCTATCAAAAAACTTGTTAATGAATTTGAGATTTGATGATATGAATAGGATTGGGGGACACATGTAACTAAAAATTTGCTAGGAGGTTTCTGAATGCTACTTAAATTCCAAACTTGCTCCTTTATCTGAAGTCATTCTTCTAAATCCTCATATTTCATAGCACGTAGCAGCATGTAAAGAGAAAGAAGCATTATAAGCTCAAATGTACTTAGCAAAATGTACTTAGCAACGCCAAGTTCAACATCTATTGGAGGTTTTTTAATTGAAATGACTAGCTGCCAAAGACCACTTCGAGAAACATGTGCAATGGCTCAGGGGCAGAAACTAGACAGAAGAACCATATTTGGTAGACAGTACACATCAGGCAACCAGAAAGATTAAGAAACAATTCTTTTCTCTATCAGGGAGAAATAAGAACTCAATTCATGTAAGAAAAAAAGAAGCATTTGATACATTTCATATAACATTATTTTGCACAAATGATCGTATTTGGTAGCTCGTGCTTGCTAAAATTTCTCAATTTCCTCGTTCATTTTTCATCTTTTACAAAGAACACAAAACAAATGCCTTTATCATGCTCAACAAATCCCCAACACAATTAGAAAGCAGCCCATCCTGATCCAGTTGTCTTGGTTGATCCTGACGGAAGATTTCTCTGCAGATGCAGAACAGCAAATGAACTATATAACACATATGCATCCATTGACTACAACAGTATACATTTACTACAAAGAGACTGGATGCATCGTACTTGTGTGCATGCATTCTCACATTACTGAGACCCAGAAAAGGGAAATAAGACAAATGTCGTCAATTACATACGCCTCATTTCATTTCAGAGTCCACCAGTTTCTCAGAAAAAAACTTGTAATCAGTTTATCACCTATTATGAACTTACTATCCTGGCATACAGTTACCAATAATCAAAATGAGAACATAATTCCGTAACCTTATCAAAACACAGGTATTCGGCACAGGACATGCCATGTTTTCACATTCCTAAAGAACACATTTTGATCGACCTTAGCTACCATAACATTTCAAACACATAATGCCCCGCACACAAGGATATACGGAAAGCATACATACCTCAAGTGGAGACAGATCCGATAAAGAATCAGTAGACTGCCGTGTAGATTCTGTGGGTGGTGCTTTTAGATCAACCCCACCATGATTCAGAGCTGTCATTCGAGCAGCCACCGGATCATTGGGAGGTGGTGGGAGCGGAGACCTTAGTTTCCCCGCTCCAGTAGGAGGTGGCGCAATGCCTAAAGGTTTAGGCTTTACAGTTGCCGAAACCCCTCCAGACAGCCCTGCAGCCGATATCATTCCAGCTCCAGCAGATGGCTTGGGCTTCACATTGATTCTTATAGTCTCCCCTTCCTATAATCCAAAATTATGGATCTTTAATCCCATAAAAAACACAAAAAAAATATAACAATTCAATAATCAGACCTAACTTACTTAACTAAACACCATTAACCTTCCACAATAAAACCACAATTATCACAATTCAAGCACTATAAAAACATTAAAAAAATCAACTTTTTTGGCTAATTACCTTTAATCTATGATTAACAGCAGGATGAATATCAATATGAGAATCACCTTCACTCGTTTCGCCACTGTCTTTCTCATTTTCTCGTCGCACGTACTTCTCGTGATCCGATAACGCCACATTAAAATCAAACGCTTCATTTCTCTCAGTGAACCCTAGACCAACAAACGCGTGCTTACCTCTCCCGTCCTCGATTTTAAGTACGAAATAGCGGGACGAGTCGAGGACTGTCTCCACCGAGTTCTCGCGCTGTCCGGGGTGAACGAAACAAGCAGCGAATAGCTCGGCGGAGTTCGGATCTTCTAATCGGATCTCGCACCGTTCTTTGCAGGATACGACTCGAAGCCGACCGGACCAGATCTTATCGGATTGTAACCATTCTCCGCATTTGTAGCCGCCGGAAGTGGAACGCGGGGGGATTTTGTAGACAGAAACCTCGCGGACCACCAGAAGTGTGTGCTCGAACGACTCCTCGTCTTCCTCGAACGACATTTTAAATGGTGTCGTTTTGGTATTGAACGGAGGTTTATAGATAGTTTTTAAGCGAAAATGCGGAGAGATTTTAAGCTTTGGAAGGTAACGAGACGGTATCAGAGAGGGAGAGGAGAAAGTTGCAGAGGCGTAGATTCGAAGTGTGATTGATTGGTCAACTGTAATGAGAGAGATGGCGATGTAATTACTGATTTGCCCTCTGTCTCCTTCTTCAATGGCTTTACGCGTTTTCTAAAAGTTTTGGGGGCCTGATTGGATGAGCCCAGACCTAGTGATGGGCCTGGGCCGTAACTTTATAAAAGACGGTCACGAACCCTAGTCCCTCTTGTTAAACAATCGTCTCTTTTGAAGCGTGCGTTGTTTCTAGACTCTTGCAGGAAGAGCAGAGAGAGGTATGGCCATGATTAGGGTTTCTTTATTTTTACTCTTTCATGTTCATTGTTTGTGCATCTTCTGGTGCTTTATTGGCTACCAAACAGGAATTTCAACGTGTGAAATTTTTGTTTTAGGATTTTGATTATGTTTTGTGGATTTTCGTGAGGATTGGCTCCTTGTGATTTTGACTTTGTTTTTTGTAAATAGGTGAATAAGGAGCAGCTACAATGTATCTTCAGTTTTACATAAACGATAATGGTGACAAAGTCTACACCACCAAGGTATGTTATTCTGAGACTCACTTCTTAGATGTTCTTGATTACTTGGTATTTAGATGTATCAAGATTGAGGGTTTTCCCTGTTGCTAGGTTTTGTGTTTCACCTTGTTTTTCTTGCTTTTTCCTTTCCTTTTTTCAGCAAATTTTCACAGGTTTAAGTATTGAAACAAGTATTGCCTGCCTTCAACTTTATATCTTAGTTAAATTTGAGTATGGTGAAGTATTATTTTTGTTGAAAAGTGATAAAACTTGGTATTCGAAGATTTTGTTAAGCATACTTCTTGAGATATGAGGAAATATTTAGAAAAAGACTCTGCAGTTCTGCTGTTTTCCTTTCTTAGGAAACGATTCTTCTTTCTCTCACCATTGGTTGCTGAATTAGTAACAGGTATTTTATATTATGGTGAATTGCATAGTTTTTTTTAACATGAAACACACTTTGAGTATGCTATTGGAAATTGGGATTTTAGAATACTGGCTTGCCTTTGAACCAATGCTGGCTTCCATTATATTAGTTCTTTGCAAAAATAATGTTGAGACGTCAATCTTTGGTTTATATTTCTTCTGTTGTTTCTTATATTTACGTTGAATTGCCTTTTTTTCTGCAGAAAGAATCACCTTTGGGTTCGCCTACTGAATCTGCTCACCCAGGTAATATATCTTGACTATCATACTATAATATTGAAATCACATATGGAAATTAGTCTCTGGATGGTGGTATTCATTGGCTTGCATCTGTTCTTTTGCTCGTTTCTGCATATTTCAGGCATTATTCTTTTTTTTTTCCGTGGAGAAAAAAAAGACCATCTCATGTCTAACCAATTAGTAATTTACAGTTTTTTCCAGTATATAGCACTTCACCATCGATGATATTTCCTTTTCCTACTACATCATTGTCTTGCTTCCTCTGTTATATGAATTCTGCATTTCGGTAATACCAGAATTAACAATGGCAATGTTAGTGTTACATCACTGCAATAAACTCCCAGGGCTAATTGCTTTATGTTATTTAAGTCATATTTTGAGATGTGCTGTTTTGGATATCTTTTCCTAAATTCACTTCTTCTATTGTTTTTGCAAGTTGAATCATTTTCACAATGTCACAACTGGTTCCACCCTTGATAAAAAAATTTGAAGGTTTATATTTGCATGTATCAAATGATTTTGGATGTGATCTATTGCTTTTGGTTGGTTGGTGACTAGATAAACTGGTTTAAATATGCATTTGGTAAATTATCTATTTTACTTCATTAAAGTTCTTTATTGCCTCCTATCTCTATCTAAAAAATTGTTATAGGTAGCATAAGCTAAATATGATTTATTCTAGAATTTTACAGACAAAAAGAGATACATATTGAACTTTATCATCGCATCTGGATATCGCTCTCCTATCTCTATTTAGTACGTTGGATATGCAGTTCACTTGTTATTGAGTTTTTCCCTTCAAATTGCAGCCCGGTTCTCTCCCGATGACAAATTCTCGAGGCAAAGAGTTCTTTTAAAGAAGCGCTTTGGATTGTTGCCCACCCAACGGTCACCTCTGAAGTACTGAGATTATTGAGGGTGTCTTGTTTTTTCATCCTGAAGCGTCTGAAGTTGGAGCTCTCCTTAATGGATGCCGAAGATTGTTCTAGCTTTTCATCTATCTTTGGTTGCTGAATGTAGTTTATCTGCCACCCGTTGTAGCTTAAGTGGTTGTAGACAGTATTTCCTATATGGAAAAAAGATATTAAACTTCTAAATATATTTTCCTGGATTTGATTACTTTTACGGCAAAAATATGATGCTCGCCTTCACCCATATATCTAAGCATGCTGGTAAATTGAACGCCGTTGTCTTCTAAGTTTTCAGTTATCTATGGACTGCTTCCATCATATCCTTAGTTTTAATAAGAGCGGCTAAATCATAATTTTGACTCACTTAAATGAAAACAATAACAATGTTATATAATGATAACAATAGTTATTATTGGTGTTATTTGGTGAATAATAATTTAAATAGCGATGGCTATATTATTGTTGAAAAAAATTTGATATTTGTTTTAGTAAAATAAAATTGTCAATAATTGTTAATATATTTACTACTTTGATTACTATAATTATTATTTTATTATTGTGGTCAATTGTGATTTGTTGTCACTATTATTATCCTTATATACTAAAATGGTTTTTCACTGTAGCAATGAACAGTATAAATCACTATTCATTGCTACAGTGTTTTGTTTTTTTTTTAATTTCCATTAATTTTTTTGGCTAGACCCCCAATCCATACTGTTCATTTAAACAGTAAACGTCAGCCCTCTTTTTTTTAAAACATTTAATTTTTTAAAAAAATTTCCACGTATTTATTGTTCCCATGAATAGTAAACGGCTTGCAGCATTTTTTTTTTTTTCTAAAGATTGAATTTTTTAAAAATTTCTGTTTCTTAATAGTATTTGGCGTTAAATTTTGAAAAGAACCAATAATTAATTGGGTGTTAAAATTTTAAAGAAATCAACAATTTATTTTCTTTATTATTTATTTTTAAAATTTTAAAAAATAAGAAATAGTTAAATACAAATTTTTTTATTAAAAAATTATAATTATTTTTTATTATAAAACAGATTATTAAATTGAAATAATTTTTTCAAACGATTTTATATATTTTATCCAACCCGTGACATAGAGCAGGTAAAAAATCTAATACTATATACTAAATAAAAACCATTTTTCATCGTACAATGAACAGTGTTAATCACTTGTTCATTGCTATATTACTTTGGTTTTTTTTGTTTTTTAAGTTTTCATTTTTTTTTGCCAGCACCCGCTAGCCTTTCCCCGCTTTTTTTTTACCCGTTTATTGTTCATTTGGATGGTAAACGGCTTGCCCTCTTTTTTTTTTTTCTCTAAACACTATTTTTTTTAATTTATGTCCGTTTACTATTCACATGAACAGTAAACAGCTGGCCTCCTTTTTTTTTTTTCCTAAACATTGATTTTTTTTTTAATTTTAATTTCTTAATAATATTAGGTGTTAAAATTTTAAAAGAACCAACAATTAATTGGGTGTTAAAATTTTAAAGAAATTAATAATTTATTTGCTTTATTATTTATTTCTAAAATTGAAAAACACAAATAAGAAATAGTTAAATATAAATTTTTTCATTTAAAAATTATAATTATTTTTTATCATAAAACAAATTATTAAACTGAAATAATTTTTCTATATGATTTTATATATTTTATCCATTACGCAGCGTAGCGCGGTAAAAAATCTAGTTAATTTACTATTGCAATTTGTTTTTACAACTCTGTGTTTGTAATTTGAAATTACGATCGTATCCTTTTTTAACACGCGGTCAATGATGTGCTTACGAAGTCCCCCAGACTTCACCCTTTCTATGCATGGTGGGTTTTGGGGGATATTAAAAATTGAATTTCGATGGTGGGTTTTGGAGGATATCAAAAATTGAATTTCGTGGAGCAGTGGCAATTTGTTGCATTTCCTCCATGAAAAAATAATTTTAAGATTATTTACACCTAGTAAAGATTATCTAATCCAGTTCAAGATTATTCACACTAGTCAACGCAGTCCCAAGCCTTCATTTTCTTGGGCTCATAGGCAAAAAAAAAATATCTCGATCTCTTTGTTTCTCTGGGCTTCACAATGGGCTATGTTCCGGCAAGGATTATTGAATCCCCAAAAGGCCCAAATGCGACCCAGCAATGGTGAGTCATCTTGCCACAGAGCGCCCTCGGATTGGATGAGATCCACCATGTGGCAACACTTATGCGCCACGTCGACTCAGAACTGTGTACATAACAGGTATTTCTAGAATACATATGGGTAGTTTCGGAACGAAGGTAAAATTACTTCCCTTCCCTTTAACAACAGTCCCAAGTGAGAATGAGTCCGGACTCGAAGACAGGAGAGAAGAGGGAAGTGACTTTTATAGTCATCGCATCCGCAGACTCACACTGATAAAGATTTACACATACGTGAATGTTGACGTCTCTGTAACATAATTTATTTTTGTTTAGTAGTTTCTGCTGTCGTTTAATTTTTTTTTGCAAAAAATGGCCAGAAATCTTGGAGGATTTCTGGTGCTGATCGTTGCGGCATTGATCTACTCATCTGCCGTTGCTTCTTCTGTCTTTCAACCGATCTCCGATTCTCACCGATCTGCTGCTTTAGAGCTCTTCACGCCTCTTGATGGATCCTTTACCAGGTTTTCCAAAAACCCTAATTAAACTCCTCTATTAACATTATTTTGTAAATGAATTGGAGGAATAAGTTAATTCTTATAAGATATCAAATTTTATTAATTACTGATTTTTTTTTCTGTAATATTTGAAGCTTCCCTTTGTTAATATACGTATTAGATCTGTTTAGTGTATAGAACTAAAATTAGCTGTTACCGCTGTTCGGATGCTGAGAAAATGTAAAAATTTTGTGTATTGTGGTAATCGTTTTGGTTGTTGTTTGTACATGCCTGTGTTCGTCTACGTGTTTGTTTTAGCTAATTTCTAGTAGTGTCGGCCTAAGCAAGAAAGAGTGATCTGACTAGATGTTGTGTTTGCTACCAGTTTAGAGGAAACATACGAGGCGCTTAGGACGTTTGAGGTTCTTGGAATTGATAAAAAGTCTGATATCAGTACAGCTGCTTGCCAGTCTGTGTCGGAGATCCTTGGTTCATTGTCTTCTACTTTGAAGGATTCATTCTATGCCTTAAAAGTCAACGGAATATTAAAGTGTGACATCAAAGAGGATGTTTTTGAGGTATTCTTTTGCTCTATGTTGTATTTGTTTGAAAGGTATTAACTTTATGTTACGAAACTTGCTATCAATGTGTGATGATGAGTTAATGTCTCTATTTCTATTGTAAAGGGTGTTGCTTCAAGGCTACAAGCTGCTGCTGGTGGCGCAAGTGCTTTGCTTGATTTTTACTATTCCGTGGGAGGTTTAGTTCTTATCAAGGTAATTAATAGATGTAAACACTTTTAGATGTTATGGGTTTCGAGTTTGATTCTCATTTTTCCTGCATTTGCTAATATTGGAAAATTTCTTTTCTTTCTACAATGGAAGGGAGAGGTCATTTGTGATAGGTTTTTGGTTGAAATTTTGTATGCAAAGGAGGGTGTCTGAAGTCATGGAATTTCACCAATGTTAATGTTTTGCTTGGGATCTATGTACTCAACTTCCTGTTAGAGAATACGACTTTCAAGCTGTAACCATTTATCATGAGCCTTGCCAGTTTTTTACTGAGTCTTCCAGCTTTTTCTTTTCTTTTTTTTTTATTAAATGCAGGATCAAACTTCTAAAGGTGATCTTTATCTTGCCGATGCTGAAGGAGTATTTCGCTCCATCAAGGTTGGTTATTACTTGGAATTATGGTTAGAGTGAGGATTTGAGCTTGGCAGTGGAGTGTTCTATAAGGGACAAAAAAAGAGCACAGTAGTGGACACCCTTGCCTGGAACTCTCCCACTATGATTAGGGCCCATGTGGGACTAGTTACTGACGTGGTGAGAGTTGGTGGGTTTAGTAGGTCCAGCACTGGTCTGCTTAGAAGTTTATTCCACTATGTTTTGGTTGACGTTTGCCTTCTAAATTTTCTTTCTCTACTTCAAACACAATTTTCTGCGCATGTTTTAGTTGACTTACAAATTATTCGCAGGCTTTAAGCCAGAGTGATGGAAGATGGCGCTATAATTCTAATAATCCTGAGTCTAGTACCTTTGCTGCTGGTATGTTCTACAAATTGTTATGTATACTACGATGACTTTTCTATCACTCTGTATAATATATTCTATGCTTTTCTTGAAAGGGGATATGCAATCCTCAAATTGATCATTATTTTTATACTCAACAAAAAGACATGTGCTTAGAATTAGCAATGGACAAGGAGTTTGGAACATCTATGGGAAGAAAAGAATTGGATGGAGAGTGTATCATATTTGACATTCGATGCATAAATTGTGGTGTATTGCTGAAATTAGCACTTGAAGCCATGCTAATTCCTCTACTTAAATTGGCTTATTTTCATTTTCTTGATCATGTTTCTTTTCAGGTTTAGCACTTGAAGCACTTGCTGGTATTGTCTCATTATCATCTTCTGAGATCGATCAATCTCTGGTAATTTGGAAGATTTGCTGACATTACCTCAATAGAACTTTTAGTTTTTCTAGATCTAGAATTACCACCAATGTTTCTCTTATATGTAGAATAAGGATGCTTCCTGTTAATTTTATTATCAGCATCAAACAGGTTGGCATCCCATGATTTATGTTCGTAATTAGTGATTGTAGGTGAAATAGGTTGTACTAGTTTTTTTACCCATGCTATGCTGCGGGTCGGAAAAAATACATAAAATTATTTTTTTAAAATTATTGAATTTTGATGTCCCTGTTATATTATGCATCGACCAAAATATATCAAATCAAAACTAAATAAAAATTTATTCAATTTTATCATTTTTTAATCAAAATTTTATATTTAACTAATTATTCTTTATATTTTCATAATTTTTTTTAATTAAAAAAATAGTATTTATTTATCTCTATCCACGTTTAGCTAAAAATTTATTTTGTAAATTGTTTTTTTAAAACATCTTTTTGCCATAAAATTTTTAATTAAAAAAACAAAAATACCACTGTATAGGGAAAGGAATAGCGAGTCTGGGTAAATAGTGCATATGAGTCTAGATGAATAGTGTTTAGAATAGTGCAATGAATAGTAAATTTATGTTTTGGTTTAGTTTTTTTTATAATTATAATGATTGTTGTTTTCTTCAAGCATATGCTTATTGGTGATTTTCAGTGTACTTTCTTTTCTGAGCAATATTTTTCTTCGAAATTCTTTTTCAAATTGGTGCATAGTTTTAACCAAAAAAAAAAAAAAAGAATTGGTGCATAGCCTGCGATAGGTAGTTTATTCTAGTGCTTCAGGTTAGGTTGTAGACTTATATCTGCTATAGATCCCTTATTCTGAGAATGTACCCTGAACCTAGCCTATCCAAATTTTGAGATAGCATTTCCTTTTAGTAATGTAGCTACAATGTCTCATTGCATAGAATTTTCTTACATGCTATGTTGTCTGCTGTTTCCTTGTGGACCCATCTATATGTATAAACCTCTATCAGCAACTTGCTGGTTTTGGTGAGCATTTTTGTTTTTATTGTAAAATATGTTGTCATCTAATATACCTGTTGCTGCTGTCTTCTGTGGTCATTGCAATATCTTGTTTCTTACATTTGCTTACCATTGGCAGATCGGTACAACTAAAAATGATATATTGAAGCTGTTTGACAGCATTGAGAAGTATGGTATGCAGATTTTTTTCTCTTCATTTTTTTGTAAAGTATAAATTTTTGGTGCTTACACACCAAAGCAATTTCTTAGTATGGTGGCAATTGTGTTTCTATTCTTTAAACTTTTGTCAGTAATTTTACCCTCTTCCACATATTATTCATCTCGCTTGTACCAGAACTTCTAATTCTATTGATTTTAAGTTGTCAAGACACAGTTTGATACTCTATTATGTCTTAGAATTATCTTGGCAAATTAATTCCTACTCCTCCTAACTTGAAGGTGCTTCACCAGTTTTAAATGTAGGCCTTGCTCCATTCACCTAGCTGTCAGCTGCTATTATTTGTTATTCCATAATGTACTTAGTTAGCTACAACTCCTTATTGTAGATGATGGGGCCTTTTACTTTGATGAGAAACTGGTTGATGTACTTGAACACCAAGGTCCTCTTTCAACTACATCATCTGTTGTTAGGGGGCTGGCAGCTTTTGCAGCTGTGACTTCAGGAAGCTTGAATGTGAGTTAATTTTGTTGGTGTTGCTGGCCTTTGTACTGGTAATTTTCTTTTACAGAAAGAGTTTAATGCTCTTTTCTTTGCTTTCTTTCTTCTTTTTTGATTTTCAGCTTCCAAGTAGCAAAATTTTGGGTTTGGCAAAATTTTTTCTTGGCATTGGAATTCCGGGTGATGCCAAAGACTTGTTCAACCAAGTAGATTCATTGGCTTTTCTAGAGAGCAATACGTAAGATTGTTCCTAACTTGGCTCTCTATGATTGTCTTTTTGCATTTTATATGTTTAAAACTCATTTTGATAGCTGTTTGCCTGACATAAGGAATTCTGTAATATATGCCATTGATCCATTAAGAAGACAAATTTCCAGTGGCAGCAGTTCCAGAAAAAGCAAGAGTTTACGGAATATTCCTTTTTCATTAGTTTATTTATCTTGAACATGATAAGAAGCCCTCAAAATGAGAGCATAAGTTTGGTGCTTCAAGAAAATGTGCTGTTTCCATGAAAAACTTTTGAAATTTGTTTTATAGCTGCCTGCTGTCTTCTGCAACTCCAGGAGAAGAAGTTTGTCTTTAAATAAACAATTTAAACACTTTTTTATATACTTAAACATTTTGATTATTGTGCTATATTTTGGGTGCTAATGTTCTTCCATTTTATATGTTTTCCCTTATTCTTGCTTGGTTGAGAAGAGTGACTAGTAGGATAACATGATGAGGCTGATTGGTTTAGTATTAAGTGCTGAATTTGCTGAAAAGTTTGCAAGTAACTTCCTTATTGTTTGTTTTTCAAGAATGATAGTTTTGGTTCCTGGTGCAGGGTTTCCATTCCACTGATTCTATCGCTTCCAGCTACGGTGATTTCATTAACTAAGAAGGATGCACTTAAGGTGTGTTGCTGCGTGTATGATAAGGAATATATATATATATATATATATATATATATATTTGGTGTGTGTCTATCTCTATATGTGCATGTGCAAGTTTTTGGACTTTTTTGGCTGTCTCATATTTGCTTGGCCACTATATTTCCTTCACCCTGTTTCTTAACCTATTATGGATATTTTTGGAATAAGGTAAAATTATTCATAGTATTGTTCTCATTCTATAAATTTCCTTGTTGCATGATTGTGAAGTTTCTGTGCACCTTGACCTCCTTCCTTCTACGCAAGTTTATTAAAGTTGCCTTTCAATGTAAACATAACCAGGTTAAGGTGAATACTGTGCTTGGTTCAAATGCACCTGCTTTGACAGTGAATCTTGTACGAGTTTTCAGATCTGGTTCAAAGGATACTTCATTAATTGAGAGTCAGGTACAGTTTTTTCTTAATTTTTACCTTATTGAGTGCATTTCAATTCGTTTGTCTACCTTTTGGGTATTGTTGTCTGCTCTGTCAATTTGGTGATTTGCCGGATGACCAGCGTTTTTTCTGTGATATAGGAGCTCAAGTTCGACCCTGAAAGTGCGGTCTATATGTTAGATGCTTTGCCAAAGAGTGTTGATGTTGGAAAATACACTTTTGTTTTTGAGGTAACCCTGTTTTCTTTGATGCATAAAGGTTGCTTTTCATCTGTCTTTACATCCATATATGACAAGCCCAAATTCATGCAGACGGTGCTTCATGATCCAGACCACAAAAACTTATATGCCACTGGAGGCCAAACACAAATTCCAATATTTGTGACCGGTGTTGTCAAAATTGATAGTGCAGAAATCGCAGTGCTTGACAGCGATCTTGGGAGCATAGAAACCAAGAAGAAGTAAGTCTTTTCCATTTCCCAGTTCCAAAGCAGGGTACTTGAATGTTTGTCAGTTTGACCTTGTTTAAATTTTTATTTACAGTACCTTACTCGGTTCTGCTTTTGACAAAGTTTGAACTTTATGACCTTTGTTTGAGTATGATTGTAATTCTTGGATCCATTCAGGATAGATTTAGCTGGAGAAAATGCCGTATCATTATCTGCAAATCACCTTCAGAAGCTGCGCCTCTCTTTCCAGTTGTCTACTCCTCTTGGCCATGCTTTTAAGCCACATCAGGTTTGTAATTCTGTCTGTCTTTCTCTAGAATTTTTATCTCTGTGATTTAGTTATCCAGAGTTTCTTGGCTTCCAGGCAATTCTTAAGTTGACGCATGAGACTGAGGTTGAGCATATCTTTGTGGTGGGGAGCTCTGGAAAACAGTTTGAGGTTATTCTGGTAAGTTCCTTCTGCAATGTTTTGCTCCCCCTTGTTCCTCCCCCATGGATCTGTTTTTGAAACTTTATGGCTTAGGAACAAAATCTATCAAATGCGCTCAAATGCTGGCAATTGATTCCCATTGTAATTTGTGCACTGCTAACCAATTTCCCTCCTACCTGAAATGAAGTTGATTTTGTAATCACATGGTAATCATAGACTAAATGAAGGTTTAAGAATGGAGAGGACTTGGATACATGTCCAGAGACTTTGGACACTTTTGAATAGCAACTAGAAATGAAACTAAATATTTTGTGCATGATGAAATGCCTCTTATGTTATGGCAGATGAATACACTTCAAGCGGAAGTAATTTGAGTGCCCAGTCAGTTTAAGCCTCTATTGCTTGATTGTATAATGTTTATTCACTTGCCAAGATTCATTACTGCTTCCTTTTCAAATGCTCCCGCTGTGTACCAGTGTTGATTGCTTGGAAACAGAATCGCTAGAACGAATTATTCAACCATCCATGTTCTGTTCCTTTTGAAGTTTTGTTATTTTTCTCACATTTGGCACCGTGCCTTGCAGGATTTCCTTGGACTGGTTGAGAAATTTTTCTATTTATCAGGGAGATACAATGTTCAGCTCACTGTGGGTGATGCTGTTATGGTAAGCTTGACTTTGCTTTCAAAGTTATTTGTGTTTGTATGGTTGGTATACAACATGAGCATGATACAATTTGTTTTGTTTCTCTTGCAGGAGAATTCTTTCTTAAAAGCCATTGGTCACGTTGACCTAGATCTACCAGAACCACCTGAGAAGGCACCCCAGCCTCCACCACAGCCTCTTGATCCAATCTTGAGATATGGTCCTAAAGCAGAGATAACTCACATCTTCAGGGCTCCTGAGAAGCTTCCACCTAAGGAGCTTTCTATTACCTTCTTGGGTCTTGTACTTGTACCGTTCCTTGGGTTCTTGGTTGGGGTAAGTATCTTGTCTGAAATTCTAGACGCTTGAGCATTACCCTTATTTCTCTTTCTTGAGGTCAACTCTCTGCCTGGAATTGATTGAAACTGAACCTTGCTAGTTAGTTTTATATTTCATCGGTTCTTTTTGAATTGTCTTGCCTTAGGATGCCCCATATAGTACTTCTAGTATTATCAAGGTTTGTATATGAATTTGAATGCTTATGGTGGAAAGATCTTTTGATCTGCGTGTGTTTATGTAAACACCTGCTAATATACATGTAGTTTCTGGTTGAAATTACTTAGTTGATCCGGTTGGTCTAAATCTTATTGGTGCAACTTGCTAAGTGATCTCAGGTGAAGCGTCAGAAGTTTAGACTACCCCTTTCCATTTATTAGGACATGAAGTACTATTGCACATTGCATTCATCAACTTTCTTATGTGAAAATGAGTCAGGATTTCGAGTGTGCTATGTTGTTGTTTCTGCTTAGTTTTTTCTTGTCATCTTCTCTTCCCAATAAATGGGGACAACATAGGGGATGGGAATGAGTGGCATATGCTAACATGCCTTTTCCTTTCAACAGCTACTGCGTTTAGGTGTGAACGTGAAGAACTTCCCTTCCTCATCTGTTCCTGCCATGTTTGCTGGCCTCTTCCATCTCGGCATTGCAGCAGTTCTGTTGCTCTATGCTCTTTTCTGGCTGAAGGTCAGTTTCCTACTTCATTCTTTTTATTTACCTCTCCTTGATAATAAATTTGTGATTCCTACAACGTTTCTAGGGCTTGTATTCACCTATGTTTGATATGCATCTCTCGATTGCTTGATAGGCTATTAGTGATCTTATGCTTTTATTTTCTGCTTCTCTTCAATGAGAATTTGGATTGATTGGATATTTGTGGTGTTGTCATTTTGTTCACTTTTTTTTTTCCCCCTTCCCCTGAGCAGTTGGATCTATTCACAACACTGAAAGCACTTGGTTTCTTGGGAGCTTTCCTGATGTTTGTTGGACACAGAGTCCTTTCTCACCTGGCCTCAACGTCGTCCAAGTTGAAATCCGCCTGAGGAGAGAATTCTGTTTCAGAAGTGACTTGAGAAGTCGACGAAATTTCCCTCAGAAGTAAAACAGTTAGACATTTTGACTCAATTTTGTAGTGGACTTGAACCATTAAGTATGTTACAAATGTTAAGATTTTGGGCACGCAATGAAAATCTATTTTAGTGGTTTCTCGCCTTACACTTTTTGTTTGAATTACCACGCTTCCTTTCTATTGGTCCGTTGGCTGGTCTAGGAACAGCATTTCTACTAGGTTCAGTCTTCAGCCAGAGTTCGCTATTAATTTGATTAATAAAATCCCATTGTTTAGATTCTGGTAGCATAATTCAGTCCTCAGTGAAAAAAAATATCAGACTCCGGCCATGTCCATTGAAGTAAGTTGTCGTAATTCCGTTAAAATTATGCGGTCTACTGATGATTCCGAGATGTCATGGTTCTTCTGAAAATATGTACATTCCGCTCCGAGGTGGAAATTATACGAGAAGCTTCAGAAATAACGAACTAGTATGTGGACAATAGATAGATCGAGGTCCGGGCCCAGGCCCAGACATTCTTGAAAGGAATTTAACAAATCAGCCTGTATATGGGACGAGATCTATATACATTGTCTGGGCTTAGAAAATTCTCAACGGTAATGAGTTCAGGAGACAACAGCCGCCTTCCTCTTGAGGAAATTCCTGTTAGATGTTTTCTTTATTTCCTATTTAGTTAAAGACAATAGTTTTGAGTTGATAATAAGTGATAATACAATATAAATGACCTGTATGAAATTTCTACTTTCATATGGACAAAAAATGAGCAACAAATAAACTAAATAAACAATTATCAAATGCTACAAAATCATATGAACCGCCTGCTCAGCTTGGGCACCTCATCCCTGCAATGCAGTGGTTATTTCAGGTGAAAGGGCAAGACTCAATGAAAAGGCTAGCTGTTTCACTCTGTTTCCCTGAAACTCTCACTTGTTAACCACAGCTTCTTTTGGATGATGAACACCACATCATCCTCATCGTGCTCGGAGTCTCCTTCAGTATCAGCTGTTGCCACTGCTTCCCAATGTAGTGCCGATATATGTTTCTTTATGAACTCCACCACCGATCGTTTATCTCGGATAATGATGAAGCCTGTAGGTCTCAGGATGCGGTCCATCTCAATTAATAGATCCTCAGCACCACAATCTTTCTTTTCAATGTCAGAGAAGATCGTCCAAGCATGGAGTAGATCATAAGTCCTTGGATAGGTAGAATAGGGTTCGCACCTGTCAATAGAAAAACAAAATGAGTTTGTCCCAAGAGATACTTTGAGAAAGAAAATAATCAGCACTTCAATATGTTTTTGCTTCCAACTTCTTGGAAGCACATGGTTATTCATACAATCTAGCACCAAAAGAATTATACAGATTGAGGTTTCAGAGTCTTTGATGTTTATAAGAAAAGAAGTTCTCCTGTGGAGTGAGACTAAGTCCAAAACCCCTCAGGTTTTGGACTAAATGGTGACTCAGACTACACTCTGCAGAGTGCAGATACCATACATAAGTTTGCATCACAGCTCCTCCTGTGCCATTTCTTTCTTTAATTCCTTTTTTTTTTTTTTTTAAGGCATAGAATATGATAGTAGAAAAAGGAAAGTTACTCCCATCATAACAAATAGGTGAATACATTGGAAAATGTTGGAATTTACTGCTAATTCTTTATAACACGATGAGAACTTAAGGGTGGATTTTGCTTTAGGAGCCTATATATTCTTAGAGTAGGTACTCCCAATGCAGTGTTTAGTTTCTGATAGACCCATATCAAGAGAGTAATTTTCTGAACTTCGACCAAAATCCACATATTCGGTTTCTTTCCACATATTCAGATTTTCAAATCAAATCTCATTAATAACATTTCCAACATACCAGTTGTGCACAGAGCCTATCAAGCCTCTGTCATATATTATTTTGAGAGTGTTAGGTCCATCTTCAGGCACGACATTCATAACCCAAACATCTTTGCTCTTCAGAGCAGCTGCAAATGACCCTAGGTTTGCCTTCATGTCAATAATATTCCTCAGTGTATTGGGCTCAATCTTTGGGCTTAAAAGATTCCAATAATTCTCAACTCTTAGCTGCCACACCTCCTGCAACATTTCAAACCTGTTATTAACCAGCTACTTGCATTTATGCAGATGTAAACAGACTATAAGTTTTGGATTGATTACCATATCCTTTTCAAACATTTCATTAGAATAGCCAAAGTCAGCGAGACGGGGAGGAGGAGCAGTCAACCGAGCAGGCCAAGGGGCCAATCCAATCCCTCTTGCTTTATGATTCTCTGATGGTATCATCACAATATTTAGTTAATGCATTTCTAACTACCAATACAAATTCAGTTCATAACACAGTAGTTGAAAGTGTTAAAACATCAAACAACAAGATGCCTTGAGGAGCATCTAGGTAACAAGCATGCACCACGGAAACAATAAAAGATTAAAGATGTAAACTAGAGCACATTGCAATGTTTAATGTAATTTTTGCTAAAACCGTGATTCTCAAAGAGATTTTTAAAGTGTTGTATTAATAACATGAGCTCATTCCTAATGATGTTTCAGCTTGAAGTAACGTGAAATATGCATGTTTCATTCCACTAACCAAATTGATTGTGCTTTCACTGAAAGGCGATAAATGCTTGAAAAAAGAAAATGAGAATACTGGCACCATATTAAGTTCCTCAAGAAAATTTAAAAGGAGTTTTAGGTTTTTCCGTTTCTATGAAATTGGACCACTAAAGAAATGGCAGTTACGGCACTCACGATCAGAATACGGAGTGATGCAAGCTTCCATGGGCACACCCCATACTGCATCTGGGTCATCATCAGATTTGCAGAGAGGAGGCTGAGTGCCGGGTTCTCTGTCCATGTAACAGTCATTTGTCAGAGGCTTGGCCCAGATAACTGTCTGATCCCTTTTAGCAGCTACCTTCCAACACATTCGTTCGACAAGAGCGCTCATTTCTCTCCAAATTCTCAAATCCTCTGCATCTTGTGCATAGGCCTCAGGAGATGAGTATGCGAAGTAGCCTCCAGGTCTAAGCAACCTATCTAGCTCGAGAAGAAGGATTCCGTTTCGTTGAAGCCAATCAATCCTACAGCGAGAACAATGTGCAAGTTCAAAAGATCTACTTGGGTAAGGAAGTCTCTTTGTCCCTAAAACGCCAAGGTATGCAGGGATTCCTCTTTCTAAGGCAAACTGGATCTGGTTTTGATGAACATCATTTGGTGCCACTGACATTGCAATAATATCAGAAGAAAGCAGATATCCTCCAAAACTTGCAACTCCACAACCCACATCGAGGACCGTCCGGAGCATTCCACCATTGTTTAAAATGTTTTTTGGAAAGTTTAGCATCTGCCGACCAGAAACATAAATAAGATCAAAAACTGGGATTGTTTAGAAATAGCATATGAAGTGAAACAAAATAATATTGCATCACCAGGATTTCAATGAATGAAATTGAGTAAAGCTTGAGAATCACACAATTACATTAGAAGAGTTATTAACTTACATTTGCGATTGAGGCTATATACTTATCAGCTCCATAATGGAAGTGTGTCCCACCTCCAGGGAATGCAATCTTGTCACCTCTAACAACCATCCAGTTCTGATCAGATTTTTCACTTGCCAGGTGGGTGTGAGGTATATTTGCTTTCCAGACCTCATCTCTACTCTTGGGCCATTTTATTGGAACCTGAACCATCAATAATTAAAAACACATATTAATGCATACGGGTTTACTTTGCACAGCAAAAACAATTCCCTTTTCGACCTATCCACCAACTATACTATACTTGAGAAAGACGACCCTACCTTGTACCCAGGTGGAGGAGGAATCAAGCAATTAAAGCGCCTTTCCGGAACTGGGCAATGTCTCTCATAGTGCTCCATCAAAGACAAATCCAGCTTCAATCTTGTCTGATATATAAGATTTCTATCTAAACAAGGAATCAGCTCTGAATGGCGATCATCACAAACCTTCAACATTGAAAGTAGTTGCAAGAAAAACAAAGCTAATATCAGTACAACTAATTCTAAGACACAGAGATGTGGACCCAAGTGCAAGTAACCATAAAATCTAGCTCATCTTAAACTCACCGGAATGCTTTTAAGCATAACATCATCCTGTAGTTCTTCGACAAATTTGTTGGAAGCTTCATCACCATCACCATCACCATCCCCGCCCAAATAAGAAGAACCTAACTTCCTTAGGGATCTACTGCCATATTCCAAAGCAGATGTTCCACTGCTTCGAGAATATAAGTAAACACAACCACAAATGATAGCCAATACCACTATCCAAGTTACCAACCCCTTCTTTTTATCCCCATCGCCTCTTGCCCTAGGCATCTTTTGCAACCAGTAATAAAATGAAAAATCTCCCTCCTTTACTGTAACTTCAATATACAGAAGATAAAATCAGAACTTCATTTCACTCTTTAAGTGGATTAGTGATTGGTGATGAATGACCGCCCAAAACAAATTCACTGTTGAATTCTCTTCAGCATGGCCTCAAATTTCGTCATCACCAGCCTTGAATTTCAAATATAAATGCGTTAGAACTAAGCCATCCATAACAGAAGGTAAAAAAAAATTAGCATATTACATGACAAAATCCTATATTGCAAACATCCAAATCATACGACGTAATGTCAAAACATTTAAAAAGGTCAAATCACGTATTTATGAGGCCAAGAATTCACACAGAAGAAGATCAGCGAGTAAATATTAAAAAGTTGATGGCACCACAAATATTGTTATAGCATATGCAAATGTAACAAAACAGGCAAGAGAAAAAAAAATTGCATTTTCAAGAATCTGGCATGCTATTTGCACTTACATGGACAGTGAGATCTAAGAGAACCTTTAAAATGAAATAATCAAATCTACCCAGTTCAATGACATAACAGCATGATATTATTAGAGAAACAAAAGGGCAAGGCAATAATGAGAAAAAGGAGAAAAAAATGGCATGGTATATCAAATGAAAAGCACCGACAAACTGCAAGTTGCCACTTGCCAGCTATAATCATTGAAAGAGGTTGATTAAAAAGACCCAGATCACAAAAATTTCAACACTTGAAAACTTTTCTTTAATTATTGCAACGACATCATCAACCCCAGATTAAAAAATGTCGGCAATGTTTCAATCCAAGAGGAAAGTCCAAACTTTACGACTGTTACATTCATGCATAGTTGTCTACTAACCAACGTAATATAAACTCACGCATAAAAACATGAAAATGACAATGCTGCTCCCTTTCTTTCTTTCTTCCTCTCTCTATTTGCGAGAAGAAAATTGACAAGTTTGGATCTTGAAATGCAAGTCAAGAATTTGATGGATCTGAATAGAAGGTACCTGCATGGGATAAAAGTGGAAAGAGCCTGGGAGATGCTGAGTCAGTAATTCAGAAAAGAAAAAAGAAAGAATGAATAAATTAAACAGTATATATATATATATATATGAGATCTATCTATCTATGGTAGATAAGTAGATATACATTGAGAAAACACCCTCTTAATTTAATAATAAAAAAAAAGTTAAAAAAGCAAAAAGCACAGAGAGATTAACTCAGCATAGAATTTGTAGGGAAAGCTAATTATCAGCTAGTTGTTGTGGTTGTCAAGTGCACAAAACGATGGACCTGAGTTGTCGTTTATTTGATTTTTAAGGTGGGTGGTAATTATGAGGTAATTTCCAAGCAATCAAGTTAAGTTGTCTTGGTGTTTTACAATTGTTAGTTATAAAATTTTAGAATGTATGGACATTGTGCTTGGTCAAATGAGAGAACGTAGACAGGAGTAATCTTGTTGGCCATATCCATTATGGAGTTGAAGATTCAGTGCAAATGATGGAATAAAAATTAATAGAAAATTATATGTTCGTCAAAAAGAATTAAACATGCCTATAAACACGAAGACATGAGATTCTCAGTAACAGAATGGCCAAAAAGGTTCTGATTACAGTCCATGCAAATGTTCTCATTCCTGATGTTATCACTTTCAGCAGAAAAAGAAATTCCTGTTCTGTAGCATTTTCCAAATTTGGAGTGTACATTTTCAAGAGTAATAATATTATGGATGCTTTTATATGGAAAGATTGGCAGGGTAGTAAAATAGACATCAACACTCAAAAATGTCATTTTAGATTAATGCCAAATACAATCATCTCTGAGAAAACTCCTATAAAATGAAAGGTTCAATTTTCAAATTTCCTATAGAAGGCTTGATTTAATTTAATCAACAGTCAAAAATCAAATTAACAATTTGAATTTATAATGAATAATACAACAGAAATAACCTGGATAAAATTTCTGCTTTCATATAAGATTAATCAAGAAGAAGTAAACTAAACATCAAAGGCTACAAAATCATATAAACCACCAGTGGGACACGGGCTATCTTAAGCCCTGCAATGTTCAGGTAAAAGGGCAAGAGTATGGAAATCAGGGTTGGCTGATTTATTCAGTGACACTGAAGCTGTTGCTTGTTAGCCACAACTTCTTTTGGACGATGAACACCACCTCATCCTCACCTTGCTCGGTGTCCTCAGCATCACCTGTAGCCACTGCTTCCCAATGCAGTGCTGACAAATGTTTCTTTACAAATTCCACCACTGATGGCTTATCGCGGATAATAATGAAGCCTGTGGGTCTCAAGATGCGGTCCATCTCCATTAACAGATCCTCAGCACTACAATCTTTCTTTTCAATGTTGGAGAACACAGTCCAAGCATGCAGCAGATCATAAGTTCGTGGATAGGTTGAGTAGGATTCACACCTGTAAGTGGAAAACAAAAATCATTTTAGCCCACACAATAGTCTGACCAAGAAAAATACTCAGAAGCACTTCCACAATGTTTTTGTTTCCCTTTCCTAGGAAGTACCATTGTCCGCCATTGTTATTACAATCTACCACCAGAAGAAATTTCCAGATAAGAGAGTTAATAGAGCCTTCTCATATGTTTGGAAGAGATGATTCTATTTAGAGTCAAACTAGAAGGAGAACTCAAATTCTACAATGAAATGGTAACTCAGATGTGAGTTTGTATTACAATTTCTGCTGTATCATATTATCCTATCCTTTTCTTTTTCTTTTTCTTTTTCTTTCGCTTTAGGAAATCAGAAAACCTGATGACTAGTTAGAACAATGGTATTGGCTGCAAATTTTTTATAATCTGATGAAAACACATAGGATGGATTTCTTGTAGAAACCTTTATAACCTTAAGAGTAGATGCAGCCCTAACGCTGCTTCTGGTTTCTGATAAAATGTATCAATAAAATAAATCTTTAGATTTTTACTAATTCAGACAGGTTTGGTTTCTTTTCAGCAATTTTAACCCCAACACATTGAATATTCCAAATGTTAAATGTTACAAAAAATTTCAGACTTACCAGTTGTGCACAGAGCCTATCAGGCCCCTATCATATATTATCTTGAGAGTGTTAGGTCCATCTTCAGGCACAACATTCATAACCCAAACGTCTTTGCTCTTTAGTGAAGCTGCAAATGACCCTAGGTTTGCATTCATGTCCATCAAATTCCTCAGTGTATCAGGCTGAATCTTTGGGCTCAAAAGATTCCAATAATTCTCAACCCTGTGCCGCCAAACTTCCTGCAACATATCAATCTTGTTACAAACCAGCTTCTTCCTAACATTTATGGAAACACAGACAGATTGGAAGTTTCTGATAGAATACCGTGTCCTTTTCAAACATTTCATTAGAATAGCCAAAGTCAGCAAGACGGGGAGGTGGAGTAGTCAACCGAGCAGGCCAAGGAGCCAATCCACTCCCTTTTGCTTTATGTTGTTCTGATAGGATCATTAAAATACTTAGTTAGTGCATTTCTAACTTCCAACAGAAATTCCATGTAGCTCGAAAAGCACCTTATAAAACCACAAATGACGGCAATGCAAAATCAAACACAAGCAAGACAAGGTGCATCTAACTACACCAATATTGTTTTTTTCTTTTTCTTTTTTTTCCCCCAAAACATTAAAAGATTGAACATTTTAACAAACGCATAGTGGCATGTTAATTATCTGTGCTGCTAAAAACCTCAAAACTCAAAAAGGGCAGTTAAAGCACTGTACTAATTGCGTGAACATTTAATGATGATGTAAGTAAAATATGCAAATTCCTGTTCTACAATATGCAAATTCCTGTTCTACCTTCCAAAATTAATTTACCTCTATTGAAAGGTCATGCTAGAAAATAATGGTAATGAGACTGCTAGCACTAATCTAAAAAGTCCTCGAAAAAATTTTAAAGGAGGATACAGTACTCACGGTCAGAGTAAGGTGTGATGCAAGCTTCCATTGCCACACCCCACACTGCATCTGGATCATCATCAGATTTGCAGAGAGGAGGCTCAGTACCAGGTTCTCTTTCCATGTAACAGTCATTTGTCAGAGGCTTGACCCAGATAACAGTTTGATTCCTTTTTGAAGCAATCTTCCAACACATCCGCTCCACAAGGGCACTCATTTCTTTCCAGATCCTCAGATCCTCATCATCTTGTGCATAGGCCTCAGGAGATGAGTAGGCAAAATAGCCTCCAGGTCTAAGCAACCTATCTAGCTCAAGCAGAAGTATTCCATTTCTTTGAAGCCAATCAATCCTACAGCGAGAACAATGTGCAAATTCAAAAGATCTACTTGGGTAAGGAAGTCTCTTTGTCCCTAAAACGCCAAGATATGCAGGAATCCCTCTCTCTAAGGCAAACTGGATCTGGTTTTGATGAACATCGTTTGGTGCCAAAGACATTGCAATAATATCAGAAGAGAGCAGATATCCCCCAAAACTTGCAACTCCACAACCAACATCAAGGACTGTCCGGAGCCTTCCTTCGTTGTTTAAAATGTTTTTTGAAAAGTTTAGCATCTGCCAGTGAGAAACAAAAATAAGTAATATTAAAAACCAGGATAGTTTGGAAAGCTAGGTATAACGTCAGACACAAAAAATATCATATCACCAAGATTTCAAACATGAAATTAATTGGAGAGTCACTTAATCACGTATTTACATGGGACATAGTATTAACTTACATTGGCAATTGAAGCTATATACTTATCAGCTCCGTAATGGAAGTGCGTTCCTCCTCCAGGAAATGAAATCTTGTCTCCTTTGACAACCATCCAGTTCTGATCAGACTTTTCACTTGCGAGGTGGGTGTGAGGTATATTTGCTTTCCACACCACATCTCTGCTTTTGGGCCACTTTATTGGGACCTGCAATCATCAAGGATAGAAAACACTTAAAACTTTATGCTGGTTTATTTAATCTGCAAGGCTAAAACAATACTTCCCTACAAACTAGCCACTATAAAATACCTTAGAAATAATTTACCTTGTAACCTGGCGGAGGAGGAATCAAGCAATTGAAGCGCCTTTCTGGAACTGGGCAATGTCTCTCATAGTGCTCCATCAAAGACAAATCCAGCTTCAATCTTGTCTGGTATATAAGATTTCTGTCTAGACAAGGAATCAGCTCCGAGTGCCGATCATCACAAACCTTCAACAATAATCATAAAGAAACATAGCTTATATTAGTGCAATTCATACTACCACTCAAAGATCTGAACCTGAGTGCATGTAAATAGAAAAGTTGATTCAGTCTACAATTGCTCACGGGAATGCTTTTAAGTATAACATCATCCTGTAGTTCTTCGCCAGACTTGTTGGAAGCTTCATCGCCATCATCTTCCCCACCCAAATAAGAAGAACCAAACTTCCTTAGAGATTTACTGCCATATTCCAAAGCAGATGTTCCACTGTTTCGAGAGTATAAGTAAACACAGCCACAAATGATAGCCAACACCACTATCCAAGTTACCAACCGCTTCTTTTGATCCCCATCACCTCTTCCCCTTGACATCTTTCCCAACCAGAATCAGAAAATGAAAATCTACGTTCTACTTTCACTTCAGGTTAAAATCAGAACCTCATTTCCCTCTCCAAGAGATTCAGGATACAAAGATTCGCAATCAAAAGTTAAGCAACAAATCGAGTACTTCGGTTGTTTAATTCACTTCAGTAATTGCCAGAACTCCTTGTCACCACCAGCCTTGATTCCAAAAATAAATCAAGTTAGGACTTACCACCCATAAAAGAAGCAAAGATTTATCATATCTACACCCCAATAAATAAATAAAAAGATCCTGGATTGCAAAAATCTAACTAATTGAATCTATGTAAAAACATTAACTAAAACAAAATACCATATTTATAGACCATAAATTCAATCATAAAAGGAAATAAAGCATTAAACCAGAGATAGATCTGAGACAAATTTAAAATTAAATAATCAAGTAAACCCAGTTCAATCAAAGATCATTAATTATGTAATGGAAACAATACTACTAATAATATAAAATGAAAGGCACCCACAAGAACTACTTGCCAGCTATAATTGGACACAGTTAAGCATTGAAAGAGATTGATTGAAGAAACCCTGATCACTAAATAAATTTCAAGACCCGAAAGTTACAATCTTGGAAACATCAGACCCAGAAAAAGAATCTGGGCAGTATTTCAAATCAAGAAGAGCATTGCAAACTTTATTGCTTTTTGTTAAGAGTGAAGAGAAGATTGACAAGCTACAAGAAAACTCACCTACTGAAATTGGGATGGGAATCCGAGGATGAGAGCGGTGCTCTGAGGAGAAGAAAATGGCACCGGTTAGATCTTGAAATGCAAGCAACAAGGTCAATATATGATGGTGACGAGGATGATAAATGGATCTGAGAGCAGAGTTTGAGTACAACTACTATTAAATTTAGTTATGTGTTTTTTTCAATTCTGTCCCTGTACTTGTTAAATTTGTTTTTTCGATCCCTGATTTTATTTTAGTACTGCTTTAGTCCTTTTGTTCGGACAACAAGGTGTAGCACAAATTGCTAACAATTAGTTTAGAATTTATATAACCACCAAGTGTTTGGAATTTTAATTTATGTCTAGAAAAAATCAATATAAAGTAAATATCATAGTTTTCAAATTTTATCGTTTAAAAAATTACTTATATTAAATCATAAATTTTAAAATCACTTTCTATCATTTAAAAAAAAAACTCCTTTAATAAATTTTATTTTTGTTTGAAAGAGAATTTTTTTCATGCTAAAAGAAGAGAAATACAATGTTTCTTTTTCTTTTTTTTTCAATTTTGATTTATTTCATTCTTTTTTCCGTTTCAAAATTAAATATAGAGAGTTCGCTTGTCGTTATTTACGGTGTTATATACATAAATAGAGAGAAGAGTTGAATTGACGATGAATGTGATTCGCGAACCTGAAATAAGGGGACCTCTCATCTGAATAAATACAAAGGATCGTACATGCAATTGACCTATACTTGGAAGGAATAATAACAGAATTCATCATATACCCAAAATGGAAAGAGTTTGTGTGATGCTGCCAATTGTGGGGATGGATAGGAAGTGAATCTGTGAATGGATGGTAAATGGCATTTACGATTTAGATCTAGCGGGAGGATATGCCAATTAATGAGAGAGAGAGAGAGAGAGAGAGAGAGAGAGTTTGTAATGCACATAAAGCTAATTTTCAGCTTTGTCTTTGCAATGCACAGGAAGCTAATTTTTTTTTTTTTTTTTTAATTTGGGACTTGTGTCGGTGACTATGTTGTAACAAGTTGTCGTAGTGGATTACAGTTGCTAGTGTATAGCAGACGGATTGACATTGCCGCGGTCAAGTTGAGAACTTGATGGTGATGTGTTTGGTTATTTCTTTCGCAAAAATTAAAAAAATTACTAATATGTACCTTATAAATTGAGAATTTAATAGAACGTATCTGACAACCAGATATTTTAAGTTGTTTATATATTATAAATAAAAGTTTCTAATATTTGACCCCGTTGAAAAAAAAACAATTATGGTTGCGCCGATGGTTATTATTGATGGATCGTCGTTCTTAATGTCGCTTATTAGAAATTATTATTTTTTTTAACTCAATCTTAAAAGAAAAAAAAAGATCAGTATTTAGCTAATGTTAGATAGGTTTTCCTAAATGCATTGGTTAGTTTTCCAGTTTATAATTTCCCAAAATTTACAAGTTAAAACGGCAAATAATTATGTGTTTTAGAAAAATATCTCAACGAAAAATGGAAAATAAGATTTTGTAGACTAAATTATAAATTAGTCCTTCTCGACGTTTATAAAAATGATTTGATTCGTTTTTTTTTAAAAAACTAATGGTTAGTTTTTTATATTTTAATTTTTTCAATAATTTAATTTTTATTTTTATTTTTATTAGATTAGTGATTTTTATTCTCATATTATATTTTTTTATTAATGAGAGATATTAATAATAATAGTATGAACAATAACACTTGTTTTTATCCCATGTAGTAAATTTTATGAAAATTTATTAAAATCAATTAGTATGAATAAAATTTTCATCCAAGTTAGAAGAAAAAACAACAAAAAGTTAAATAAATAATTATACAAAAATAAAAACTTATAAAAAATCGTGTTTGAAAATATTTTTTTTTACATTTACCAAATAAACACATTCTCTGTATAAAATAAAAACTAGAAATGAAAAAAATAAATAAACAATGAAAACTATTCTTTACAGACCCAACATCCCTAATATGGAATTTCGGATACGTCTTTCTATGCAATTAATTTCTCTCATTTTTTCATCATTCCCCGCCCTGGTGGTATTCCACTCTCATGCGTGGTATGTCAGAAAGGACGAATCTAGGTGGGGACACGGGTCGCCTTGACGCCCCCGGTTATAATTTTTTGGCCCTCCTCCATATGAATATAGCTTTTTGGGTACATTTTTTAATAAAATTTTAATTTAATCCTGAAACACGAAAAACCCCAATCCTTTTCCCTTGAACAACTCTTTCTACACTTTTTCTAGCAAGTTTAACCATCCAGATATAGAAAGTTAAATCTCCCTCTAGAAAGGTGAACAGTTTGGTCCTCCTCTGTTAAAAAAAAAATATTTTTTATTTTTATCTTGAAAAAAATAAGGTGACATATTTAAACATCTTTCATCTATCTTCTCTTAAAAAGGGGAAAAAAAATCTTACGATAAATTTATCTCTTTCATCTTCTCCAAAATTAATGAAAATTTTATTTTTCATAGCTTAAACTTAAGATTTGAATTTTGACGGTCAAGAAGATTGGAATGCAGGCTATTAAACAATCTCAAATTGTTATAATTTTTATCCTAAATTTATTTAATTAATTGCGCATGTGCTTGTTATATGATTCCAAACATATTCTATTATTTTGGGAAAAAAAAAAGAGATTAAATTACGACATATGAATGCACACAATAAAATAAAAAATAAAATAAAAAGCAGCATCATATAATTTTAGAGTTAAAGGATTGCCGGAAGCTAGGAGGAACAGTACGAGAAATGCAACAAACATTGTTTGCTTGAACCCAGGACGAAATAAATGGTGGTTGGATATTATTTGCCAGTTTTGTTTCCGAATTTTATAAATAGAAGCAGCAGATTTGTTGTTATATATATATATATATATATATATATATAAATAACCACCGTCACAAATTTCGGAAAGGATATTGTCTATTTTCTTAATCGCCTGGGGTCAGTTTTATCCTTAGCCCACAGGCCCAAGAAAAAAGAGGGGCGAATAAATGGAATAGTTAAACGACGGCGCTGAATAAAAAAAATTAGGGATTTCCTTTCTTACGGGCTCAAATGTGAATTTCAAAAATTTCAACCTCCTAACTCCCAAACATAACACCAATTAAAAGAAAATGGAAAAAATGGATTCCGTTGCAGAATCATCGAAAAGTAGAAAACGCCTTCGAGATGAAGAAGAAGAACAACAAGAGAACGAAGCTGTAGAAACTAGCGAAACCGATCAAACTCTTTCACTCGGTAAATAATTCACTCTTATATCGTATCTTCATTAATTTCTCATTTTTTTTTAATGAGTTTTGTGAATTTCTACTTGTCAAGGGGACAGTCTCACGTTTAGCGATACATTGGTGGCTCTTCGCATAATGCGAGCTCAGTTTCCACACATCGATAAGGTCAATCGCCCTGCTCCTCCCATCCTTTCCTTTTTCTTTTTTCTTTTTTAATTTTAAAATGTGTAGATTATTAGTTTCTTTCCTTGTTGAGGTTAATTGACTGTTATTCGAGCTTCTGGTTTGTTGCCTAACCGTTTTTGTTTCCGTGTTTCGATTTGGCTCTGTTAATCGGTAGAAAAATCACGCTCATTGTAGTGAATATATATTTATATTATACATGTAGTAATTGTTATTTCAGGTGTCGATTCAGCCTTTCATTTTACGATCACAATTGTACAGCAGTGTAAAGGACAGAACGCAAGTCGATAGAGAATTAGAGGTCTGATTTGTTGATAATAGCATACTCTAATGGTGTTGATAGCATTTTCCTTTTTCTGTGAGATGGACTGACGATGTGCTATGATCCGTTATGCAGTCTTTGAGGAGAGAGAAGCTATTGCGTATTTTCAAACTTAATACTGGACAAGATGATCATGCTGTAATGTTTGTAGATGATTATTTAATCCAGGTCAGTTGCTTGTATCTTGACGTATGCGTGATTTAGATGGATAGTAACGTGTATGTTGGTATTTTTCTTGACAAGAATCTGTAGGTTGTAGTTTTCAACTTTTCATGTTAGAAATGAATGTATTTTGAGGTTGTGTGTGTACGGTATGCTTGGTTTGTTGCATACTGTGCATGATTAAGAAGTACAGCCTTTTTTAGATTCTGACACTCTGATGATATATTTTTCCTTTCTTTATTATATGTGCAGATAGACCGTGTTGTGAAAAGAATGGAAGAAAAGAAGCAACGTAATCTTGAAGTTTTTATGTGGTTTAAAACACATGTTATTGATAACAAGCAGGATCCTAGTATTGACCATCAAGAGCTTGTAAGCATTGTGGATATCAATCCACTTGTGCTGTTTATTTACTGTTATTTCTGCTAATTAAAAAAAGAAAAAGAAAAAGAAAAGAAATGATTCAAATAAATATATTTTAGCATGACGATAATATTTTTATTTTCATTCTGTCATGTATTTCAGTATTTGCATTGCTTTGATATCAGTGAAGTTGTTAACTAATAACCAATAAACCATTGGATCATATTTACGCAACAAAGACAGTAATCCCAACTGTTTTCAGAATTGGTGGTTGTAGATATCTCATAGAGCATTGGTTATGCATGGCGATGTTTATGTGTGTGTGTGCAAGCACGTGTGTTCTCACAAATTTGCAACTTTTGATGTAGTGCTTACTCTTATCACATGGCGGAAAGGTGAAGGATGAGCACATCTCCCTTTTAATCAATGCTGGTCTTCTTGTAAGTAAACTCTGAACTCTCATAATCTTTTCTATTGTGCAATTGCTTGAGTCAGTGGATATGGCTATGCTAAGAGATGTGCACGGTTAAGGATATTGAGGACTATTTGATGTACATGTTATTCTACCTTTAGAAACCTCTTATTCCCTATTGGTGAACTTTACCTAGCAAAACTAGGTTTGTTCTGCAAATAAATAAAAGAAGTGTGAATCAGCCCTGTTAAGATCCCTATGACTACCAATTTTGAAAACTAGGAAAACTAGGTTTGTTCTGGACATGAACCAAGCCTGGTTGCTTGCACGATATTGAGGTTTCTATTGTGCAATTGCTTGGTTTGTGCGCAGCAAAACCCATAAGATTCGCTCAAACAAATGCTGGTTGCCATGCTCAATAAAACATCCATAAAGATCCCTATGACTTGAATATTTGTTATTGCTTGATTTTGAGTGAGAATATTGCTTGGCTGTGCATCTGAATGACATGGGTTAAAGATACTTGGATTAAAACGGTAGCTTGTACCTTCCTTCCAATGGGGATCTGCTTATATTGAGTTTTGATGATTTCTTCCCTGGGATTCCAGGTTCAAGCAGAATCAATGGGATTATAGTAGCACTGCCAATTGACATGTCCTGTCTAATGAGGTGCTGTGATGGACGATGTAAAGCTTAGTTGTTGGTTAGAGAAGTAAAATTTCGAAGTTCAGAAGAAACTGTGTGAAAGGTAATTGGGTGTTGTACTGTTATGACATGCTTGGGTACTAAATTGGTGGACAAAGGCTTATGGACATATTGGTCCCTTTTGACACCTTTATTGTCATGATTTTATTAGATCTTGGCTTCTAGATCATTCTAACCAACATATGGATCTATTGGCTAACTAAGAATATACAAGCTAGAACCTTTTTTCTTCTGTGAGTTCGGATTTTGGACTTGGTACTTTGTAAAGCCTTCAACTGTTATCCAATTAGCTGGTCTTCAGATTTGCCTCCAACATCTGTTAGAATGACATCATTCAGCTCATTTTTGCCCTAGAGGAAAAGAGGGGAGGAGGATTAGATGACTGCATTAGTAAGAGCAAGAATGAATTGAAGTAATTGGAGTCCTTATCTCTAACTTTGTTAAACAACACAAAAGAAGCAGTTGCATTTTTGAACTTAGAAATTTTTATCATTGACAAATTTAAGGGTTTGCTTCTGAACCCCTGCCGAAATTGGAAATTCACTTGACCAGTGCTATTAAATAAATTTGGACTTGATCATGCAATGAGCGTTGTGCCAATGGGTCCTTCGAAACCTGACATTAATGTGATCTTTTACTATCTGCATAAGTATGTAGGCAGAGGCTGAGTTTTTCTGTTCAGGGTGCTTGCACTGTTTCAAATTTGCAGACATATAAATATGTCTGTATAGTGCACAATGATTGATTGTGCAAACTCGCTTATTTGGGACTGCAAGGTGAAGAACTCTGCAAAATTAAATATGCTTGTGATACCAAAGCAGTCCATATTGCATATTTTTGTATCGGGTTAAATTGAATGCTGATTTTCTTCTTTTAAAATATTTTTTAATGAATTTCTGTTGCTTCTTGTTATTTATTCTTTATTTATTTTATTTTTTTCTGCCAACATTTTTTATGATTCCTGTTCCTGTTCAATCTAACTTGGATATTTACCTCATAGACACGCCAACTGATTGATCCAAACATGTACTGGTTTGCAATTCCAAATATCGGTTCAGTACTTAAGGGCCTTTCTCAGGTACAGAAGCAGTTCATCTATTTTATCTAGATTGTTGGTTTTCTGATTGTAGGAAAACTGAAGATTCTGGCTGTTATATCTGGTCTTTGTCATCTTCAAAATTAGTACTAATAATTATTTACTCTTGATTTAGGGAAGGAAGGAGCTTATATCTCTTTTAAACCGAAGGAGATATAAAGAAATGATGTTGGCCCCTTTGGAGAAGATGCGTCTTAGACAGTCTCTGCTTGATATGAGGTTTCACCTCCGTGACCTGATTGGCTCTGGTCACCTTAAAACTGTCAACACGCCAACTGGATTACTTGTTCGGATTTCAAAGGATTAAAAATCCAGACTTTTCCAATTTCATATGGAATCATATGATGTTAATAATGAACTCATGGTTGTCAATCTTCAGATGAGTTTAGTTATTTATATCTTTAAATTGTCAGCTTTCAAAGTTCTGTTTGGGTTATGTTCTGCTGATGAAATGGGTAGGAATTTTTCCCAGGTTAAAAGTGGCAGGAAAGGAAGGATTAGGCAATCACGTGCATTATAATAAATGGATGCTAGACAACGTGAGTGTCTTCTCTACCAGGTCTTAACAATTTCCTATTATTCTGCATCTCAGCATCTGTTTTGTTACTTATGAGGTAAGTTTCCCATGATAAATTGAATCATGTTACTAGAATATAACTTCACAGAGTAGCATGGGTCTGTCCAAGGTCTGCAAATCATCAATGTAACAACTTGATGGGCTGATAACTTTGTCTTCATTATCCTTTTTGTGATGAAAATCAGATGAGCTCCCTGTAAACTATTGTTGCATTCTTATGCGGAATACAATATGAGAGCAATTAAATTGTTTGAATTATTATTATCTGAATCCTACATTTCTAATGTACCAAAATTTGTTAGGTTCTGCATAATTTATTACTCTTTAAACACAGTATCCTCATATATCATCATCAGTTTGTGGGCAACATGAAGTTGAGCCCTCTAGGCATAGGTGTTCTGTGGAATCATTGTTGCGTAAAGAATATGAGAAGAATGTTAATGTTGAATAATTTCAAGATCCCATAATTTGTCGTTTACAATCTGCCAAGCTGATAGGACCTGTGGTTTAACCAAAGAGAAAAGGTCTTGTGGTGACGCTAGTAACTTTGCATATGTAGTTTTCAACTTCGTGCAGTCTTAGGGCATTTCGGCAGACATAAATTGAATGATAGTTTCAAGGAAATCATCCCAGAGCATATACAAGGGAATGGAAGGAACATCTGAGAGAGCGTATATAGATTCTAGCTAGTGGGTGTGTCCTGCATGGTTTGGATCTCTGTAGTGTGAGTTTTACAATTGAAAAAAGCACACATTGTGAGATGCACTTTCTGAGCATAGTGATCTTTTTTAATTGTTCGACTACTACTTCCTCGAGTATAAAATGTTTCTCCATAGAAAATAAGGCTGCCAGATAAATGCACAAGTTGACACTTAAGATTTAGAGGCAAATTTTGGTTCCATCATTCTTGTGGATGTGGGAATGCCTTCTGGGGTCTGGATAAATCTCAAGTTTCTGCTTCTTTACATGCAGAGATTGGAATTCTATAATACTCAAGTGTAAGTTAGGTTACGAAGAGAGATAGATGCAAATAAGAGAAAATTTTTAAAAAAATTAAATCAATGTAAAAATCTTTTTATCTTTTTATCGTTTTTGACCGGTTCAAATGTGAACTTTTTTTTTTATGCGTCTCTCTCTTTCTATAAAAATGAATTTATGAAGTAATTATTATATATACACACTAATCATTCTTTGATTATTATAAAATTTATGCGTGTTGAGACGTCAGCTATAGTTACCATTATTTTCTCTAATATTTTAAGCAACTTGCGTGCTGTTGTCAAATTGTGATTCTTCCATTACACGGGTTGTGTGATGTAATCTTCGACCCGTCTTGGGCTCCATATTGGGCTATTGAATTGTGGCCTCAGATTAGGTTCTGTTTCTGCTTAGAATTGACGGGTTGTGTGATGTAATCTTAGACCCGTCTTGGGCTCCATATTGGGCTATTGAATTGTGGCCTCAGATTAGGTTCTGTTTCTGCTTAGAATCGGTGGGTCAATTTGGTGTTAACAGCAGGGTTGCTTTTTGACAGCTTAAATTTAGGAGTCCGGCCCATAGCGTAGTCGCTGAACAGAACGGAGCACACTGCTCGTAATCTTTTTGAAACAAAATGCCTATGCTGTTCTCTGTGCTGAAACATTTGCACTTAGTGGATGTCACCATCACAAAAGCACCTTCATTCTGGTTTTTCGTGCACGCATATGAAGACTAGCTCCGCCTTTTATTGTGAGGAGCGTAGTCATATTCTCGGGCTAGGTTCCAAACACAAGCCGTTTCCATAAGTCTAGATTGTCTTTTCTCCGAGGAGGTGAAAATACCTTCATTGAATCTTGGAAATAAATCAAGTTTGTTCCATGTCTACTGTTTTTGTGTGGATGAATTAGGGCGTCGGTACGTTGGACAATGCAAATTAAATTGTAAAGTTGTGTGGTAGGAACATGGGATTAGACAAGAAATGATTTTTGTTGTCTTATTTCAAAATGTTTGTGCTACCATTCGTCCTCGGACAAACTCGTCATGTCCTATGAATTATTGAAGCATTCTTCTAAAACTACCATATTCATCTCTCAATAAGAAAATACCTTTCACCCTTTTTGTACTTTGGATTTTTTTATGTATGTATTTTTTTGTGAAATAAAATTAATAAAGTAAATGGAGGATTTTATTTCCATAATTGAGTGGTTTCATTAGAATACAACGTGATTTTTCTAACATGTTCTCAAAAATAGATTGTAATTTTAACAAATGGAGGGTTTCATTTCCATAATTGAGTGGCTTAATTTCTATAATTGTGTAAGTTTTTTTTTTTTATATAGGTTATAATTGTGTAAGTTGATTACGAAAGGTAAAACCTTTGATAAATTAATACCTAAGTGAAGAAATACCGAAATAATGGAGACTCTGTGTGCTGTGAAATATAAGAATCGCATGGTATTCTTTTTCTATAGTTATGAAAACTTTAACTGAATATTCATTCCGGCGCGCAAAATAAAGAACATTTTGTTTATGAAATTAAATTAAGGTTGGGGCCACCTACTTGAAAATTGTCAAAGATGAAGAAAAATAACAGAGATTATGTATGGTACAAGAAAAAAAATTTCAAATATTTGGGGGCAAGTTGGGGCAGTGGCTTCCTTCTGTCCGCCACTAACTCGCATAAAAAGCTCAAAATTGCTGGGATAGAAGCTAGAAGGGCTACGTGGATGAAATCTACTTGGTTTGTATCTAATCTTTTGAGCCTATGAGATGCTATTTTAGTTTCTCTGGTTTCTATCTTATATCTTCACATTTATAAAAGTAAAGTTTAAAGAGAATAATTTACCTAAAATTCATCGTATGGAACTTCTTAACTGTGTGGTGGAAGAGACTAAAGTAGAAAGTAAAGAAAAAGTTCAAAATGATCCATCGTGGGGTAGAGGGAATCTTTGAGAGGGATATTTAGAAAGCCTGGGGTAGCCAGCCATTCGACTAGCTAGGATGACTGGACATGCATGTGATCCTTTTCTTGAATGATTAAGAGTTTAATAAAATAAGGCCCTTTACATCATAAATATTCTACACAATCTCCTATATATATAATTAATTATATAAGGTTCTTCGATAAATAATTTGGAATGCATCGCAATCAATCGCAATTAGGAAAGAATTCATTACAAAAACAGTTATATCTGCAGGTTTCCTACGGGGAGATGTATCGATAGTAATTAAACCCATGTTTGCATAATCATGATTTTATCTCAAGCTTATTATTTAATTACGAAATCTGTCATACAAGAAAATTTTGTTTTGTACCGGATGAATATTGAATTGGATATACTATATCCGCCAACAGATATGGCCCTGGATATACTATTAGTTGATGGATAAGTTGTGTTCTTTTATATTTCTTGTTTGTTAAGGACAAGTATTTTGTTAATGGCTTGGAGGTGCAACTGATGTCATACTAGCTATTTTATTCCATGATCTTTCATGCATATTTGCAAGTTATTGATAAAAGTTAATTATGAACTAGACTCCAAAAATATAGCAGCCTTGTATATTTGGCATGCGCTTACCCTTTCTAAGCGAATGATGTTAAAGCCCTAATTTTGTACCTATCCTGTTGTCTTGTTATGGCTTCTTTACCTAGTGGCAGATTAAAAACTACCCAAAAAAACTTCACATGTTCCATTAGAGCCAGGCAGAACGATTCTATTGAATTTGATGTGGAGATGTTATATACACTTGTCTTCTTTTCTTTTCTTTTTTTCCTTTTCCTTTTGTCTTTTTTTTTTTTTTTTTTTTTGTGATGCCAGGCTCGTGAAAGCTCACAAACATGGCATTCTGACATAAACACATAACCCTTCATGTGAATTTTATTGGAATTTTACGATATTTTTATGCCATATATATTATCCGTGACTTCATTATACATGTATTATATGCCCTATTGAGGAACCCATTTGCTTCACACAAAATTACTAACGATCAAGGACGGCCTAGATTTTTTAGGCTACAAGATATGAAAATCACTGCCCTAGGTGTCTTGCTGGTAAAATTTCTTAAGAGTTCGAACTAGAGGAGAAGGGGGCCCGTGGCCTTTGGGGTTGCGGCGCAGGCGCGTTAGCGTGTGCAAGTATACAAAAGCTTCGGTCGATCCCACAAGATTAGACAAATTAACTAATAATATACAAAAAGGATTAGTATAATGACTCTAATTACACTCTGATATATATCATCTGTAGACTTGGAGAGTTCGTATAATTACCCAGCCAGAGACGGCAGTAGAAGGAGATATTCATTCCTATGTTTTTAGAAAATAATAAGACTATATCTTTGAGTCTTACTCAATAATTTAAAATTTTATATTAAAATAAAATTTTAACGGTATATCAAAATGTAAATGAAAATCTATACAAGTTTCAAATTTAAAAAATATATATTTTAAAAAAATATTTTAAATAATAATATAAATTATATTTTAAAACTTCTTTAATAATTCAAAGTTTAAAATTAAAATGGTATTTAACATTCTTTCAAACGTACCCACCTCACATACCGTGTCACAAAAAAAGTTCTAATAATAATTTGGTTTGGATTAGAACATGTGGATCCCAGTAGACCAAATCAAGAATCCAATCAAAACCTCTGCAGGTTTTATTACTAGCTAGCTAGATTATGCCAACTCTGGTTCCAAAATATACAATTAAAAGTCGTTAATCATAGGGGCTGGGGAATGGTAGGCCATT